CTAGAGTTCCTCGTGGGTCACTACCAGTTTGATAGACATTTAAACGTGTCTATTGTGGGTGTACTAAAGAAGAAAACACTACTGAGGCACATTTCATGAATGTCCGGCGCATTCCTTCCGTGGAAAATCCATACTGGTGGAAATTTGACCTAGGGTGACCAGAATCCGAGAGCTCTGAGCCTCTGGTGTGCTCAAATATATCTAACCTGTTGAATGGGTTGATCTTAGTGAAGCCCACTCCATAAATCTTGCTCCAAACAAGAATTCATTTACACCATTGTGCGGGTAAACTTGTTTATAAATATGGCGTCTAACCGCCATCTTGAAATTTCAAGATATATGATGTCGTTTGAAAAAATATGTTTCAATCAGTAGATACGTTTAACATATAGTCTAAAAATATACTTCTGTTCAACAACACTACATGTAATGTATTGATTTCTACGTTGTTTTATGTACAGTCACAAATCAATCGTCGCTTGTTTTTCGGAACTATTCACATATTTATTCTTTTGCTCTCTTTTTGGAATAGCAATATCTAACTGGCGTTATGATTGAACGAGTGGGTAACTCTAACGATACCACAAAACAATGTATTAATAATTCTTTAGTTGAAAGTATTTAACAAGTAACCTATTTTAAGTTTTCGGTGGTAATAAATAACTTTGGTACAACTTCGCTGAAACTTTTCTCCCATTAAAGCGTTGTAGTGTGAACATGAAACGTGATAAAAGTTTCTAGATTTAAGGATCCAGATAGGTCTAGGTAATTTTCAACGTCATTCTTGATGTTACACAAGAATATTTTTGGCCCATCACTTAGGGCGAGGAGGTTAAATTAAGAAAAAAAAGCTCTGATTTATGCTTTATACATATAAAATAAAAATGATTTGCCTTGGAAATATCAAAAAAAGGGTTAACCGAATTTTTTACTGTTAATTAACTTCTTGTACTTCCAGTTTATTAATCCGCTGTTATTTTTTACCTTGGACGTCTGAATTTTTGCAAAAAATCAGAAATGTAAAACATTCGTTAATTTAACTCAGAAATTACGTATAAAACCCATTTCTTTAAAATCTTACAAACTTGATGACGTCATGTGCAAATTTTGTTGTAAAATCATCCACAAAAAATGTGCAAAATATTGTTAGTCTATTTTTTTTTTAATATGTTACTTGCATCCCACCAACTGTTAGATGACGTCACCTAACACTTTAATAAGGTAAATCTTATTTAAACTTTATACATAATTTGCTTCTATACTTGCGATGTATTACTTCGCTCTTACTTTTTACTTTAGAAATCTAAATTTTTGGTCAAAATCAAAATTTTATAAAAAAAAAAAGAAAATTTATCTTCGAACCTAGTAATATATAGGGGTTATCAAAAAAGTACAATTGAGTAATTTATCTTGTTCAAATTTTTAAGAAGAGGGAGGCCAATCATAGCAGTTTTTGTTTTGACTGTAATTAATTAATTAATATGTAGCTGTGTACATATTTTAGTTATACTGAATTGATACTTTGTTTTATAGTAATAGGATCCATTTAAAAATTGGGTAATTTAATTCTTTGTCCTTAATTTATGGTTTAAAAAGAACAATCTTGAAGTCACTGGTGTTTCCTTTTGAGAAAAAATTGAATTGTTACAATCTCATGATGATCTAAATCCTAAATCGTGCTTTGTTTTCGTTGTTGCAAGTCGAGTTAATCAATTTTTTGGTAACTAAATCAGAAATATATAAAACCCAGTATTACTATATCGGGTGATTTTTAAGTTTCTGCTCTAGTTGCCCATGACGCTTAACTCACCAGTTTCGATTTCAGTGTTGACGTAAACATCATGGATAACTAGAGTAGAAATTTTAAAAATCACCCGGTATTACACATTTATATCATACGTCTAGACCTATGGGGTCTCTGCATCTTGAGATTATTATAAAAAATCAAAGCTACAATCCAACTTTGCAATTTCTCTTAGAAACTATATGTCAGTAATTGTTCTAAAATTTAGCACGTGTTTTGAAGTTATCATCAGCCTGATAATGGTTAAGTAAATTTATCTGTCCAGCCACACCATAATTTCGATAACCTCACTTAAAAAATTTGTCAAATGAATCCTATTTAAAACTTTAGGCCAATTAATTTCTTTGTCTTAGAAAATGCCATAATACAGCTGATTTAACATCGTAAAGCGAAGTTTATAATTTTTAAGTATATATAACAAAAAATGTTCTCTGTCCATAAGAACTCACCTTACACCTCAAAACCATGGTGAACGCTTTCCTCGCCGCCACAGATTAGCTCTTCTACATTTTATATACGATGTGATTTTTTATTTCTGCTCTCTAGTAGGCCATGACGCAATTAAAACGTCTCATGGCCAACTACAGCAAAAATTCAAAAAATTGATCGAAGGGATTCACTCGCCTCCGAAGTACAGCCCAACAAATCCCGCTACTTTGAAAAATTAAAATGTTGATGTGTTTTGACATTCTAGTTTTTTTTAATGCCTAAATGACACCCAACTTTTTTTAATGATATTCTATTTACATATTTTTTTCAGATTTTTGTAGAGCTTGTTTTTCTGAATTCATTGATGTACTACGTGATCAGAAATGACGGAGTCTGTTGGCAGTACCTTTTAAACAAAAATGTAGACTTTTCTTTCTTCTTCTTTCTATGTTGGAATAACGGAAGTAATTGTGTGACAGATATGTCAGTCGCGACATGCAATAAATTTAGGTTATGTTTTGGATACATTTTGCAAATTAAAAATGCCTTGACATCTGACAACCGGAAATTATATCATGATACCAATTTCAACTAAAAATCCAAGATTGCCAACAGATTCAGTCATCTCTGATCATGCGATATTGTACTTTAATTATTCACCCATACCCTTCCATTGCACATTCGAGTGCATTATGTTATGAAAACACACGTGTTTATACGTCGGCTGGAGTGATCATGAATATAAAAATATGAATCCGTTGATAACAGTAGAGTTGCAATTCTGTATAAATTTGCTAACTTTAAAGGGTCAAATTTCCAAAGTAACGAGTTAAATTCGTAAATCTGATTGGCTGTTTATTTTTAACATTTAATTTTAACACATTTTGATACACAATTGGGCCTTCTGCCCATGTAGTGAGTTTTCCCATTTGAGAATGTTTCCATCAACATTAGTTCAGCAAGGATATTTGGATGCTCCGGGGAAAATCTAAAGATGGATTCATAAAGAACAAGTACAGGAATATATTATTTTATGAAATTTAAACCTCACTATGAAATATTTTGAGAAGTGGTCATCACGTTGTTGGTAGGGATGATTAAAAAAATTTTGGTAGACAGACGGAAATGGGAGATCACTTTTTTCGTACTCTAGGGGTCATGAAACGTCGAGATAATGTAAAAGTAGCATTTCGTCAGATGGACTCGATTACTATACTTCCTTAGCTTAAGCTCGAGAAATAAAAATCACCCGATACAATTAATTATATTGCTTTGGATACGTGTAACGTCACTTACACATACAGGACGAGTTACAAAGCACCCAGTCATCGATATCTCACTAATTTATCAGAAGTAAGAGAAAAAAGTCTAGAGACTAAAGTTGTATGTACCATACACTAAAGTTATTTTCAACTATACAGAGTATTCTTTTTAAGTTTTTTCAAATGGCAGACCCTATATATAAAAATATCGGTCTAGCAGTTTCGGAGATTATAAGTCTAATCCGGACACATGGCAACAGACAGACAGAAACGGGAGACCTATTTCTTCGTACTCTAGGGGTCATGAAAAGTCGAGGAAACATAAAAGTAGCGAGTTGGTCGATAGACTCGATTACAATGAGCTTACGCTCAGGAAATAAAAAAACAAGAAAATTGAAATAACGTGGCAACGTCGCGTGGGAATTTTAAAAATAAACTATGATTATAAAGCTTGGTACGAAAGTAATGAGAATATGTAAAAATACTATTTAATAAAACTAAGTTGTGTACTAAGCCTCAAAAACAAAACACTCCGTATAGACGAAAGCAATTTTAATGTATTACTACTCAAAGAACCATACGACTTTAGCTTTTCACTTTTTTTCTGTTTCGAATAATTAATGGTAATGAGATAACGTCTCCACCTGTTTGCCGTCTATCGTTTATCTATCGTTATCGTAATAATGCTAAATAGTTAATCAAAATTTATCTGTTTATCTCCCCCCAAAAATTTGATGACGTCCCTCAAAATGTATAAAATATTTACATTTATGGTTTATCAATCCATTCATATTTTTATAACTGCGTAACAAGGTGACTATTAAAGTTTGTGATTTTTTTTATTGTCAAAGTAACATTTATGACAGCTGCCATCGGCTCAACCAATCAACACGTTTGTTAGCCGTGCTCATGTCACAATTGACAACTGTGAACTAACGTCTGGCATGGATGCCAATTATTTAAAATTACCAACACAAAAATTTGCTTAAATCATGAATCCAGATCAGCCCAGTGATGAAAATTTTCAAAAATTTGTAATATGTACAAAATACTACACTAAAAAATTTGTTCATTTTATTTACTAGAGAAACCACAGCATGAAGTTATAACTTATCTTATAAAATCTCGTGGACTTCCGAATTTTCTAAAACTATTCTATGAATTAAATTATTATACCTTATTATTACCTATGTATACTAATAATATAATTATTCAAAAATTAAGAACTCCACAAAAAATGTTTCTTAAAAATCCAATAATTTCGGTTTTTTGTTGAAACAAAAATTTTTTTTGCTAATAATAATCATTCAATTTTCTTAACTAAATGATTATTAGCAAAAAATTGTGTAAGTTTCACGATTTCATTACGAGGGGTTGACTAAGCCGTTCACCCACTGACTGTCCCACCGCCTTGGCATGCGTCGCTTTTATTCAACCAGAAGGGTAGCTAAGATGCTCGGATTACTGGTCTTCTACTTGTCCGGTTTTAAAATTGTAATTTATGGTACGAACCGCTGTGAAGTCAACTGGCTTAAACCATCATAAAATTTTATTGCATACAAAAGCAACGTGGTCACTGTAAACCTGATCACCAGAAATTTACCGCACAGTCTAGGTGAAACCGGTGGGGATAGCAACCCCAGTCAACCACCGTTCTCTGTACTTAAGTGTCCCTCACATCGCGCTTGTGCGAATGCACGTATCGATCACATTTCAGTAGGGTGGTTTATTTCCCTCGACGCATTCACCTACTTAGTTACAAAGACGGTTACTTACAGCCCCAACTCAGCACTCTCTTACCCTGAGTTATAAAACGCCATCAAATTCAGTACACGTTATTCGAAAAATCACAGAGAGCGCGAACAATCTAACGAAGTTCGAGTCACATCGAGTCAACTTGTGCTCAGTGCGAACATGGCTAAGTCAGAGAAGTGAGAGCCGGTGTTTTTTGGCGGGAATATTGCTTTAAAGGCGAAAAACTGTCAACACACAGGTAATACACGAAGAGGGTAGTTTTAGAAGGGTCATTGTGGTGTGTATCTCTCAACGTTTGTTCACTGACGAATGATCGGAAACTTTCGGTGCAGCTGTCATTCTTATTTTAGTGACAGTTGATCGTATTCGGTAGCCGAATTAATTTCAAATTAACGGATAATTAACCGTCTTTGCGAAATTGTTTGAGTGTTTTCAGAGGGTTTGTTTGATTATTGCCACAACGATCGGAGTTTTTTTGTAACTTGTGTTTGTCTCGTGTCTCCCCTCTACTATTGATGCTTGTTTTTTATTTAGTGGTACAGCTGATTTCTATTTATAAATTACAGGGGTGGACTCGAGGTGAGTTAGCGAGTTCATTTTGTCGTTATCCGTGTTGGTTCGCATACTTAATGTTCGGTTACATCAAAAGCACGACCTATTGTCTCGTATCACGGTTGTCACATTATTAATTTGGTGTTGTGGCTTCGAGCCCGCTGGCGGCTCCGACTGTGCGCAACACAAGGGCGCCAGGGCATAAAGCCCCCACGAAATTTTCGAACAATTAAAATATAAACATGGACATATTTTTTTAATACCATATATGTAATAGAAAAAAATGTAGTCTAGTCAGCCATGGAATTATTTATTTTAATCGGTAGCAATACTATTATTTTTAGAATTTTTGACAGAATATTTATTATCGAAATGAAGAAAACCTGTGAATGCGCTTATTCTTTAATTCCCCATAACCTCAAAAACGAATAGCTATAACAGTGCATATTTTGTCAATGCAAAAAAAAAAATAATTCCGTGGGTCACTAGAGGGCGTTTTTCTTTCGATGACACTGGTTAAAATGATGTGTCCTAGAAGTTGAATTATTTATTTAACGTCTTCATGATTGACGCGTATTATAATACGTATGTATAACGAAAAAATAATTATTTGGTTTTTAATTTTAATCTAACGTTAGAATAAACGAAAAAGTAACGGAAAAAGAGAAATGATTACAGCCTCAAGCGGTTCCTTATTTTTTTTTTTTTTTGGCATATTAAACTTTATCATTTATCTTTACTAAGAAAAAAAAAATTATATAGCAACGTCGTACAATTGTTTTTCTTATTTAAAAGACTTCAAAGAGATTGCAGCGAAAATCGATCTAAATATGTAAACGATTTTTTCGAATGTATGTACACAAGACATGAGTTTCTAAGGTAACGATAACGAAATACCCCAGAAGCTATGAAAAATACCGTTTGAAAAAATATCTCACTGTGTAAGTATTTGACGGATATTATTTAATAAAATTACGCATTTAACAAAAAAAACGCGTTAAAATTTTTTCTTTCAATGTGTTCCGAAGTGAGCTTAACAAAAAACTTTTACCACCCCTAATAAAATAAAGTAATAATCACCTCACTCTTTTCAAATAATGGCCTCATAACTCACTAGTGAGTTTTATTTGATTTACGACTAAATTAATAATTGACGTGTTGGGTAATTAATTCCATGACTGACTAGACGACTTTTTTATCATATAGTATATTCAATTCTAGTAATTCGTTTTAGTACTTACCACAAACAGTCAAAACTTAAAAAAAAGTTTACAATTTTATGAAATAAACATTTTATTTGAAAACAAATAAAAATCTACATAAAAATTAGTCTAGAGTTGTTTCGGCAACACTTCCTTCGGATGTGAAGCACAATCACGAGTCCATTTTTTTACGTTCCCCAACAAGCCGGAGTCCCAATTAAAGGGGAACCGGACATTCACAACACCCACAGGCAGGGTTGGAACCGAACCCATGACCCAAGGTGGAGCGGGCAAGCACGCAAAATTATGTTCTGCGAATTATATTTTTTATTATGATAACCCGTATAATTTAATTAAAATAGGGATTTAATAAAAACTACGGTATATCAGTTTGGATAAATACCATATGATCGAAAAAAAAAAACTTGTCAGGTTTGCTTTGGAATTTATTAAAAAAAAGATATGTTGACAGTATTTTTGACCGACGTTATTTAAATCTGTCAGTTTGACGTTCAATACAGAATGAGTTATCATTGTCATTGAGTTACCTAACTTCGAAATATAAACATGAATTTTCTTATAAGAAAATGACAAAAATGGCCAATGTTGCCTTTACAATTAAAAAAAATCCAAAGCACACTTGGCAAGTTTTTTTCGATCTCGTGGTAGATATAATATTTACGAGTATAACAACAGTATTGTGTTCCCAAATTTTCGGGAAAATGAGTTCAGTCGTTTTTTTTTTTTTTTTAATCAATAATATGAATTGCTGCAGTCCATGGGTTTTTGGCACACTCAGTATAAACACTAAAAAAAAGAAACTACATACATATAGAGAAAGAAACATGTTTTTCTGAATATTTCATAGGATGTTGACTGTAAAATTTTGAGATGACGTCATCAAGTTTTAGGAAGTACTTAACAAATTCTAGTTGACGATTTACCATTTACGGAGCTAATTTCAGAATTCAATTATCATTACTCTACCATTTTGATTTTTCCCTAAAACGAATTTACCTAGAAAAATTTTGAAATGATGTCCTTACATTTTTAGTGGGGATATAAACATAAATTTTCGTTACAACGCCACATACTTAAAACATCATTAAAATTTCACAACAATCTGTCCAGTATTTTCGTAGATTACTTGTCAAATGAAATCGTCAATAAATGGCAGAAGACGAAAACGGAAGACCTACTATTGTCGCAACACTATCCAGTACTTTCGCAGATTACTTGTCTAATTAAATCATCAATAAATGACAAGACGAAAACGGAAGACCTACAGTATTGCATATTCTACTATGTCAAAAAACATTAAATTAGCCATTCGTTAAATGGGCCGTGCTTGCGTCCACAAAATCAAAGAAAAGCATGATTTTACTTCCCAAGCAAATAGCTACTTTCAGGTTTTCTCTACTTTTCATGACCCCAAGAATACAAACAAATAGGTCTCCCGGTCTGTCTGTCCAGATTTTGATTCGACAGATGATCTCCAAAACTACTTTATTTTAAGTTATAGAGGTTATAATAAGAAATAAAATTCGCAAAATAAAATGTTACCTATAATTTTTCAAAGAAGGTGTATCTGATCAACGCCATATTATTTTTAGATTTTTGAAAAGAATGTAATTTTCAAATGTTACTTTCTTTCACTCATGTGGTACGAATACAAGATATTCTTGTTTGCTTTACATTTACATTTAAAGCAAATACCGAGTGACTATTAAAGTTCGCAATTTTTTTGTCAGGTTGGCGACGTATTTAAAATTTTATGATGGCATACCTAATTGTCAAATTGACATTTATAATGCCAAGTCAGTAAGTCGGTGACATCTTCTCAACACGTTTGCCAACACAAAAATTTACTTTAATGGAATATAACCGCCATAAGAACAATATAATTCACTGTTGCTCCCCAGTCTTAGTAGGTTGTGAAACTGGTTACGCATCGTCTAAATCAAAAATGTCACGTACTTCGCTGTGAACAGAGATATTTTTACTTATTGATCTGGAATTCATAGGTATCTATAATTATTAGATATTCAAAAATTACAAATTTGAGTTGTGTTTGACATGATTCTGAAAAACTGATAGATATTAGTCGTCGTAAAATGGTGTCCCTATCTTTTTCTATTTAATTTTCTAACCTTCTAAAGACTCCAGTTTTAGAAAATAAAAAATTGCCACCTTCTATAAAAAAATACGCATCTGTTGTTATTATTATTATTACTTAAATAACTGCCATTTATTCAAAAATGCATACGACAGTAGTTTACTTTTTTTTTAGATTTTACATACGGAAAGTTAAGTAGTCCAAGAGCTATAAGGTTATATGACCATCATAAAATTATCCCATTGTGTCAAAGTTAAGTTGTTTACAATAGAAAAGGTTTTAGGGACGTAAATAACGTCTCCACTGCAGCTCGACCGGCTGTTGTCGTTTCGTTCAGGGGCGGCTTTCACTAAATACCTAAATCGACCACTTTCACATAAAGGGGGTATTTATTTGCGGTCGACTACTTTTATGATGGTCATAGGTATGACCTTGGACTACTTTAGTTAAACTTTACAAATTATGGCACCATTGTCAATAAGAAAAGTTTTGTCTAAATATTTCATGTATTTCCAGAATTGTTGAAAGATCTTTGTCTCACAAATACTTACACATACTCAGAACGTCCACTAAAATTTTATCACGTGGTTATGAGGGGTTAGTGTTAGCTACTGGTACAGTGTGATTTAAAGTTACTACCGTGTTCAACTTCACAGGGAATACAATGTTAGTCGAATGTTCTCAAAATATTTTAGTTATTTCAAGGAATTTCAAATTTCAACAATTGCGTGGTCATTTTGTAGACAAGTACTTACTTACAATAAGTTTTTTTATTATTTTAAGCCGACCAAGTTCATTTAAAATCGTAGTAGATTAGGTGCGTCGGTCATTTTTAGCCTTCATTTGAAAAAAGCGTTACAAATATGTTTTATTTAATATTAATATAAATCATACTTGAATAATTTATTCATAACAAAATTTCTAAAAATTTTTAAACTTTTGGAATGAAGTTTTATAACCATTACCAGTAATAGAACCTTTTATTTCTAATAAAACTAAAATTTGTTTGCTAACAAGTACCTAAAATGATTCTTTCAGGTTACTAGTACTAACTAATATTGCACAATATTGAAAAATAATAAATTTTCACCAGCCTGTTATTAATACTACTAACAGAGGTTATGGTTTCACTGAATTAGTGAACAATAATGTTGTTGGTTGTCCTATTCTTAACTAAGCACTATAAGTAGTGTATTATAAATTTGTAGGTGTTGGTAATTATATAATTTATTGTTACAAATGTTGAAATGTACTAGTTAATATTGTAAGTAAAAACTCTTCAAGAAAACAGTAAAACACTTCAAATAAGATCTCTGTAGTAGTAGCTCCTTTTATTTCTATTACATACTCTTCATGGCTGAATTTCGTGTTCCCAAATGTATAAACCTGAAATAACTAGACCCGATCTTCTAATTCCAGTTTCTTCAAAACCTGTTTAAGAAACAAACTGTATGGTTTCACCGGAAGCGAAGACAGCTTTTATTTTTAAAGGTAACGGTCCCTTTTTTACAATTGAAAACATTTTGTGTTATCAACAATCCTTGCAACTTTATTGCCATATCATTGGATAAAAAAAAATCCAACCGTATTTTCAAAAAGCAACTTTCAATTCGAATCAATATCTATTTGTAAAATTTTGTAACGTAATTGTCAGTTTCGTGTTGCTGCATTAAAGAAACAATATTTTCAAACTGTAGTTGAATCAAAGATTTAAAATCAAAATCAGTCGTCTTCATCTCCGATGAAACCAAAATACCTACCTGAACAGATTTAGTCTGTAGTTTGTTTAGTGACTAACTTATTTCCCTTCAGTAGAGTAGTTTTGAAGTATACAGTTGATGTGAAATATATGGTTAGCTAAAAATAACAAGGCATGAATTTTTGTTTTATTGTATTTTTGGTAAGTCAATAACATCGTATAAAAATGATTGTCTTATTGAAATAAAAGTAAAACTTTATAGTGAAACTGAAGTTTATTTTATTAGAGACATACTGTGGATAAAGGCTTGAATTAGATTGGCATGGTGATTGAGAGGAAGCAATAAAACCTTCTCCTTTTGTAGATTTCATCCTTTGCACGATCACACGTCGCAGGTGAAAGACGATAATTTCATTGCTTTCCACACATCCTTCTCCATCTCAGTCAGTTTGAAGCTTTATAGCCGTATGAGCCTTAAAGTGAAATTTCTATAGCAGAAATATCAATAAAACTTTATTAAATAAACAAGGGAGTCTATAAACAGTTCTGCTCCTTATCCACTAACCTTTTAGATTTCCAAACACAAAATACCTAAAACTTCATTCCACTTGACGATACCAATTTTGTAAACGTGTTGAGCTTTTCGTTAGTTTTTCTCGTGTCGTACCCATCCCTAACTGCTCGTGGTATTTTTCTCTTATTCTTCAGATACACGTAGACGTGCGTGTGAGATGGAGGCGCAAACTTTTCGTTCGCTTCAAAAGAAGCGCACTTCGAATTTCCGCGAGGACGAAACGAGATTATTAATACAGTTGTGGGGAAGTCCCCAAATACAAAACAAACTCTACCTGACTCACCGCAAAGAACCAGTAATGCGTCTTTTGGCTGCCAACATGCAACAGCGTGGTTTTTACAGAACTCCCGATGAGATCAAGACAAGGATAAGAAATCTCAAGTGCCTGTACCACAGGATCAAGAGAACTGTCCAATCAGGCGCCGGAATCGGCACTGTCGACCCCGATTGGCCGCACTACAGAGCCATGGACAGGATCCTGAGCAAACAGCACCAAAAGAAGGACATTTACAAGGACAACGTGTTCGAAGGACCGAGATGCGAAGACATCAAACAAGAGATCGACGATATTGACATCAATGACGATATGGAATCGTACACCACCAACAGCATGGGGGGGTAAGACCGTGGGAGTAACTAACTATATGTGTACTTTATTCACGAATATCTTATGTGTAGGTCCGAATTTGAAGAGGAACACGTACCATTACCCCCACTCACACCTGCACCAAACAAAGACGGGAAAAAATTGGACCCAGCGAAAACGTACCCACCCAAGACCATGCCCAAGATTTTACCCAACGTAACCATTCCGATGCAATCCCAGCAAAATGGAGTACAAAACAAACAAGGCCCGATTCCGTCGATTCCCTTTCCTCTTCTCATACTGAATGGAGTTCAACCCCAAAACAACCACCCAGAGAAGAAGGACACCCCGAAAATGACTACCAACTCTAAAGGAGATCCAGGTTTGTTGAATTAAATGTTAACATAGACTCCAATTAAAGCGTCTTTTGATTTCTAGATATGAATCACGTCCTTAAAGAGCTGCTCGAAGTCCAAAAGGAAAACTTGGATATTGAGCGCCAACGCCTTGAATTAGAGAAACAGAGATTAGAGTTTGAACGTTTTGTTGGGTCTCAGCTCCTGGCTGTGGGTCCTTTCATTGGCAGTTTATTCCAAAGGTTTGCCTTTTTGAACGAAGATTCTGACAGTTCTGAAAAAAATAGTCGGAAGAGACCAAATTCATGTGATATTGATTTGTTAAAAGATACTAAAATTCTCAAAACGCTTCTCAGTGAAGGGATTAAAAAATACATGTTAGGGGAAGACAGTGAAAATGATGACAGCGGTATTCAGAACGACGATAATAGTAATAGTAGCAAGTAGTAATGACAAGAGTGAGTCTTAATTTTTGTGCCATTCCAAGAAAGCATTCCGTTAGATGTTAGTAATTTATTTGATTTTGTATAGAATTAAATTATGCTATTGAGTATTCATAAAACAGATTATTGGTGTTGCGCCTTTGTAAATCCCTTATTTCCATTATGTCTGTTTTCAACCTCAACTTCAAAATTTCGCGCCAGATTGCTTCCCGGTGGTCAACGTTTGTAATTCCTAACCTTAATAAAGAATTGTCGTTTATTCTTATTAAAGTACGGCCTGTGATATCGTTCTGGATAAACTTGTCGACATACAAACTATAGTAGTCTGAGCAGTGCCTCCGAAGCCATTTCTGTACATCCACGACCGTCCAAGAATACACAGATTTGGGTTTATTGTTTGCAGCCTTAACCTAAAATTACAACAACTTCAATCAGCGTCGTAAATAAATAATTATTATTCTTACTTTTGGCTTATTTGTATTGTTTATTGTTTCCTCCACCATCTTACTTGTCAACTGTCAAAATCTGTCGACGCAAGCACGCAACCATAAAGTCACTAGATCTACTATTACTTTTAGAAAGTACGGCAAACTGCCTGTGGTCGGAATTCGACAGAGAGGAACCTAACCTATGTGTTAAACAAAGATAGCGCGAGGCTAGTAATTTTCGCTATCTGTCAACGAAAGTTTGATGTGTTTACGATTTGAGGTTACGACAGACTGTAGTAGAATTATTGAGTTAACGGACCGGAAAGAACACTATTCCAGTCCCAAAGTAACTCCAGCCCTATTCAACGAGAAAGTGTCACCGGTAACCAGCAAACAGTCGTGGAAGACGTGTTACCACCAAGGCAATTGACGGCCAACGGGCCAAATGACAGTAACAGGATCGCCATACTGGAAGCAAAAAATACCTGCTGTCGAAAAGACGGAGCATAACAAGGACACAGATATATTTCTATTTCATAAAAGTTACTAATTGCCACACATTTCAAGATCGAGTCACATTACGCAACCACGGTGGTAGAAGTAAGGTGTGGAAACCTCATTCATAACTTTCCTCAAAATCATTGGTAGAAAACACAAATCGCGTGGTTTGGATTATATGTCATTATCTGTCCACACCGCAGCGACGTCTAGAGAGATCAGTTGAAATTAAGTAATAGAAAACTGTATTAAATCTTTGACATTTATGCCAATGTCATTTATTACCCAATCACAAATGTCGAATCATCCACCAATCACACGATTCACACCAAAGACCAACCACAAACCGTAGTGCTGTGATTTATTTTCCCTCCAACGAATCTGTCACTTATTTCATTCATAAATACACTGACAAGTTGAAATGTTAATACATAGATGGACATACTGTGCTGCATACTATTTCGTAGTAAATAAGCCTACTGGGATGCGTGTTTTATTCAACAAATTGGAGCGGCTTGTTTCCACACCTTACTTCTACCACCGTGCACGCAACACACCAACCCCAACAAGTGTACCAACCTGCCATTCAAGACTTCATCCAAAAAATCAAAACATGGCTTTCTGGTTATTTATTTAAAAAAGCATCTGGCTTACACTATACAATTTATTAGGTTAAATTGTAATAACTATGATAGAAAAGAAAATAAACATCTAAAACACAACGCATAAAATAATAGAGCCAAAATAATACAATTTTAATAACAGAGTTAGACCTTATCTTAGATAAACTTGTAATTGTAAAGCACATTGTAACAATACTTTAAGTCCTGGCATAAAACTGGCAATTTGAGCAAAATCAGGCCCTGATACCAACTGAGTATGTAAATTCAATCCTCCCGTGTAGTCGCCATTCTGCACTAATTGCACCATTTGATGTAGCGAAGCTAATGTGTTCGGAGACAATTTATTTTCTCTTAATAAATCATACAAAGCTTCTAATTTTCTTCCTACATCTTCAATTTTACGTTTAGTTTGCTGAAAACGCAAAATTATTATCATTTTAATTAAAATCAAAATCAAGGAGTCACTCACTGGATTGACTGCAGCGCAGCTGCACTGATATTTCAGTTCATCAAAAACAGTCTGCATATGGATGTGTTCTTCAGGAATTGGTGGTTTTTGGATTGGCTGAGGCTTCTCTGGTACAACATTTGCCTGATTGCCGCCTTGGTTAAAATTAACAGCATTTGGCTTGAACCCGCCAGGATTAAAGTTTGGTGGCGGTTGGCCGTAATTGTTTGTTTGGCCGAAATTATTGGTAGGCGCAGGTTGGAACATTTGCGGCTGGTTTTCTTGAGGATACCCGTTATTCGTGGGAGCCACGCCGTACAACGGATGCGTTATGGGTTGTGTGGGCAAAGAAGCTTCTGGTTTGGACTGAAAAAGCCATTCTTCAAGAACAAAGCAAACACACCGAACAAATATTTAAAAATAACAAAATTATATAAATCAAAACAGACACACGCCACAGACACACGGAAGATTAAAGTGTTATTTGAGTTGTGGGTGTCGACAACAAAACAAATACCTTCGATTGACCCATCCCATGCTTCCACAATTTCGTCCCAGCATGCACTGCTGACATTTTATAACTATCACCATACGACTTTTAAGAGAAAAAGACTATAGCCTTAGACTAACTACCGACTTGAGGGTTTACCTGTGACCTTAAGGGCTTGTGTAGTGGAGGGGGATCGTTCCATCCGGGAGCGCCTTGATAGAAGTACTTTTCTGTTGCTTGTTGTCCCATCTCGCTAGCCATTGGTGGTGGTGGCTGCATGTTGGGTACCATTGGTGTGGGGTTTAGAGGCGGATTTGGTACCAGAGGTGTATTTAGTGACTGGGAAGGCACTAACGGTGTTGGGTTCAACACTGGATTGGGTACGTAGTTGTTGTTTGAAGGAATCATAGGTGTCATGGGATTAGTCATTGGTGCTGGGGCAGACATTCCATAGTTATTGTTTTGGAAGGATGGAACTGGTTGAGGCGGTAAGGAGTGGTACATGTTTCTTGTGGGGGCTCCATATGGACTCGAAGACACGGAGGGATCCAGCACATATTTACGAGGTGGTAGACCACCAGATCCACCTATTATAAAATAATTTAAATAAGTCGAACCAATTACCTTTAAATTTAAGAAAAAATACACTATTTTCGAAATATCAAACAAAAAAATTATTCGATTAAAAAAACTGTTTAATTTTTGTGATAATTTAAAATTTATTATTTTATAATTTCAGGTATAAACATTGTTCGAAAATATAAGGAATTAGAGTTGGCGTCGCCTGTGAAACTTTGAGTGGTACTACTGCCCTAAATCATTTGACGCAAGTCAACTCTATAGTTTATAATCCTTTTTAACTAATCAATTTTTGTCACTAGGTGTTAACTTGAAAATGATAGGTGACAGAAAAATTAATTTGAATTGTCATTCATTTGATGAAATGTCATATTATTTGTAAACATGAATTCAGAAAGTGCCAAAGAAGTTTTTCAACATAAAAGATTTTATAGACTATTTTAATTGAAATCAAATTAATCACGCATTTAATGAGGCGATTAGCGTGGTACTTTAATGCCGCATAAAAATTTAATCGCAATCAAATATTTAATTGAGGTTGAATAAACCTAGTGCCAACCCTAGAAAAATAAATTACTCTGTTTTTAGTATAATTCTTACAGCACAGAATTTGTTTCTTACAATACGCTTTTGCCTTTCGTTATATCCTCAGTACAAAGGCAAACTACAAAAATATGGTTATTATGTAATTAGGTTTTGTATAATGTAAATTTTTCAACTCAATATTGGAAGACTGCCTTTTTGTTTGTTAATATATTGTAGTGACCGAATTTGAATCAAATTTTCGCGCTGAAATTAATTGACAGCGGCGCGAAATCACATTAGAACAATTTGAAAAAAAAATTCAATCAGAAAAATCGTTAAACATAGGCCTTGCACACGTTTATTTCTTTTCCTGGTAGTTGGTAGCTCGTTAGGGGATTTTAGTTAGAGGGTTGGTTGGTAGACAAAATCGCGGCGTGGCGAAAAGCATGTTGAAAACGTCATTGTTGTTTGGTTCGGTGTTGTGTGAGCATGGTGGAAAAACGCTGCATTTAACGTAATGTAAATTCTTTGTTTGAATCGTTGACAAAGTGTGGCAAATATTAATCTCATGTAAATTTGTTAGCTTTGCAATTTTCAACTCATACAATTTTTCTCTATCTCACAATTTTAGCCTCAGTAATTTTCTTTGTTGCATAGTTTAAATTGAACGTAAACTTCCATACCTCTGCAGTTTTTAACCTCACGTAATATTTTTAATTGCACAAGTTTATTTCACACCAGATCTTTTTTTTTTCATAAATCTTTGCTAGTTTTTTTTTATGTAAATGTTTTGTTGATGAATGTTTACATCACATAAATTATCTGATGTCCAATCTTAATCTCAAATAAGAATTATTTGTTGTTTAAAATTTCACAAGATTGTATAGCGAATTTAAATGTTGTTTATTGCTCTTTTTGAAACTTTAATACTTGTTCAATTGTCATTAATATCAGAGTTATAAGAAATTGAACATTTAAAATGGAATTGAGGTAAATAACACAGAAAAACGCGGCAGAAGCGGAGTGCGCGGTTCCTAGGCGAGCTGGCGAGATTTATCGCGCCATCTGTACAAAAGATGCAGATTAGAATAGAATTCAGGGGCAAAAAATAACGCCTTTGTGTCAAAACTAATTTTGCTTGTTTTGATCAACTCAATAAATCCTTCCACAAAAACTAATTTCAACTAGTTTTCGTTGAAGTATGCAATATAAGAAATGCATTTTTTTAACAATATGTATTTGTAAAATTTCAATGTATCTAATTCAATTATGCAACTCAAGAAAGATTTCTAATTTTCTCTGATTAAGTTTATAATATACTTCTTAGATAAAAGTGTAGTCCCAAGAGAACTAATAAATGTGGAGTAATTATTTATGCTAATGAATTGTATCATCACACAAGTTTGATAATAACGCGAAAGCTCACTCGTAACATACAAAACTTTATCTACGGCTCTGGTTTTTTGTCAATTTTAATAAACGCCGAAGGCTTTCATTTCTGTTAGAAATGAAACTTACTCCACTCGTTTGAGTAAATTAAATAAGTGAGGTAATGGAACGCTTTACTCTAAATGAAATGGAAGAGGTAAATTAAAATTATCTCACTCTCAAAAACATAACATAATATAAAACAATTTTGCTGATTGCACTTCGTACACTTTTTTCTTTTCATGAGTAAAAATAATTATTGCAATACTGATAGAAAAAAATGCCACTTCACTGTACTGAATCAGTATAAAAAAAAAACTGTTCGTAAGTTTAACTTATTAAAATTATCTCACTCTCAAAAACATAACATAATATAAAACAATTTTACTGATTGCACTTTATACACTTTTTTTTATTTTCAAGAGTAAAAATAATTATGACAGAAAAAATGCCACTTCACTGTACGTGCTGAATCAGTATAAAAAAATGTTCGTAAGTTTAACTTGAATGTTCCATTTAATAATAATTAAAAACAAATCTTGAAGACATACCGTGATTTGATCCCACACTTGTTGGCCTTGGCGGCTGCGTCGGCGGCGGCGCTGCCGGTACTGGAGAGAAAGTCCTCGTTGCAGCCTGATTGAAGCTCCCTATGGATGGCGGGGGCTGTGGCTGCCACGGTTGAGCCGCCGAAACCGGCGCATTCGGCAATCCCGTATTGAACTGCCCTCCAACACTAGGATAACTCGAGAACGACTGCCTATGACTCTGCCTCCTGCTTTGAGGCTGCTGCCTCGCCGCATAACCCGGCTTCTGTCCCAAACTTACGTACAATCTCTCCCTCAGAGAAGCGACCTTTTCGTCCTGAGAATTCCCCAAGTAACTCAAAGCAGTCGACAAACTTCCCTGAGCCGCTAAAATCGACGCGTAATGCGCCAACAAATCCGCTAAAGCGCCGGAAATTTGCACTTGCCGCCCCTGCTTTTCGACCGATTTTTGCAAAAATACCACCAATTCTACCAAATCTTGGAGTTCCTTGGAGGAGTTCATGGCGTTTCCGCTCCAGGAGTTCACTAATCTGTCGAAGCTACCGGAACAGATGTAACAAAGTTGAGAATCTTGTCGCAGCTTCGGATCGCCTCGGTTTTCAGCTTCTAGGCGGTTACCGAGTTGTTCGCAGAGGAGAGGTAGGGCTTCGTCGGTGGAGTGGGTTAAAGTGGCGGCGAGGGCTTCTTTCCAGCTGCTTAAGTCGCAGTTGCTGATTACGGAAGCCCAATCTTCTGATACTAAAGCTGAGATTAATGAAGAAACGTAGCCTTCGCATTGATCTAGGTAGGCGTGTTGAGTTCTGGCCAGAAGATCTGAACCACCTGTGGAAAATTCGACATTGGCTAGTGTTACGAGTTGATTGATCTCAAATGTCAATCTATCACGAGTTACAAAGTTGTGTTGTTTTCGTATAAGCACTCCAAATTAAATTGTTAAATAATGGCAGGTATTAAACACTAACCATAAAAATATGTTTTAATGATTCATTGCGAATAAAATATTTTTGTGTCTTGCAAGGTGAGGTTTCTTGTGTTTGAGGTACATTATAAATAAAACAAAACTAATCGCACAAAACAATAAGTAAATTAAGTTGAAGGCTTAAAAATACGGTTTATCGATAAATTCAAAATTCAACAATGAACTATTCAAAAAAAAAAAAACAACCGCGCAGCTATTAATTCAAGCTTAAACAAATTTGAAACAAAAATTATATCGCAAGTTCGTTCAAGTTTCAATTAAACATTTTTTTTTAAGAATGTGAAATCTTCTCGGGAATCCCAACTGTCTTTTTAAAAATGTAAAACCTTTTCGGGGACCCCAAATGTATTTATTTAAGAATGTGAAACCTTCTCACGGGTAGCAATTGTCGTTTTTTAAAATGCAAAACCTTCTCGGGGGCCCCAACTGTCTTTTTTAAAAATGCAAAACCTTCTTGCGGGCCCCCAGTGTATTTATCTAAGGATGTGAAACTTTCTCTCATTGTATTTTAGGAGCGAGGGAAGTTCTGTCGAAACAACTTTCGACCAATTTTTTAGAATGTAAAACCTCAGAAGTCCCAACCATCTTTTTTAAAAATGTAAAACTTTCTTGAAAGCGCCAAATGTTTTTTTTTTTAGAATGTGAAACCTTCTCGGGCGTCCCAACTGTCTTTTTTTAATGTAAAACCTTCTCGGGGGCCCCAATTATAGTTTTTAAAAATGTAAAACCTTCTCGGAGGTCCCAATTGTCTTTTTAAAAATGTAAAACCTTCTCGGAAGCGCCAAATAATTTTTTTAGAATGTGAAACCTTCATATGATGAATGGGGGAATGAGGGAGAGAGATAAATGGGAGAATGAGAGAGGGTGATAAATGGGGGAATGAGAAAGAGGGAGATAAATGGGAGAATGAGGGAGAAAGAATTATAATATTCGGATCATTTTGTTTGATTGTGGTTTAATTAAAATCAAACTAATTTCTACGTGACATTCTTTCGATGTATAAACATAAATTCAAGAACGCTGGATATATTTCATTGTACTTAAGGAGCGAGGGAAGTTCTGTCGAAACAACTTTCGACCAATTTTTTAGAATGTAAAACTTTCTCGGCAGTCCCAACTGTCTTTTTTAAAAATGTAAAACCTTCTCAGATGCGCCAAATGGTATTTTTTAGAATGTGAAACCTTCTCGGGGGTCCCAACTGTCTTTTTTTTGTAATGTAAAACCTTCTCGGAGGTCCCAACTGTCTTTTTAAAAATGTAAAACCATCTCGGAAGCGCCAAACGTTTTTTTTTTAGAATGTGGAGCCTTCTCCGAGGGTCACAACTGTCTTTTTTAACAATGTGAAACCTTCTCGGGGCCCTAACTGTCTTTCTTAAAAATGTAAAACCTTCTCGGGGGTCCCAACTGTCTTTTTTAAAAATGTAAAACCTTCTCGGGGACCCCAATTGTCGTTTTTAAAAATGTAGAACCTCCTCGGAACCACCAAATAATTTTTTTAGAATGTGAAACCTTCTCGGGGGTCCCAACTGTCTTTTTTTTAATGTAAAACCTTCTCGGGGGCGCCAAATAATTTTTTTAGAATGTGAAACCTTCTCGGAGGTCCCAACTGTCTTTTTTAAAAATGTAATTTTAAAAATGTAAAACCTTTTCGGGAGCGCCAAATGTCCTTTTTTAAAAATATGAAACCTTCTCGGGGGTCCCAAATGTCTTTTTTTAACAATGTAAAACATTCTCGGGGGTCTCAAATGCATTTTTTTAAGAATGTGAAACCTTTTCGGGAGTCCCGACTGTCCTTTTTTAAAGATGGCGAAACCTTCTTGGGGACCCCAAGTGCATTTTTTTAGGAATATTAAATCTTCTCGGGTCTCCTAATTGTCTTTTTTTAAGAAAGTGAAACCTTTTTTTCTATTACACTGTGACTAGTGCCTTCTACATTGTTTTTACTCCATAGAGGTTATCAAAAAAAGTAAAATTTCGCAAAATCAAATTTTATAATTTTTCAGAGAAGCAGTATTTCTTGGACTGTACTTCAGAAGCGAGGGAAGTTCTGTTGAAATAACTTTCGACCATTTTTTTTTATATAAAACAGTTGTCTGATTTAGATAATTTAGAAATAAACGTCAATTTTCTAGTTAAAAGCAAAACAGTTAGATCCAAAAATTATAAACAAGTGTTACTTTCACTGCACTTACCATGGATCAAAATCATGTCAATCTTTTAATCCTTTAAATACCTACCATATGATCGAAAAAAAAACGTCCTCTAATGGGACATGGAATTAATTAAAAAAAAATGTGTTGGCAAAATCTGCACTGTCACAACTTTTCGTTTTGAGGTTACGGGAAATTTTTCACGAAATCCTTCCATACATCACATTAAAAAGTAAGACCATTCATCGTTTTCTTGCTTGATTCTATTTCAGTAATCATAATCACTTCGGATAATAGAAATTCGCATTTCTTTTATTACGCTGATAATACTTATGTTAAATTAACATGTAACTTCAAGAGAAAGTACAATACTGCCACCAGCTTTTTTTTCTTAAGTTAATTCCATGGCTTGCTTACCGAACTTTTTTGTTTTATAGAAAAAAACTGTAGTAGGCCCTGGAATTTATATTTAAAATAGTAATGAGTTTTTCTTTGCATCAATTTTACCGAAATGTCAATTTTAACTGGTAGTATCTGACGTTACGCCAATATTGTTACAACAAAACAGATAAACAATTATGTTTTATTTTTTTTTAAATGGTATGAAATGTCAAAGATGGTTTTGAACTTGTATTTCTGGTTGAGTCTTAAATTTCTTAACTGTAGAGTTTCTCATGAATAACCCTGTATAATTGAAAAAAAAAAGATTGTTGTTAGTTACACTATGAAATCACATTTAGTGGGCAGGTAAAGATAATTTATTATATATATACAGTAGCGGTCATTTCTACGGACCCACTCGATAAAAAGTCAAGTTGGTAGCCCTGTCATCTAGTACTTTACGCCGAACGCGGTTGGTAGCGGTAGTTGACATGGCAATCGAAACTAGTACAACACGAATGTTTCGGTTGCCCTCAGCTATGCCGTACTGTATCCCGTGCAGACTGTATGTTCTGTTCATCTATTTATTAAAATAAAATATCTACATTGACAATGGGGCCATCTAACCTGTCAAATTTTTGACACATGTTTTCCCCCAGAAACCCGTCAAGGTCACTTACACCAAACAAATTTTGAAAATTTACACTAGGGAGTGGTTCTATAGAAAAGATCGCGACTTTACAGGGTGTACCAGGATTCGCGAATATTAATCTTTTAAAATGTTGCCACTGGAAGAACGAACGGCATTTACATTTATTTATTAAAAAATTGATCTAAAGATTTTTAGACAGAACTTCCTTCGCCCATGAAGTACAGACGATCAAATACCGATTCTTTGAAAAATTATAAAACTTAATTTTGCGAATTTTATTATTTTAACGATAGCCCCCATAATAAGTTAAAAAAAAAATTGGTGTGGACTATCAAAGTATACATAAAGAAGCATGCTATGCGTATATTTCAAGTGAGTTTTTCCATAAAAATTAAAATATCTATGGTAGCACTTAATGATGTAAAAGTGAATTCAATGAATGTCAATGAAAGAGTAAAACTAAGTTTACATTGGCGTATTGTTCCTGAATTTTTCATACCTTGTAAATTAAATGCGATAGGGTACATTTTGCGAAAATTTCACTATAGGTAATCTGGAGTGCTTCAGGTCTGTTTTAAAAATGTGATTACCTGTCATAGCGATGATAATAGCGTCAGCATATCGCTTATCATTTAAGCACAATTGTACTGCTGCCTCCACATTCCCCAGAAGAAGTGCTTGAGTGATCAGTCCTTCGGTGTCGTCACCTGTTTTGATTTTAAAAGGTGTGGTAGGTCTTGCATCAGCAATGGCATCAAATGGATCCTAAATTACAAATTACACGATTTTACTTACATAAATAACCATAGTAAAATTAAAATATAACTCAAAAGCAGTTTTTTTCTACACCATTAAAAAAGACGGTGACAAATGAACGAGTCAAACGCTTGATAAGTAAAAATAATAACAAAAGGCTAAAACTCCTATATGACAAACCAGATGATTTTTTGTTTTGTATACACCGTGAATTTTTATGTCAATGTAATATAGTAAAATTTCAAAAAATACTAATTCAATTATTGTTATTAGTATTAGTCTAATGGTCCCTTTCAATGATTTCACTTGTTATACTGAACGTTATTTGATCATTGTATTTGTTTGGAACACAAAGGAAAGCAATAAATTTTAGTACTACAAATAAACCAAGCGTACTAGTGGGAAGATAACAGTACTGTTTTAAAATACTCGATTTACGTCAATAGCTCGTTATTGCTGTATCATTTAATATCTTCTCACGGAAAATTAAGAATAAAAAGATATTCCCACACAAACACCTTTCAAAATTTCATGCCTTCAATAACAATTGATTTATCTCAGATTTATAAGAATCACTTATACACTTTACTTCTGCTCTTTTAGTTGATTATTCCTTTGTCACTCACACTTGACCATTCAACATGTATCTTTTTTCGAGAAATTATGAACACGCGCCACTGCGTTTTAGTATCAGACTATTAAACCGCATTGACACGAAAACGCGAACAAGATTCAAACATAAGAAAATATTGCGTTAAACTCTCCATTTGGATTTAAATAATTTCTGACTTATAAAACTTCAAATTTTACAAACAGAAAAATATGTAAACAATAATTATACCTTATTTAAATTTGCCAAACGATTTGTTACGCCATCCACACTATTCTTATTAATGTATTCGTTCAACTTGTTATTAACATCTTCAATACGATAACCCAACAAGTTTAATAATTCTACTCTTGGGTTTTCTTCAAAGTTCGCCCTCAAAAAGTGCCAAATATACTTTGTATGTTGATCATCAGTGGTGTCCGCTTTTCTTGAACAATAATCTGTGAAATTTCCATATTCTAACGCCTGCTCTAGTTCTGTGGATTTTTGTACAAGTTCTGGATCAGTTATGACTTGGCTAATCTGAACAGTCCGGCTAACAGGAAGTGGATGATCACCACTTTGTTCAACTTGAGGTTTAATATTATCAAATGTTATCAATTTACCACCAAACTGAAATATAATAAAATGAGATTAGTAAGTTTCAATCAATAAATCCCTGCAATAATGATTAGATTAAAACCATGGCCAGACACCTACCCCAAATCTCGCTCCAACAGGTCTTTTGAGCCACTTTGGTGGTTTACTAAGATCCACGCTAACAGGTGCTAGATTCTGTTGAGGGACAGGCGCTTGCACATATCCCTCCATGCCAGGAAAACTGTCAGCAATTTTATTTGTGGTTTGAATTTGTTGAGTTTTACCACCCATCAAAGAGTAAATAGACACATGACCATCAAAACTAGGACACGCAATTATTGCTGGGTTTCTCGGGCACCATTGTATATCAAAATTCCACTGATTGGTTTTAGCAATTTCTGAAAGCACTTCTCCATTGGTTTCATTAGAATTTGGATTCCAGGCAATAATCCGGTTATCTTTGCCACAACTAACCAGTAAATCTGAGTCTTGAGAACACCAAGCCAGTGATAAAACACCTCGCTGATGATTCTCTAACGTTTTTAACGGCGAAGTTGCAAAACGTAGATCCCACAACTGGATAATGGGCGAGTGGTCCTCCTCTATAAATTAATTTATGTACTAATTTCAAAGTCAGTATGAGAAATCATTACCTGAAGCCAAACAAAGTTGTGTAGCAACTTCAGGGTGCCACGCGATCACTTTCCACCGTACTCTAGAAACTGTATCAGTCAGTTTAATAATGGGTTCGTTTTTTCGTAAATCCCAAATAACACATTTTGTCGCAAAAGTGGAAGCTAAAATATGCTGCACTTGCCGATTCCACGCAATAGACAGTACGTCCTCGAGAGGTTGTGATTTTGATCCTATAAATACACATCAGCTTGTTTTCAGGGAGGATCTATTATATTTACCAGGGCTCATAGGTGTATTTGTGTTATTCAAATCCCAAATAAAAATTTCTGATTCGGCGGCTCCCGTGGCAAACAAATTCTGTTGAAATGGATTAAAGTCCAACGCATGCACAGGTCCTGAGTGCTTATCTTGGCGACAAATTAACCCGCTATCACCATTTAGTAACTTGGAAGCACTGTAAATCTGGATCAAGCCCCCATCGCACCCACCCACTATCGTTCCGCTGGTCTGATCACCACCATGCGCCCCCCAAATAATTTTATGAAATCTATGCTCACTCGGAGTTGTTGCTTTGAGCACCATATCGGGTCCGGGCTCCGCCAAGTTGAGTGAATATATTTCCAAAGCGGCATTGGTATTAAAGGAGGCATCGAGTAGTTGACCAGCTGTGCCGGCCGCTAAGAGAATTGGAGTATGGGCTTTGGGTGACCAAGCCACATTGGCCGTACGCTCCAAATCTTTGACTTTCATGGTTCTCACACGAAACTTTTATTTCACAAAAAATGTTTTATTTGCACTAACATGTAATCGACGAAACACTTCCAACGTGGCTTGAAGAATTTTATAGTTTGACAACCAGGTGACAGGAACACGTCAACACAACATAACCGAGAAGCCCTTTGATTGGTTAGGTGGCGATCTTGGCGTAATTTAGACGAACAAAATTTAACAACGCTACTGTTTTTACACAAAATAAATTCTAACGACTAGAAAATTACATAGATTAGCAAAAACTTGTGACTTTTACGATATTAAAAAAAATAGGTCGCTTTGGGCAGTCGGCATTGATGGTTACTGCATTACCGACAGGTTGACGCTTACGAATTATTAATTTTTGGTTGTAAAATAATTGTGTTGTTGTATGTTTGACTACAATTACGTGTTTTTATTATATGGTTTCTGTTAAATAATCACCACATTTCCTTTATTTCTGGAATTTTCCACAGAACATTCCAGACATTTTTCCCGAAGCGCCCTCTGACGGCACTAGTATCATCAGGTGTCACTTCGTGGTGTGTTCTGCGAGACTTGTTTTCCGCAAAATTCGTGAAATAAGTTGTTAAATCGATTTAAAAAATGTCTCTCTTTGGCTCTCTGATGGGCGACATGGAGGATGACCCCTATTTCGGGTAAGTACCGATGATTCCAACTGAAAAAATCGCCGCCAAAATCCCATAAACAATCCGCCATGCTGTTTCCGAGATGAACTCAATTTTAATCAAAAAACTCAACTTCCAGGACCCATATGAACATGATGCGCCAAATGAACACGATGATGAACTCCTTCTTCAGCGACCCTTTTGCTATTGGAGGTTTTGGTGACTTTGACAGAGGCCATCGAAGCATTCACAACTCTCTCATGCCTTTCTCCATGCCAATGATGCCCAATTTCAATCGGTTACTAAGCGGCTCCTTGGATTCCCTAGGGGGTTCTCTAGGGAGTTCTCTAGGAGGCTCCCTAGGGGGGCACAGTTACAGTTCCAGCACCGTTGTTAGTATGTCGTCTGGTCCAGACGGACGGCCACAAGTGTACAAAGCAACGTCGAGCACACGCACTGCTCCTGGGGGCATCAAAGAAACACAAAGAACTGTGACTGATACAAGATCTGGCACTAAAAAAATGGCCATCGGACATCACATTGGAGACCGCGCACACATCATCGAAAAAGAGCACAATGTGCGCACTGGAGATCGAGAGGAGAAACAAGACTTCATCAATCTGGATGAAGATGACGCTGATGATTTTAACAGAGAATGGGAAACTAAGACGAGAAGCCGTTCAGAAATTCCTAGAATCAGTTCAGGATCGATGAGGAACCGACACTCATACGGAAGTCCTGGTAGCATGTTGGCCATCACTGGAGGCCCAAGGTAATTGCTGTTTTTTGTAATAATACACACGGGTATTTTATGGCGCTAGTCTTTTTTTGTATTATACACAAGTAGTTTCATTCTCTCGCACTTTTTTCATTTCTTGAAACTTTTTTTCTGTGTTTTGATGTTGTGTTAAATGTTATGCGCATGTAGTAGACGTCGACAAAGACAGGCAACAGCGTTGGTTTCTCCGCGTAGAAGTATACGATCTTCACCGTTGACTGTTCCACAGTCCTCATCAAGGTAGGTTTCTACTTTTCATCAATCATAAAATGAACTAATAACAGAGCTAATCCACCATGAACATATCCAGTCATCATTCTTTTTATTTTTTGTTTAAATCTAATAATTCATGGGAATTTGGTGTCTCATTACAGGTATCATCAGTATTAGAATGTAAATAAGAAATATTCGCGAACTATCACAAAAGTAAGTCGGTTTTAGTAATTTACTTTTATTGTAGTGCTTTCCATTATAACTCATTGTATGTTTTTATTAATCATGAATGCCCGTGTTTGGTAATATTTTATATATGTTTGAATTCACGTTTCAGCTCTTTGTCATCCGCCAGGACTCCCTACAGTCCGCCTGGACAAACTCAAGGTCCACGAAAAAGTAAAAATGTGAAGACAGTGTCTGGATCACCACCTCCAGCGGATTTATAAATCATAAATGTTACCAACGTAATAAATTTAAACGCTGTCTCAATGGAGGATTGATTTTATTTTTTCTTAAAGAAATTTCTTATTATTTATTTTTAGTTATCATGTCAAAATAGTACAATGTTCGTTTGACTCCTTTCCTACTCAAGACATATTTTCTCAATGCAATTATTTATTGTTAATTGTATGACATGTGTAATGTAAAACTGTTGTTGGTGATTTTATTGTAAGATTGGAATTTATATTATGCTATTTATGTAATAAGGTATTTAGAGTATGTGATTAGATAAACTTTTCAAATTGTATTATATTAGATAAGGTTAACTGTATCTCTAGTTTTAAATAAAATTATGGACGACAAATTTTTTCTTCCACAAATCCACCAGTATTTATAACAGTATTTATAATCGAAATAAAATTTTTATTATACTAATAATTATCACAAATAATATGAAGCAAAAATTAGTGTTTTAGTAAACTTTGAAACATACTACACTTCATTTTCAATGCTATGTGTTCCAGGCGCCAGCTCCCCATAACAATGTTTCGCTTTAGGATCCTTATAAGAATTCTCATGTTGCACACTTTGCGAGTTTGTCCGACACTTAGCTAAGCACAGCTCAAAATGATCAGTAACTGAAGCAAACAACACATTATTCTGCTCAGTGGCTTTACCCAAAACATTCTCCAACATATCTTTCTACAACACACAAAATTAATCCACCCCCATAAAAACCGGCGAACTCACCTTATCAGGGTGCAAGCAACAAGATATGCAAAATTCGTATATAGCACAACAATTGTTAATTTTGCACGTCTCACAGGAGTATTGTGGACTGGTTTGCGGTGTATCATTGCAACACCCCGAAGGTAAAATCTCGTGTCGAGGACACACGAAACCCCTGTCATCGACTATCAACACTTTTCCCTGTACAGAATTGCGGCAAGTTTCAGCATCATTGGTCGAATTGTGTTGTTGAAGGGTGCGCCAGATGAAGGGCTGCGTTCGCCGAATTGGAACAACTTCATCACTGTCCAGGAAATCGCTCTAAAATAAAAACCGTCAAGCTGTGGACAGCGGTTTCTGGGAGCCCCACCTTGCTCACATAGCTTAAGATGCAATACAGTAATGAAATCGTGAGAATTAAGCCTAAAATAATGCGCCGTCTTATGAAGCGGATGAAAGCCGTCGACCACATGGTTTGTTTAAGATTATTCCGGTCATTTTATGATCAATTGATATGGAAAATCGTCAAACACGCATTTTAGGGCACTTCATTGATAAGCGAGAGTTGAGGTTATGTTCACTTATGTTTATCTTCTCAGAGCTGTATTAAATTTAAGCAGATCTTAATTTTTCAATAAATGAACATAACATAACAAATAAAGCGGGTAATTGTTTTTAAACATATTGTTTGTATTTGTTTTTTGTGTTCATGATTAACATATAATGTTTAAAGGTTGGCGACCCTAATTATCATCAACTGTCACTCACATGGTGACATAACCTCGAATTGCAATAGTTCGAAAAAGACTTAAAAATGAGTAATTTGTGCAAAAATTTTACGAAAATTATTACTCAAGTGGCAACTAATCGATTGTATTCGTCTTCGTACAAAAGTGCCATTTCTTTGGATAGTTTATACCCCACTAGTAGTTTAAAATTGGCAACACCTAAAAAAGTATGAGAATTTTCTTTTCTTCGTCGTTTATCAAATTTTACTTTACAGCCCCCAAATGAAGGTCAGGACAAGTTCACAGGTTACATTCCAATAGAGGAACTGGATATTACCTACAGCCGAAGTTCAGGACCCGGTGGACAAAATGTGAACAAAGTTAATACTAAAGTTGAAGTTCGTTTCAATATAAGCTCAGCGAGTTGGATTAATGATGATCTTAAAAGTAAACTACTAGAAAAGGTACTTTTAGCCATCACTATAACTTCCTTTAAACTTTGGATTTTAGTATAAAAACAAAATAACCAAGGAAGGTTTTATAATCTTTCGGTCTGATGTAACGCGGTCACAGCATTTAAATTTAGCTGATTGTTTAGAAAAGATCAGATCATCAGTCAGAAGTTGTGTAGTAGTGGAACAAGAACCATCTGATGAAACGGCAGAAAAATTGAGGCGACGGTAACCCATTTAGCACATTTGGTAATAATTAATACACTTTTCTTATTAGGTTTGAACGAGCAACAAGAGAACGATTAGCGCTTAAACGAACACGATCCCAGGTAAAGAGCAACAGACAAACACCGCTAGTTAATTTATAAATAATAACAAAATAGCCTTTTGCGAATTTTATTGAACCAAGTTATTATTATAATAATTAAAGAGCAAAAACAAGATATCTCATTAATGACATTTTTTCCAATAATCAAAACCACAACTTACATTAAAACTACTTTGCACTAAAATAATATATTACAAAAATATATTACTTAAGAGTAAAACACTTTCAATCTCTTTCGCGATCTCGTCTTTTATCGCTTGAACTCGAGTGACGTGAATGTGAACGACGTTCACGACTTCTGGATCTTGACCGATGAGAACGGCTCCTAAAACTTTTAATTACCACAATATTCAAACTTGAACTTGACTTTAACCTGTTGTCGCGTTCACGATCGCTCCTCTCCCTGTCTTTGCGATCCCTTGACCTGGAGCGATGTCTTTTAGATCTGCGATCAAGCTCACGTCCTCCCACGTACTGTTCACGGTGTCTCTCTCGATACCTATCGTCTCGGTCATCGCGATCTCTGTCTCTCGTCTTCCGTTTCTCCTCTTTTCTTTTTTCTGCAGTTTTCTATATTAAAAAAACAAGTATACATTAAATTCGAAATTTGATTTTTTTCAATTTTACCTCAAGCTCCGCTAATTTTTCGCGAATCTTGATGAATCCAAGGTGTAGTTTACCCCCGAAATGATCAGCTAGACGTCTATCGTTGTCATGAATGCCAAGATAAGCTGAACAAACTTCGCACACTCTCAGCTTCTGCTGTTGGTAACTACTTGCCGGCATTGAATTGCGATACTCTTGCTCGGCTTCGAGTTTTCTTTTTCTCAATTCATCTACTTCTTCCATCAACTTCATGCTCTCATCCACAAATCCCTCCTCTCCAAGCTGTTCCGCTTTTGCGAGTTTCTGACCGATTTGTTCAGCTAATTCGTGGACACTGTTTGCTTTGACCGCAACTTCGGCCGAAAGTTCTTCTTGTGTTTCCGCAAGTCGTTGTTTAGCTGCCTCTGTGCGACGATCGCAGTCGCTGATGAAAGCTTGCAAATGTTCCATTGCCTTAAAGTGACTTAATTTAATTGCGAATGAGATAGTCGTGATGTTACTTACATCCAAGTCATAAAAGTAGTCCTTGGAAGCTTGGGCTTTTTCAAAATCAGCCCTTAAGGCCAAATCATGGATTCTCGGGCATTCCCCCAAGTCCATGCGCTGTCAAAAAATTCAATTAGACATTGATTATTACATGAGAAAAACAGATTTTCCTATTAAGTGGAGAGTTAAGACCTCATTTGTAGTTTGATGATCTTTAACATTAAACAACAACTATTACAGCTCCAAAAATCATATTCTACACAGTAAAACGGGCCTAAATTCGACAATCACAACTCAATTTTTGGCAAAGTGAAAGTGAAATGGTTCAGTGTGACACAGAATTGAGATTGTGGAAAGGAAAGCCCGGTGATGACTTGAGTAAAATAAATATAATAAATAAACTTACAATTATGGCAATTTCCACATGAAAATTAATTCCTAAAGCGCAGCCCGATTTTCCGTTAAAAATCGTGTTTATAAACGCACCAATTTTGATGATTAGATCGGCTAAGATCCAAAAATTGTTATTATACTCACGAAAAAAGCCACAGTGCAATCGATTGGACTTGAGCAAATTTTCATTTATTTTATTACTCGTTTTTTTCGAATACTCACAAGATCCTTAATTAAGGTTTTGTATGTAGTACATGCATCTTGTACTATAACCCTCTTTATTCACTTACTTACCAAGGCAAACACAAAAAGACAATGTTGGCGCGGAAATGGGGCTCCACTAAGAAACCCCAATTGCCGCGGCAACAAATCCGTCGCAAGTTACTATCAACATTAAACCTAATAAATTCAATTTTATACGTACGTCATAGTACTTACATACAAAACTAACACCTATTTCCTCATCATTATATAGAAAATTGAAGTTTCTGAAAATATAGTGCGAATATTAGTCCACCGAATACATCATCTATTTTTTCAAAAAAAAAAAAAACAAATCAAAAGACAAAATACTCGCTAAAATTGTGCGGAAACTGAACGACTTTTTCAAAAAAAAAAACTAATAATAACAAAGTACACTTACCGTGGATGTAAGGATCTCATGGGGGCAACAACCCAACAAAAACGACTTGCACACCTTTGGATCATTAAATTTCACTTGGTATTTTGTGGTTTCACCTGCAATACATGCAGAATTGCTTAATGAGGTCGTAAATTGAAAGAAAATCGATGACGATGAGCTAAACTAAAAAAATGCCTTACCGTTACGTCCGGTACCCATTAACTGATCTAACATCGCCCTCATCTGATCGTGGGCCGTCATTTTGGTGGATTTTCTCAAAAAAATCACAAAATTTGCTTCAATTTCGTTGACTTTGATGGTGATAAGCAGCACTATTTCACCACGAAAGCAAAACGCAAAATGGCGTCGCTGCCACTGCAGTACCAACATAAATCGTGACGTAAGATCAAAATCACTAAATCGATAATTGATTGGCGCATTTAAAAAAAGCTCCGCACATTTATTATTAACCATCCTTTTTTCAATACAAACTGACGACGGTACAGTGGGATTATTTCCTGAAACAGGCATTGTAATCGCCCTAGTTGTTTTATGTTTTTGACTCCTCCACCACGCCTGTCGACGAATAATACAGCTTATTTGATATACAATAACACCACCCCAAACTTAAACAGGGGCTCTTTGTTACGTTTCACTGGCACGCTTCTTCTAAACAGGACCGGCTTATCTTTAGTGGTATTAATTTATGAAAAGCAGTTTAGTAAGGGGTTACAATAAATACTTTTGGAAACAGAAAGTCAGCCTTCAGTCCTTCACTCTTGCTGGACTCTGTTCTACTTTGTACTTTCCCTTCTTGTCAGTAATTTTGTTGTTATGCAACTTTACAAAATCTAATGTGTGACATGTTTTTATATGTAAAATATGTCCAACTTCCAAGCAAAGCTCTTTTTCAAATTTCAAAGTTTCTTTTTCGTCACAAATATGGGTATGCTTGTTAAATTAACCTTAAATTGGTACTCGAAGAACTTCAATGACAAGGTGCACATTTATTTTGTTCAGAAATGGGCAGAATTTCTACAAAATCTGAATAGGAACTTCGCACCTTTCAAATTTCGCGCGTTTCTTTCCTTCAACTTTTGCCAGTTCAATCACGAGAGGTCGCAGAAGGTGGCGAAATTTGAATGACGCAAAGTTCTTTTTATCGCACGGTGTATTTGGCTTAGTGGCGGCCAGGATTCATTTAATTTGAATCGAAATTTGTTATTAAAATGTCATACCTAACTTTCTTAAAAGTGACACAGCGCCAAACCCCTCCTCTCCACAGTTGATACACAACATTGATACAGAATATCAATCCAGACGTGTCGTGGAAAATCATAAATTTTCACAGAAAAAATGTTTTGATTTACACCAAACTTGAATTCTTTACATGGCTATTTTTGAATTTCATTCCAAAAATTGTACCTGTACTAACTGTTTATTTTTCGTACACCTTTACAAATTTACGATTCCTTTTTCACAAACTTTTCCTTTTACAGTAGTAAATTTGTGACATTTTATTTAGCCACTCACGTATAAAATAACATTTAAAAAAGATTCATCATTTTCTTTTGCGACATCAACATTTTATAACTTGCTGGAACAATTTCGATTTTCGTATTCCAATTCAAAAAACTTTCCAACATTCACATTATTCGGGAACTACACATGTTCCATCAGAACATGGAACTGGTTCGCAATTAATGGACTTTTCGCGCTCACTCTGTAGCTTGCATTGCAAGAACATATTTCTGGAGCAGCACAAATTCCATTAAAACAAGACACGGAACACACTGGATCACAAACGAATTTACTGACTTCGCTCAGTTCGTAACCATCATCACATGAATATGTTTCTGGGAACACGCAACTTCCATTGGAACACGGTGTGGAGCAAACTGGATCACATATGTATTGGTTGTTTTCATTCAGTGTGTAACCGTAGTCACAAGAACAAGTTTCTGGAGCTACACATTTGCCATTAGAACATGGTGTTGTACAAACTGGTTCACCAACAGAGCGATTTTTATTGTTCAGTTTAAATCCAACATAGCAGGAACAAGTTTCTGTAGCTACGCATATTCCTCTAATACATGGTGTAGAACATACGGGATAGCACACGTACGGATTTTGTAAGATACGTTGGTAACCTCTATAACAAGAACATCTTTCTGGGGCTACACATTCCCCATTAGAACATTGCGAAAAGCATTTAGGTTTACAAACGTACTGATCTTCGTCGCTGAATTCATACCCGTTATAACAAGAACATATTTCTGGAGCTACACACGTTCCATTAGAACACGTTTGGGAACAAATTGGGTTGCAGATGTATTGATTCGTCTTGTTTAATTCGTAACCATTAACACAAGAGCATATTTCTGGTGCGATACATGTTCCTTTAGAACACGGAACAGAACAAACTAGTTTGCAAACTTGTTGATTGTCTTCGGCCAATTCATATCGTTCATCACAAGAACAAGTTTCTGGAGCTAGACATTTTCCGTTAGAACAGGGTGTTGTACAGACTAGTTCACACACGTAGTGATTTTTCGTACTCAGTTCGTATCCGTCATAACAAGAACAAATTTCTGGAGCTACACACTTGCCATTAGAGCATGGTGTAGAACAAACTGCTTCACAAACATGACAATTTTTCTTACTCAGTTCAAATCCAATATAGCAAGAATAAGTTTCTGGAGCTACGCATATTCCTCTGGCACATGGTGTCGAACACACTGGATGGCAAACGTATTGATTTTGGGAGCTGTGTTTGTATCCTCTATAACAAGAACATGTTCTGGGGCCACACATTTTCCATGAAAACATCGAAAAGTGCACTTAGGTTTACAAATGTACTTATTTCCCTCACTGAGTTCATACCCGTTATTACATGAACATATTTCTGGAGCTACACATTTTCCCTTAGAACATCGAAAAGAGCACTTAGGTTTACAAACGTACTTATTTTCCTTGCTGAGTTCATAACCGTCTTCACAAGAACATGTTTCTGGGGCAGTACACAAACTGGGTTGCATTTGATTGTTTTATAAGAGTGGTCTTGGGAATATCCATCACAACAGGTCTGTTCTTGTCTAAATACTATAGTTAACTAGAATAGTTTTAGTACAGATACTTAAAACACAATAATACTTACTTTTTCAGTGAAATCATCATCATTACAACAGACTAGTACGAATGTAGATTTCACGTACCTGTTTTAGTTTGATTAAATTATTCTGTTGTGTGATTTTTTGTGTACTTACGGTACTGAATCCATAAATATTCCAGTCTCAGAAGCCGTGGATGACAAGTAAGTAATTATTATCATAAAGGGGAATACTGAATAATATGGTAACAGCGTGTTTTCCAGAAGGGAAGTAAATGATAAACTGAATAAATGGTAATTGAAATCAGTTGACGAAATATTGCACGAGCAATATGATTTATTTGTCATCCCAAATATGTAAACTGAAGGGCTAATTTTATTAGTAAGAAGGAAATGTTGGTTAAGCCCTTGTTAAAGCCACAAATTGTGGTCAAAAACACAGTTAATGTATCGGTGTTAACATTAAGGGCATGTCTATTTTTTTTTACATTTTCAAAAAAGGGCGATTATTTAAACAAAAATAAATCGCATTCGCGCCACAGTCCTCCTCAACGAATGTAATTAGTGTAAGATCAGTTTATTAATGATTTTATAATTCATGTCTTTAAGATTTATTGTTGGTTGTAGAACAATTTTACAACGACCATGTAAAAAAGTTCACATAAAAATATGTGGCGAAAATTGACGAATTCAGGCTTAATCATATTTTTATAATGATTTGTATAAAAGTTCTGGATATTTTTATTTAAGTTAATACATTATCCACACCTCATGACTTCTCACTCGATGTTCAAAATAGTTAATTTATAGCATTTAAACGACTCTTGAACATTGATTTTGAGAGAAAGGACCTTGAAAATTATCATCAGTTTAATTAATATCATCATGGACTAGAAATAGGAGGTGTATTTTATGTTTATTTTGTAGTATGTGAGTGCAGTTTTCTTACTTTCGAATTATTTGCTCACAGCTTGAATTTCAACAGTTATTCTGGAATTATTTCGATCTTAACCATATTTAATACGTCCTTGTGTTTTTTTATATGTGATTTGTTTTATGCATTATGTGGATTTGTTGAACTTCATTTTGATTTGATCTATCAAATTAAAAGTAAATCTTAGTTGTTCCAAATATTTGTAGATGTTGATTACCAGAAGTAGAAAAGGAATTCACTTCAATATAAAATTTTATATTTTAATGCTTACTACATTAAAAATAGTAATATCACAACACACTTTACTAACGCTAAGTAAACTTAGACATAAAATTTATATTACATAATTAGAACACATAATAACTAGCCTATATGTTACATTAATATCCCGCTTTTAGCCTGGGTTATTTCCACCCTTCTGCCCTCTATAAAAGGAACTGATCCATAAACATTAGTTCCCGGCTTTTTCCTTAGTATGTTGCCCATGCTCTATTCCAAAATGTATCTCATCTTTAATCTGATACGCCCACGCCATCCTCCTGCTAGTAAAATCAATGCCAAGTCCTCCACTTTTCGATATAGTTATAGCCCCTGCAGTATTGTGAAGTTTAGCCGTCATACCTTTCAAAGCCTTACTCGTAGCGACGTTCGCACTACTCCCATTTTTAATCTCATAAATAATTGTGTGAGCTAAACAATAGCGTGCAATGCTCTCCCCATGTCCGGTGGTGGAAACGGCTCCCACGTCATCATCTGCATACGTTCCACTCCCAATCATAGAAGTATCGCTGCTCCTCCCCACCATTTTCCCATTGATCCCTCCAGTGGAGGTGGCCGCAGCCAACCGCCCCTTACTATCGATAGCCACCGCTCCTACCGTTCCTACATCGCCGATTTCAGTGCGGTTGTCACCATGTTCCTTGAAATCTTCCAGGGCTTCTGTTGCGTATTTTGACACAAGGCTGCCTGGAGGTACAGTAGGGACTCCTTGGTCCTTAGCAAAGCGATTAGCGCCTACACCGGCAAGAAGTACGTGGGGTGTTTTTTCCATGACCAGGCGGGCTAAGGTGATGGGGTGGGCGATGTCTTTGACTACTGTTACTGCTCCTGAGTTTAGATTGGCACCGATCATGATTGATGCGTCCATTTCTACTTCACCATCTAGGTTTAAGACGGATCCGTAACCTAATTAAGACATTGGTTAATATAAAGTGAAATTCAAGGTCGATACTTAATTTAAGTAAGATTCATCGTTTACTCAAACTCGACTGACTGTCATTAAGTCGTTAGCGCTTAAGCAAGACTAATAGAGTGGTTTCACATAAATTCGAGTAAGTTTGAATCAGACTAATCAGTTATGATATGTGTACAATAATAAAATTATGAACAATTTCGTAGCGTGGTCTACCCACGCAGGTGTAGTAGAAATTTATGACCAAGTAGTGATCAATTTCAGCTGCATACCTTCACAGACTCACATGCGCATGTTATATGCGCAAGTGTATTTAAGCCTGTGTAGCCAGCTTAGGATACTGCTTCTTCAATTTTAGTTTTTTATTTTTAGATTAGCTAAAACAAAAATAATCTCTACAGGTATTTGCAGTCAACTTCACTTGCTCAATATCAAAGATAATGTTACTGTGCTCCCACAATTTCGGTCAAATCATACAGCCATTCCTGAGATAACCGAAAAGTCTTTTTTGAACATTTTGCACATTTTTTGGTTTAAGCTTAACTTCCCTCATCATTGAAGCACAATTAAATAAATACAGTTTACGCTCTAAACCAACTGAGCTAATGGACGATTACTGAGCGTTCCTCTTACATTCTACAACCTCGATGAGCAGAGTAATGTTTTATTCCTATAAAATAACTTTCTAGTAACAAAAATTTGTCATTAGTGATTTACGTACTATGCTACTAATCTTTAAATGTTTGCAAGATTTCAAAGTTTTCCTGTTTCTAAGTTAATTTCTCGAATGTTGCTATGCAAAATTAAGGCGGATTCATAAACACCAAGTACAGAAATGCGTCATTTTATAAAATTCAAATAGCATTTACTATGCAAAATTTGAAGTGATGTCATCACATTGTTGGTGGGGTGATCAGGCAAATTGTGGTTAGCCGCACCTACATAATATTCCTAAAATACTTATAAAATTTGACAACAGTTGGTCCAGTAGTTATGGAGACTATTGGTGTAATACATATCGAGACAGATGACAGAAGACAGACGGGCGACAGGCAGAAGGAAAAAATGCCTCTTGGAACATAATTTTAATAAAAATTTCGGATTAACTCTTCAGTACGTTATGTACGGGGGTTTCAGGAGTCCCAAAAATATAATAAAAAATTCTTTATGATGTATTGTCTTTGCTATTTCTATTGAAACACCACCTGTTTATTTTGCTTAAAATTTAGCAATTGGTAACAGCTTTCGGTTGATTGACAATGGCTTTTAATTAAAAAATTGTCTGAATATGAACGTTGTCAAATTTACGTTCAACAAGTCGTATTTCAATAGAAATGGCAAAGACTATTGCTTTTGCCATTTCTATTGAAACACTACCTGTTGATTTTGCTTAAATTTAGCAATTAGTAACAGCTTTCGGTTGATTGACAACGGCTTTTAGTTAGAAAATTGTCTGAATATGAACGTTGCCAAATTTACGATCAACAAGTGGTGTTTCAATAGAAAGACTACATATATAGATACGAAGAAAACGTGATTTTATAAAGGTAACATTGGCAACACTGCACGCAGCTAATGCGTGAATATCTCCGGCTGACTTTCTGCTTTCTTAATCCACTTTTAGTAACGATGGTGACTGCAATCCACCTTTTATTTTTTTTAGAACAATAAACATAACAACCAGTAGTCTTTAATCATTGTGCCTTATTATTAATAAAACAAGTTGTTTATTTTTCATTAATAAATAAACCAAAAAAAAACATTTAATAAGACATTTATAAATTATAAACAAAAACAAAACTAACAAAAAAAAATCCATTAAAGCATAACGAACTAAACAGTAGAGAAGATGTTCAAAATTCCTGGCTTGTGCATATAAGTAAACTCGTAATGTTTCCAAATTTGGATCATTTTTGTAAAAGTTAGTCATATAGTCATTGCTAAGATAAAACTGACTTTGGCAAATGACATACCCCCTAAGAAAAGAGAGGGTGGATGAGCGGGGCTAGTAGCTGCTAAGATAAGACTGATTTTGACTAATGAGATACCCTCTAAGAAAAGAGAGGGCCGGTGGGCTGGGCTAGTACCTGCTAAGATAAAACTTTGTAACAAAACAAACTTAAGGGAATCAGTTTCTTATAACTTACGTCTTGATCTTTCACAATAATTCTAGTCTCCCATACAACCTACAATTTCGTTATAGGCCAATTTCTTCCAAAAAAATGTAAAAACTTAAAATGGAAATATGACATTAAAATGATCATACTCGGATAAAAAACAAAAATACAGAAAACAAATTTATGTTAAAAACTTTACTTGTGAAAAAATTTACTGAAAAAAAAGATGTTATAATAATAATACGACCCGATTTTTTCCAATTTACTTAACAAAATATTTTTCTACTCTCTGTCTAAAATCTTAGCTACAATAAAAGGGTCATCTGCATTAATTTTTATCCCCTGAGCATAAGCGAAGGAAGTGGATGTTGTAATCAAGTCCATCGGACGATTTGCTAGTTTCATGTTTTCTCGACGTTTCATGACCGCTAGAGTGCGAAAAATGTGGTCCCCGATTTCGTCTGTCTGTCGTGTGTCGTTTTTTATTAAATAGATAATCTCCGAAGTTACTGGTTCAATTGTTGTCAAATTTGTATGTATGTATATTGGGAATATCATGAAAAACAAAATTATATAACATTTTAGAATTTAACTTTAATTATTTTATAAAAATAACTGTCTTTTTTTAAGTGTCAATAAAAATTTAGCGCAAAAATTTGGTGACATCATCTCAAAATTTTACCAAACAAATCCTATCTAAAATGGTGCTGTACTTTATCAATGCATTCATAGTTTTTACAATTACATACTTATAAATCGTGAGTCAAAAGAATTAATAATTGAGGCCGCCTGTTTTATTGATCAAACCAAGAACGACTCACCTTATTTTCTCGAAAGTTTGAGTAGGTATACACTATATTAGCATTAAACTAATAATAACAGTATTGTATAGGTACTCAAATTTTCGAAAAAGTTGCACCTATTCAATATGTGTCTTTACTAAAATGTTGATGACGTCATTAGAAAATCTCACTTAAAACATTCGCATAGCATGCTTATTTAACCATATCTTTATTTTAAAATTTGCAAAATTGAATTTTATAATTTTTTGAAGAAGTTGTATTTGTTTGACCGTACTTCAGGGGCGATGAGTTTTGCCTAAATCACGATAGACCAATTTTCAGTAAATGCCATTTAAATTTTATTAAATAACATATTCTTGTACTAGTGGCTTCTGAATCTGCCTTGAGTTTTTACCCTAGGCGTCCTTTTCCCAAAAAAATCCAAACTGAATAATAGTCTTTTATATAAATGGTATTTATGGAGGTCCTCTATCACTTCTGGATCCAGACTGTTTTCTGTATAATTCAAAGTATAAAATAAAAGTAGAGACAGAATATAAAGAAAAAATTATTTGTATAGTGGTACAACTTGAACTTTATTTAATCGTTTTATTCGTCCTAAAGTCTATATAATAAAAAAAAATGGGCCGCATCTAATGTGAACTCAGTCCAATCTCTGAATCTCCAGTTTTCCGCGGTCTCCCCTAGCTCCATTTTAAAAATAAAAGATGGATTTATTTCGGCCAAACAAAAGGAACATGAATTACCCCAATTTTGATTTATGTATTACATATTTTCTATAAAATGAATCTGAATTTTTAAGATACCTAAATAGTACATATATATTCGTTACGTTTTTCATCTAGATATTAAATATTTATGGCCTTTCATTAAAATGTTTTGAATAATTTCAACAACCACACCAAAGATTCAAGAAAAAATAACCAATATAAATTAGCTTGGCGACCTTATCTTTTATGCAAAAGTGAGACAACTAATTTAAGATATTTGCGAATTTGTAGCAATCGTTAAAGTTTATAAAGTGAGCATATTTAAATGACTGCCTCTAGAATTTTAGATTAAAAATTATTATTTCCATAAGTAAACTTCATTTACCTTGGTAAAACGACATTCAGTTCGTAACACAAAAAATATTGGATTTTCACGAAAGCTAATAGTATATCTAACAAGCAGTACTGAAGTCTTAAATGAGACCTGTAGATCAATACTGTAAATTTTGTATAGAATTAATTATTGTGTTTTGAATTATTAATTAAACGTCGACTTTCGAAATTAAGCACGGTTTTAAAGGTCTAATTAAAACAAGTAAAAACAATATTTGGATTTTATGGCTGTACTCTCGCAAGACGTTAAAGAATATGGATTACATAGCCGACTTTCTAATGATAGTCCTTACGGGAAAAATGGCATAAGATATTTAAAAGCGTGACGTCATAGGTGGCGAGTAATCGCTGGTTGTGTCTAAATGTAGTTTGAGTGATTCAGGTAGTGAAATGAAAATACACGCAATAATACACTTGGGTTTAGCTAGGATAGTAATTAACGTTTAAATAATATCTATTATCATTTATTTGCTTTTGTTTCCGCACTACCTGTTCCTCAAGATGGTTCGATTACCTATAATCGATCCTGTGATTTTCTAGAAATAAGTACATATTTCTTTCTATTTCCTGTATGACATAATCCTTTAAGAATTGAAATACTAAAAGCTAAAAGACTACTAGTCTGTAGAAATATTTAATTCGATAGGTTCCTCCTTACATTACGGAAATTAAGTTCTCAAGTTACACTACATGATCATAAACAATAAATTCATCCCAAATATTTGAAATGTGTATTTAAATAACCTAACGGATAGTATTATTGTAATGAATAATGAAGTTCTACATTTTTTAATAGAAAAATCGTACACAATAAATATCAAAAAGAATAAAAAAGCAATTTGTTATTGATAATCTGATAAATGTACACCTGTTGTAACAGCGAAAGAACTGGAAAAAAATTCACGTCCTTCAGTATTGTATTTGCGTAAGATAAATTTCCCCAGGTACCAACAAATATAAAAAGGACTGGTGAATTATCATGTTCATGAGGGAATTAATCCCCACTGGAGCCAATTATTCATTTTCAGTGGACCGATCTATACCAAGCACAAAGTCCAAATGACGTCACAGTACACATTTTCGAATAATATTTCTCACCACCAGTCTTCGAATAATTTTACTACTCAGTAAAATTTTAATGTTTTATCCTTTAATGCTGTTAGTAACAAAGAAAATTAAGCGAAAAAGTTACCTGCGTTGAAAGCTTCATCATCTTCCATTGATTTAACCGCTTCTTCAACGGCGTCCAGAACGCTGCCTCCATTCCTTAAAATCTTGTATCCCAAAGAAGCGGCTTTTTTTACCCCTGCTATTTTTAAAGGAACTCGGGAATCTGGGATGTCTCCAGCACCTCCATGAACGAGAACTATCGGTTCCATTTTGCATCTAAAACCACTCGACAGTTTTAATCAGTTTTATCAAACGCATTAAGTGATTTGTAAACATGACACCGAGAGACTAACCTAGTTTGTGTAAATAGAGACAGTACTAAAATTAAACTTATTGTTAGACACTTCATCGTGGTGGATTCACTAGAACTACGCCGATCTGACCAAGACCAAGACTTTCATTATCTCAAGAAAACTGGTTTCAGTTAACTGTTAATTCCGTGTATTACAACATTGATAAATACCTAGTAATGCGAATTAATAAATAACTGTGTTTGTAATGCAGTATTTTATTTTTTAATGAATCTTGATTTTTTCACTAAAGTGATCGTAGTCATCGATACCGTAATGGACGTCGTCTCGGATTTGATACGCCCAAGCCATTTTGTCGGTCGTGAAGCTAATACCAATTTGTCCGTTTTTGGACACCGTTATAGCACCTGAAAAAAATCCATGTTTTTGTATCTTTTTTTAATATCAACATTATCACAACCTGTGGGTTTATGAAACTTTTCTGTTATTCCCTTCACAACCGTTCTGGTAGCAACACCCGCTTCGAACCCTCGCTTCATGGTACTGATGATTTCATGAGCCATAACATACCGGGCGATAGCTTCACCATGGCCTATAGAATCAGTTATATGAAAAACTAATCATCTTTCAGTTCAAAACAAATCAATTAGTAAATACTTGACACATTATTTCCACAAAATTAAAACAACATTAATAGTAGATTACGATACGTAATCAGCAGACCTCGGCGAAAAATATATGTTCCCAATTACGGCACGGCGTGCTGCAAAGCAATAAGCTGTATTCAGCATTTGACAGCGTAGCTTCGGCTACTTTTTTACCTGGACGTTGCCCGAGATATATTTTTCGCCGCGCTCTGGTAGTTAGTAGATGAATCTTATTAGCATCAATTTTCTTATTAAAAAAATATATCGGTTAACCCAAATCTGTTCACACACTACTTGTAAATACATACAGAATTACAAATTGTATTATTAAGTAAGAATACCTAGGAACATAAAAATACAAATATTATTAATTATAAATGTGTAGCTCAAGGCGCCCCTGCCATTTATTATTTACTCACTTATGAATTTGACGCAGTCCGGCTACGGTCATGATTAATTTATTTCTATTTGAAAAGCCGCAGTATCGATTACGACCGAAATCCGCACTATTCATGGAAAAATATATAAAATGGATGTTTAATTTCTGCAATTACTAAATGAAAATTAATTGCACTGCGTGGTTGCATTCTACACAAAAATATTCGTTCCAAACATTAATTAAATACAATATTGTATTGTATAATTTTCCAGATGGACGATCAATATTATTTTTTTCTTGCATTTTATGCAATTTTATATACATTTTCATGTTTTTCGCTATCTGCATTCTCAAGTAGTATTAGAAACTACTTACTTATGCAATCGTCTCACTAATATCAAAATTTATACAAAAACGTTGATTATTTTATATGAAGTTAGTTACCTATATTCATTCTTAGGTCCGTTCCTATTTATTTTGTTTATAAATGATATAATCTGTGGACTGAATGTTGATTCTTTAATGTATCTCGATAATATGAAAATCTTAGCTGAAATTAAATCGTACAAAAACCCCAAAGTTACCTTCAAATAATATTTAATTGTCATTTCAAATATTCAGTTTTTGTATTTTTCTAAATTTGAATTTTGCAATTTTTAATCTTTCGTTGTTTTCAATTTTTTGTTTCTTCAGTTTTTCCACATGCATTTTTTTTTCGAGTTTTCGATTTCTCATTTTTTCAGATTATTCTATTTTTCGATTTTTAACTTTCTGACGTTTCAATTTTCGGTATCGTCAGTTTTTCGATTTTTAATTTTTCGTTCCTTGGATTTCTCGTTTCTTAAATTTTTCTATTCTCACTTTTTAGTTATCAATTTTAATTTTTTTCATTTTTTAATTGTTGAATTTTTAATTTTACGATTTTTCAATTTTTCAATTAATTTTTCAATTTTTCGTTTTTTTTAACATTTGAATTTTTCGATTTTTCAACTTTTCAATTTACGATTTCGCAGTTTTTCGATTTATCAATTAGATTTTTAATTTTTTCAGTTAATAGAGTTCTCGATTTTTTTCCATTTTTTTATTTTGAAATTTTTCAGTTTTTGAATGTTGCAGTTTTTCAATTTTTCTCAATTTTACAATTTTGCAATTATTCGATTTTTCAATTACTTCGTATTTCTAGATTTCGTTTCTTCAATTTTTCGCTTGTATTTAATTTTCATTGTCTTGAGAATTTAATTTTTAGTTTTTTCTGCGTCTAGGGTAAAAAATCAGGACGGATTCATAAACCACAATCGCGGAAGCATATTAATTCTTAAATTTAAATAACATTCATTATGCAAAATTTTGAGGGGACTTCATCTGATTATTATTATTGACACAAAATATTTGTAATATACGTCTACAATTCTTCCAGTTTTTCAATTTTAATTTTTGTCGATTTTTAAGCATGAATTTTTTAATTCTTCGATTTTTTAAATGTCTTTTTTCATTTTTACGTTTTCACAACTTTTCGATTTCTCAAGCTTTCGATTTTTTATTTGAAATTGGAGGAATTGAAATTCCTGGATATTTAATTTTTCAGTTTTTGGATGTGTTTCAGTGTTAAGTTTTTTGATTGGACGTTTTTTTCTTTTTCAGTTTTTCGATTCTTCAACTTTTAAATTTGACGATTTTTCGACTTTATAATTTTGTAATTTTTTTATTTTTGATTTTTTGGTTTTACTCCCTTTTTTCTATTTTTTCGGTATATATTTATTTTGCAATTTTTAGGTTTTTCAATTTTTTGGTTTTAAAATTTTTCACTTTTTAGTTTTAGATATAGGAGCGGGGCAAGAATTGACAAGACAATATGTATGTCTTATGTCTGATGTACTTATGTATTAATTAATATGGATAAAACAGTTAAATTTTTCGATTTTTTTAACATTTAAATTTTTCAATTTTTTAACTTGCCAATTTTACAGTTTCGCAGTTTTTCCATTTTTCAATTAGATTTTTGTTTTTAATTAATAGAATTGATTTTTAATTTTTCAATGATGCAGTTTAATTTTTAGATTTTTAATTTCTTTTTTTTTTGTTTCTTCAATTTTTCAATAATTTTTTGCCTTGTGGTATCTCCAGCTTTTTTAGATTCAAAGTTAAATTGCAAAATATTATTACACAATTTTAATTTATTTTTTGAGAAAAATAAATCAAGACGGATTCATAAATTACAATCGCAAAAGAATGTTATTTTATAAAATTTAATAAGTATATTTACGAAGCAAAATTTTGAGGTGACATCATCAGATTATTGCCAGATAAGTTTTGGTTAATGTTTTACCATTTGTACGATATTCCTAACAGACGTTATTAATTTTTCTAGCTTTTCTCAGACTTTATCAATTTTACTTTTTTAGTTTTCAATTTTTCAATTTTTTTCAATCTTTCATTGTCAAGTTTTTAGGTTGGACAGTTTTTCTTTTTTCAATTTTTCAGTTCAATTTTTAAATTTGTCGATTTTTCGACTTTCAATTTCCCGATTATTTATTTTTTCGACGTTTTAGTTTTTCGGTTTACAATTTTTCGTTTTTTTTTAATTTGATTGTATTAAGATTTTTTAATTTTTAGGTAGTCACGGGACAAGAGTTGACAAGAAAAGTTATATTATTATTATGTGGATTGATATTGATAAAATCACATTTAGCTTCTGTTTTTTTCTGTTTTTAATTGCAAGTGATTAGAGTTTTAATTTTTTCAAATAATAGAGTTTTCAATTTTTAATCTTTAATTTTTCAATTTTCCCATGTTTCAAGTTTACAGTTTTACGATGTTTTGATTTTTCAATTTTTGGTTTTTATTATTTTTGATTTTTTGACAATTCAATTTTTTAGGTTTTCAGTTTTTAAATTTTTCGACTTTGCATATGCTTTTCCGAAAAACAAGATAAAATTATAAAATTTGATTTTGTGAATTTATTTTTATGATGATCCCTATAAATTAAAATAAAGATATGTTTGTGGTGTAACTATACTATGGCAACATTTCAAGTGCACATTTTAGATGAAATAAATTCCAAAACGCCAAAATTTTGTGAATTTTGATCAAAGATACTTTGGATAATCTTAAAACGTTTGCAAGATTTCAGAGCATTCGATTTTGATTTTTTTTCCAAAAATCTGGACCTCTAGGTTAAAAAGTCTCAATTTCTCGATTTTACGATTTCGCAGTTTTTCGATTTATCATTAGATTTTTAATTTTGTCAATTAATAGGGTTTTCAAGTTTCGTTTTTTTTTCATTTCTTGATTTTAAAATTTTTCAGTTTTTGAATGTTGCAGTTTTTCAATTTTTCGCTTTTATTTTTATTTTTCATTTTCTTTACATTTTAATTTTATTATTAAGTATTTTATAATATGTAAATAACATTTACTATGCATTTACTATTGCAAAATTTTGCTGGCAGGGATGATTAGACAATTTTTGGTTATCGTTCTACCATTTACACGATATTCCTATCATAGGTTTAAAATTCGACAACAATCGGTTCAGTAGATTCGGAAATTATATATCGAATAATAATTGACATAGGCAACAAACAGACTGGCGGAAACGTCGAGAAAACATGAAAGCTTACGCTCACGAAGCAAAAATTATGCATGTCATTTTAATTTTTTTTAAGTATCATAATAGTGTTACGAAATAAACTCATACGCCGCCCCGGTGCGACGCCTATGGGTTCTCGAGCTTTCTAGTATGCACGGCGATGATGGGTGACTCATCGTCGGTGACGACGGCCGGGCGGCGTTCGCTAAAGAAAAGCCTGGAAGCGGAAATCGCGATGGGTACTCTAGAAAAACTTCGACCACGAAACATCTAGAAAAGAAGTATGGGTTTAAATAGAGGCCACCTTCGGGAACGATTATTATTCCGCCGGAATTATTTTATCACCGCTGTATAATTAGTCGTGTAAATTCGAGTTACTAAAAAATTGTTGAATTTTACCCACGCCGATTTAAATTACCAATCATCGTAACAATAGCATTTTGAATGTACGCTCCTGATTTGAAAAACGGGACAGCGACTTTGTCAAAATTATTTGATTGGTCACACAAAACATTAATTAAACCCTACAATGTTTTAAAATTTGGAAGTGTGTAGTGGTAATTTTCTTTGGCCGCGAACTCCAATTCGTTTATATGGCAAAATTTTCCACATTTCAAAATAACCTGTTACAACTACAGCTCCAATTTCATCGTCCGCATAAATTCCGGCACCAACAATACTCGCATCGCTGGTTCTTCCTGGTAATTTACCAAGTCGCCCTCCCGTTGAACTAGCAGCTGCTAAACGGCCCTTGCCATCTACAGCGACAGCCCCCACACCTCCACAGCCACTAGCCATTTCAACAAATCGGTAATCTCTAGCAATCAGACTCTTATATTCTTCGAGGTCTTGTTGAGCGTGTTGTGCCAACAAAAAATTAAGAGGCACTAGTGGCACACCACGATCTTTAGCAAAACGCCTCGCACCTTCTCCTCCCAAAAGGAAGTGGTTCGAATTGTCCATTACTGCTCGCGCCAAACTATTTTGTTTGTTAAGTCAAAACAAGCAGGTTATTAATACTACCTGACTGGATGGGCAACGTATCTTACACCAGTAACAGCTCCCGAAGATAAATTTGAGCCTACCATTATGCAAGCGTCCATCTCAACCTCTCCATCGATGTTTAATGCGGATCCTACACCTGAAAAGGGCACGGTGTAGAAATCGTCGCAAGAGGCTGATAAATTATAGACCAGCGTTAAAATGTTGATCTTCTTCCATCACTCTTACTGCAGCTTCCACAGCGTCTGTTACACTACCACCTTTTTTAAGAAGTTTGTATCCGCTCATTGCCGCCTTTTTTATTCCATCTTTTCTTTGTTCAATTCTCAATGAATGCACGTTATCAGCGCCACCGTGAACTAGCACAATCGGTTCAACATAACAGCTATAAAATGTTAACTTCTAATAGTGCCAAATCGTGGGGATGCATACCTGACGGGAGTAGTTACGAAAAAGAGGATGAGGGTTGTTGTAAAACACTTCATAATTTTGATACTGTTAATAGCACTTTGGAAAGATTTATGAAATTGATTAGTTAGAATGTCATTGCAGCAACCTAGCAATTTACAATCAAATTTAATGCAGTTTTGACACTGACATGTGATCATACAAGAAATCAGTACACATGTCTAGTGACAGACTTTAGTTTTTATCCAAATATTGGAAAATTGGTCTACAGAATTGAAACAGTATAGTATATTTCTTCCACTCTGAAGTGCGATCATTTCATCGTGCAACCTATTGTCCTACCCTGTATATTCGAGTCTTCCTGATTAGTAACCGTTATTTACTAAGTTTATCCATACACAATAAACTGCTAAATTTTATTAAAAATAAGAATAGATTGCTAAACTACAAACGAAAAAGCATGCCACTTTACACCCTCTAAATGAAATTTGCACAACAAAATTTTAATATATCGTCATCAATTTTTCAAGGAGATGCATAAATAAAATTTAATTCTGTGCGATCACTAAATCAGTCTTGGGAGTTTTGCTACTCCTATAAATTAGGAGTAACTTTTTTTTAATGATAATTTCTATACGTTAAAATAGATAATTATTTAACCTAGACAGAGCAGCATGTTATTTTATCAACAGGGGACCAAAATTTAAAAACATCACTATCTGGCAAGCGAAAACCAACGGATTTATTTACAAATTATATGTTTCGGAAAGACCTGCAACACAAATTTCGCAACTTAATGAAAAAAACGAATATTTCACTGTAGATACTCTTTTGGCATATTCTAGGGAACAGTTGGAATTTAAAGGGGGGCGAACCATAGTATACAAAATTCTCAAGTCAATGGGTTATAAACACAGGGAAGTAAATGGTCGCAAAATTCGATGTGAACAAAAACATGTCGTTGCAGCCAAAATTACTTTTTTGAGAACATATTTACAGTTTCTAAATTCTTGTGAAAATTTGACTTTCGTGTATTTGGATGAAACATGGATCTATCAAAATGGTTCGTCCATTCGTCGCTGGGTGCACGATACTGATCTAAAAAGCAATCCCACCAAAATTAAAAGTGAAGGATCAAGGTTTACTATTCTCCACGCGGGTTGTTCAACGGGGTTCTTGGAAGGTTGTAACAATTTTTTAAATTCAAAAAATAACGATAGAGACTATCATAAAACGATGGACGGGCTAATTTTTCAAAATTGGGTGATTAATCACCTCATTCCTGCTTTGGCAAAGTTGAACCAAAAATGTGTGGTGATTTTAGACAATGCACCGTATCATTCGGTTCAGTTGGATAAACCACCCACTTTTTCTAGCAAAAAATGTGAAATGCAGGAATGGCTCTTTAAACATAGTGTTGAATTAGACAAAAAATTTTCGAAGAAACAGTTGTGGGATTTAATTAAACCCTTCAGAAACAAAAAAAAAAGATATTTGGTAGACGAGACAGTGACCATGAAGTTCTTAGATTACCTCCGTACCATTGTCAATATAATCCAATTGAAATGGCGTGGGGATTTTGTAAGAACTATTACAACAAGCATATAAATTCTCAACTTTCATTAAAAAATAGGGTGGAGAATGTATGGCTTGAGGGGCTTTCTAAATGTACTCCAAGCATGTGGCAAAATTTTTGTAAACATTGTGAAAAACTTATTTTGGCAGATTGGGAAAAAATATGGGAAATCTTTCGTACGAATCTATACCTCCTTTCATTATTTCGCTAGGTGAATCTGATTCAGAATCTGAATTTGAAAATGACGGTGATGATACAGATTTTCATAGCGAAATAATGGAAATGGAGTGAATTGTAGCTTGTCGGGGGGTGATATTTTTACGCATCTTTCGTTCTAAATTTACCAAGGTAGTATGTGAAAAACTGCCTGACGTACAATAAAATAAGTATAATTTTAGTTAGATCATCCACGTTGTTACTTTGCACCAAATTTTAAGCATGTTCTTTTTTTTGTAACTCTTCATGGACCTGGAGAAGGCGTATAGTAACGTTCTTATTAATAAGCGTTTGGAAGTACTTACTTAGTAAAAGCAAATAAAGAGCACTTACGTAAGCATTAGTAATAGCTATATAGATAAATCTTTCAATTTAAGGCCGGAAAAATGTTTCAGAAGAGCTAAACTCATCAAAGCATTAGAGCAAGGTTGTTGTCTTTTACCAACCATTTTAGTAATCTTAGAAAAGTGAAAAAAGAAGTTGGAAGACATGGAAATAGGCTGTTCACAAAGGTCGAAATTTCCATTTCTAATAAGAAGAGTGGGCGAGCAGATTGAGAATTAAAGATGAAATGCTAAATGCGGCATGCGACAATAGTCGTATGTAGAACCCCCATTCATATAAATGTTTAAGTGAAATTTTAGTGTTTGTTCCTTACATATGAAACAAACACTTACAAAAAGCCAAATAACTGTTTTAAATACCGTAAAGTTTTATGCTTTCTAAGAAATGGATACCGTTAACTTGGTCATTGCTACTGAAAACTGAAAGTATCGGCAACAATGTTTATATTTCTGGCATATTTTTTAACCTTTAATGTAATAAAACATAACCTAACGAAAAAAGTTCAGGGAATTTTTATTCTTCTGCATCGAATACCAACAAACTCACTAGATTTTCATGGCCAGCCCTACTATATAAAGATCGTGAACGGATAATACGTTACTGCATTTTTGGATTTTAAATCAAGTGAAAATGTTCAACTCAAAAACTGGCAAACGTAAGCCCCTTCATTCTCAAACTAGAAAAATAATAAACAAAAAGCTGAAGAGGGAACTACAATTCCTATAGCAAATTATAGAGAACGCGTCAGGGCAGCTACTGGAATTCCGAAAAACGCTTATCACAGCATTACAAAAGAGCAAGGAAAAGCCAAATCTGGGGAAAAATCAAGCTTCTCTCCGACAAAAACAAAACCTGTACCGAAAGTCAGTAATTAGACGAAAATTTTGAGAAAACCATTCGTCAAATATTCTACGATTTTCATGTCACTGAAAAGAGACGGTCAACAAGATCTGATAACATTTTTCTTTTTATTTTTCATCAATTTTTTATCAAACAAATTTATTTTTATTATAGAGGGTGTTATTGAAAGGTACGTACAACAAAATTGACAGTTCTTCCCGAAGTCTAAGAACTCTGAAAAACTTATTTTGTGTTATCAACATTATAAGGGGAAAATTAACCCCTATCCAACCTTTTTAGACGCTACTAAAAGATAAACAGGTAAAATTAATTTATTTTAGTAAATTCTAGCAACTGTAACAATAATAAAAAATAAGACCCCCTTTTGTTTCTATAGAGTTTCTTTTTATCAGAGGCGTACAACGAATTTGGACAACAATTTTAGTAATTTTTATCTCTAAAAGGAGAACACTTTTACTTGAACTTTTTTTAAATTTTAGCACCCATACTTCGAGACCAATTGCCGATTTTATTTTGTACGTACCTTTCAATAACACGCTGTATAGTTGTCTCTATTTGTACTTCCCGAACGTAAGCAAAGGAAGTATTGTAATCGAGTCCGTCGGCCGACTCTCTACTTTTACGTTTTCTCGGCCTTTCATGACCTCTATATGTATTTATATTAGGAATATCATGTAGATGGTAAAACGCTAACCAAAATTTGTCTAATCATCCCCACCACTAATGCAATGACGTCAGTTCAAAATTGCACATAGTAAATGGGTTTTAAATTGTATAAAATAACATAGTCCTACACATGTAGTTTATGACTCCGAATTGAGTTTTTACCCGAAACGTCCAGATTTTTGGAGAAAAAATCAAAATTATCAAACAACATTTTGCAATTTAATTTTGAATCTGCAAAACCGAATGCTTTGAAATCTTGCAGATGGTTTACAGTTATGACAAGCATGATAAAATTGTAATCAAAATATATTTACTTATCCCCTCCAAAAAAGTGATGACGTCAGCTCAAAAGTTTGCCGAATAAATCCTATCTAAAATGTACAAAATATGATGAGTCTGTAGTTGTGATTTATCATTCGGTTCATAGTTTTTGAATTTGTATATACAGGTGACTCAAAAAATTAATGAATGCGTGAATTTATTTTATTGATTTAATCAGGAACTACAAAACCGAATGCTTTGAAATCTTGGAGGTGTTTTAAAGTTGTCATAGGCATGATAAATTTATCGTCAAAATGCATTTGCTCATCTCCCGCTAAAAAATTGATGACGTCACCTCAAAATTTTGCTGAATAAATCCTATCTTAAATGTCCAAAATATGATGAGTCTGTAGTTGTGATTTATCATTCCATTCTAATTTTTTTCGATTTGCATATACAGGATAACTCAAAAAAATCAATGACAGTGTGAATTAATTTTATTGATTTAATCAGGATCTACACAACCGAATGCTTTGAAATCTTGAAGATATTTTAAATTTATAAGCATGGTAAAATTGTGACCAAAATGTATTTGCTCATCCCCCCTAAAAATTTGATCGCGCCGCCGCAAAATTTTGCTAAAAAAATGCTATCTTAAATGTGTAAAGAATGATGAGTCTATACTCGTGATTTATCGCTGCATTAATATATTTTAAATTTGCTTATACGGGGTGTCTGAAAAAAAAATAAATGACTGAGTCAATTAATTTTATTGATTAATTCATGAATTACAAAAATGTAATACGAAAAAAGACAAATAGGCTTGCGGTCGTCACGTTCCCGACAGCGAAGGAAGTACTGTCTAAACTCTTTAGACCAATTTTTTTGTAGACGTTCTTTTTTTAGTTGTCTTTAAAAGAACTATAACTCAGCAGAGCCTCTCTTCTCGATACATCGATGCTACGCCACTGCTAGCCAGACTACGAAACGCGCAACTTAAGCCCCGCCCCTGTCACCTTTCGTAGTGAAATTACTTCTATCTTCTAGAACATTCTAGAATATGAAAAAGTTGGTTTCCCGTTTTCGTCTGTCTGTCATATACATATTTTATTATACATATAGATAAACTCCGGGACCACTGGACTTATAAAACTAAAAAAAAAAGGAAAAAAAATAGTCGTAGCCAAAAATTTGATATTGTCATATGAAAATTTTGTTAAGTAAATACGAAAATGTACAAAAAAATATGTTTCTATATTTGTAATTTATTAATTCGGTCCTATTTTTAACCGCACGCATGTAGGTTTAAAAAAAAAAAATCAGAATCGTACAACAACCGATTGTTGTCAAATTTTAGGTGTTTATGATTTTTTGAAAAAGCTGAACTAGTTGGACTCTACTTCAGGGGGTGTAAATAACCTTAGACCATTTTTTTTTTGTATTAAGAAAATTCAATTACAAAATTCAAAAAATATCTTTTCGGATTCAAAAATTAGGTAAGTTTCATGAAACAAGCAGAAACAATCGTAAATTGTGACCGTGAGCCGTTCCGCTTCCTGTTGTGGTTTCTTAGGATAATGCGTTTGTATCAATGCAAGATGGAGTCCTCGATAGCAGAACTCACTGTTTTCTTTCATATTTCGATGTGTAATCTGGTCGTTGTGAGTAGCACCTTATTTAGAATAGTTTACACAGAATGACTCAAAAAAAAATGAAGGAGGCAATTTGTTTTATTGATTAAATAAAGCTAATCTCACCTAATTTTCCATAAAATTTGCGAATATAGTACTGTTATTATTGGTATTACACTCCACATATCCTAAATTTATATACGTGTCTTTGGTATAATCACAGGTATAATGTTGATGACGTCATCACAAATTTTGTAATCGAAAAATTCACTTAAAACATGCGAATAACTTATAACCTTTATTTTACTGCACATATAGGATGTTTAAAATTAAGTTTCTAAATTAATTGAAAATGTTTCATTTGATTTTTTTTATTTTGGTAATACAGTAATATTTTTTATTTAATACATGAGGAAAAAATAATAAATAACTTTTACAACTGATCTAGTATGCTAGTGTTCTATTTTCTACCAAAGTCATTACAGAAAGTTACTCAAAGTTGAAAAAGATATCTCCAAAATATACCAACAGTAAGCTCTCTGGAATAATTTTAAAATGTATGAATGTATGTATGAATGCATAAGTCACTGATCTCACTAACTTTTTCGTCAGTTTTTTATTTTCTATTTAATACCCCACTATACCCATTATTTTTTTGAAAAAGATGTGTTGTATAGTCTCCGTATTAAACCACCATAGAATTCGGTGGTACAAGCCTGTGGTTAAGAATAAACCATTACAAAAATCAGTAATAAATGAAATGTGACGTTTACATAATAATATTTGAAGATGACGTCATCAATTTTTTGAAGTGGGTGAATAGACAAATTGTAGGTGGCCACGTTTTTGCTATTTCGACAGTAATCCATAGTCACTGCACGAAAATTTTAAAGTAACCAGTGATCAGGCAACAAACAAAAAAGATTCTATGAGGTGTGAAGAAGCATGAAACAGCAAGAAAATATAAATTTCGACATTTGTCGACCCTATTTGGTTATGTGCAACACTTCCTTTCGCTTAAGAAGTAAAAAGATACCTGAGCCCCTAAGCTTAATTCATGATCATGATTCATGACTCATCCCTCAAGTATAAATTAGAATTAATTACACACGATTAATTTTAACTTCTGTAAAATATTTTTACTCTCTGCTAAACTTAAAATTACAAACGTTGAGGCCGGTTTATACGCAACGATTGCTAAAATTTACTTAAGATTGCTTTAGTAGAATTAATTATGTTTAATTCCAATTAAAATTTAATGTATGAATGAAAGTCCTTGATTGGTTGAATTTGATCATGTGATCGATGGTTTAATTAAATTAATGCCGAGATTAAATACTTTTGTAACCCGGATCTTACAATCATATTCCATAATTATGCTGTTCTAAGTATTAGTGGAATGGTGGAGTTAAATAAAATAATACAGTGCATTTTAAATTTGACTACATACTGACGAAAAAATTGTGACGTCCGAAGATTCACGAACACATCGGTACTACAGCGCAAGTCCACATAAAAGTTGCAGTCTGTCCGTAGACCCTTGCGGCAGTTTTCTATTATCGATACCACAAGATGTCATTTTTAGCATAGAAAAAATGTACCTGGCTGATGAAAATCCAGCAAAATCGTAACAAAGTGATTAAATCACAAATTTCTAAAGTAGAATTAACAACGTGGTGGCGATGAGCGACAAAAAACGTGAAGGGCACAAAGATCATGGTAAATTTAATTTGTCAAAACATAACCAAAAATTTTGCAATCTGCTTTGCTTTAAAATATTGTCACAGCGTTTTAATTTAAAACTTTAAATCCGTCAGTGTTTATTAGGCAAAGATTCACCCAGAGACAGATCACGTTCACCTCAAAGAAAAGACGAAAAGAAAGCAGACAATGTTTCACTTGAAGCCAAAAAGAGACTCAAGAATATCGGAATTCAGATGAAACTAAGCTCTCAAAAACTAAATTCTAAACCTAAATTAACTATAGCGTCGGCCTTTAACCAAGAAAGCGACGACGAACCTGAGGAGATGCCACCAGAAGCTCGAATGAGGATGAGGAATATCGGGAGGTATGTAGGAAACAGGGCATTACAAATATAAATTTAGTTCCAACAGGGACACACCCACGTCGTCTGGACCAAACTCTTTCGGCAAAACGAAGCAGGGATTCTCAGATTCAAAGAAACTCTTTGAAAAGAACCTAAAAGAAGCAATGGACGGTACCACAGATAACTAATATCTGCACAATTACCTGATATTTCTGTTATTGCAATAATTTATTTATCTTTAGATATATGAATGTGAGGTATTAAAATTAAACACTTTAAAAATATTTTTCAAAATTTATTACAAAGTGAATATTTACTTTCTTTGTGGTTGTTGCGCACGAGTGTTGTCGCGACCTGGGAAGTTCCGCTGTGGCGGCACTCTGATCCTACGATCCTTCTTGCTCCTATTACGCACAACTTTACTGTGAATAGCGCACGAGACGCAGTAGTGCAACTTAGCATACAGTTTCGGGAGAACGTATTCTACAAATAAACGATTAGCAAAATCACCAACACGTTAAAATCGACTTACGAGAATAAACTGATGCTTCAGTAATATCTCTTACTGCAGCAGCTTCGACAATGTTTCGAATAACGAATTTCTTGATGGCCTTGTCTTTTGGGACACATCGAGCACAGTTGGTGCAGCGGACGGGCTTAACATGACCACGTCCGTGCTTGGAGCGTCCTCCATTGCGCCTTTTACACGTCTACAACAAACACCATGAGGACGATTTGAGGTTAGAGTCACACGTCGCAAATATTTTTACACAAAATGAAACTAATAGAAATTAATAAACTAATTGCGTTCTCTAATATTATTTATATTAAACTTTAACACTAAAAATCGTTACTATTTTAATAAAAACACAGAAACTCACCATTTTTGTCACTACTCGCTGCTGAACGGATGTGAAAGACTTGACGTTAGGGATTTTCGTGTCACCGCCAGGTAATGATTTCCGTTGGAGTCAGCGCGCGAAGCTTGAAATTTTCACACAACCGACAGAATGTAATTTAAATTTGAAAAAACATGGTCGATGTTTTTTATAAGTGAATAATTAATACAGTAAATAACTGTAATCGTGTTTTTTATTTGTCCAAAACGTGTAACGCACAGCGAAACTAATACATCCTAAATAACTCAGATTTCTCTATCGTTTTTCACATGTACTGTAATTTAAACAAGACTTTTTGGTTTAACGACCTAATAATTCCTTCTTTCCGCAAAAACCGAGATATCGGTACAAACTTTCTGGGCTATTCTTTAACTGTTAAACAAAGCAAAGTGACACTTTCAGAGCGTGCTGACTAGAACAATGTCGTTGAAAGAGAAAAACACGTTACACTTGATCAGCCAGTGCGCAAATTTCAAATTCAAACGAAACGCTCGAATTGTTTGATTGAAATTTGTTTTTGTGGTAGTGGTGAAAGTACTATTTATTAATATAAATAGAAAATTTCACAACAGATAGACACTGAGCATCGACAATTCAAAGACGCAAAATGAAACTGGTGAGTTAGAGTGGTGCTTTAATTACACAGATGCTTATTATTTTTTTAGTTGGCAGGTTTATTCTTGGCTTTGACCATCTTCGCCGTTTATGCGATGGCTACTCCCACTGAAAACCAAGTGCCTCTGCCTGCTGAAAGCGTCCTGAGAGCACAGAGACAAGCTGGTGGAGGACACCACCACGACGCCGTTGATTTTGGAGCCCACAAAGGAGAACACGGGTCCTTTGGATGGTACGCCGACTTCCCAGTTCATGGACACGGCGGACATTAATTACTTTTGACTGTTCTTCTTTCTTCTTCTTCGTCTTATCTTTCGCTCTCTTCTTCTTCTTTTTTTTTTCTTCTTCGTCTCAAACTCTTTCTCTGTATTTATTTCTCTTTGCAACTGTTATTTTATACACTGTTTTCTTACCTTACCGAAAAAATAAAAGACTTGTTACTGACATAGATATGTTTATTTATTACTTTTAGTGTTGCCCTGTACACCCTTTTTAATACTGATCTATTAACGGCGATACATAGGAAAATTGACCATTCTCATTGTTAAACAGTTCAACAAATTTAGGCCGACTCTTTAATTGGTCTCAATAACACAATATATCTAAGAGAATAACAGTTATAAATATCTGACTCTTTTTGTCAGACTTAACTTTCTATTTCTACAGCTTGCATAAAGATTACATTTCGGTTATATTATTCAAAGTAATAGAACGAAAGTGAGAACGACAATTCCTCAGTTAAACTCTCAGAAGAGTAATAAGTAAGCCATAAAATTAAGACGAAGGCACATCTCTGTCTTTTTTTTCTTCTTCATTTGTCATAGGAAGCGATCAGATTGGAGTTTTCTGAACGACGAATTAACCCAATAATTGAACACAAATTGGCCTAACTTGAATTAATATTGCTTAAACAATAACATTATGGCACATTGAATAAAGAAGAAATTAAGTGTTCCCGATACTATGGTCGCCAGCCCATAATAACCTTCTTGAAAGGTACAAAAATACCATGATAGGGTTCACTGTGAAACAAAAACCAACAATTAAAATCGAACAACCAATCACACACATAGCATGTACCATTGAAAATACCTCCTAGTGTTGAAAGTACCATCGGAGTGTCCATCCGGAGTTCCCAGTTGGACCCCAACGAATTGGTCGCTTTGGGACACTACAGGTCCCACGTACCTAACCCTTCCGCCCCTCACGCGCCCTTCAGGCGTGATCACTTTGACCCAGTGATCTGGTTTCAAGTCTCGTGGAACCCTCGGGAGAAACGGCTGCCACCCTTGAGGTGGTACGTTGTCTCCAGACGGTTCCGGAGCTGATGCTCGCCTAGGCACACTCTTCTTACTTTCAGTTCTGGAAAGGACGCTTCAATCAGGTGCAACTGCGAAAGAAGTGAACTCATACCCATAATCTCTCGTTGTCATAATGCAGTCAATTGAACGTCTTAAATAGTTTTCGGCTTCTTCCACCAAACTGTCGGTGGAATCGCCACTGTCTAAAGTGAGGGTCCAGTCACCTCGCAGTTCTGGAAGAGAACCATTAGCGAACCTAACTTTGGAGGGTGCAGGTTTAATCGTTGATCTTCTAGACGGAGATACTGGAGCGGAGCACCTTCTTGACGGGATGGGTGGAGAAGATAGGGGATAAAAGCTATTGTAGCGAGATTGCGAGTAACTGCCTTCGCTTGGTGTAGCTGTAGTGGTGGTCCATGTAAATTTTTGCGACTAAAATGAAAACGATGTTGACCCGGTGTTTAATGGTGATGATATTTCGGAAAAAGTAATTGCTTTATCAATCGGGACGAGATTCTTTATAATTTTTACTAATGCCAATTTTAAATGACACTATTTACCATTTGATAGTATTTAAACAATCTTTTAAACGTAATATTTCAATTGGTTATAATTATCAACTGGTCACTGTGATTGAACTTATGCCCCTCTACACGAGTATTTTGCCACCCACCACGAAATTCCATTTATTAATTTTAATGATTATGCATACAAGATCCACGATTTCTAAGAATGAAAGGAAAAAAATTAATACTTCATTTGTTACTAATAGGATCTTTTAAAAATATTTTACAATTTTATTCTCATGCGTGTTTCCCCTTTTTGCTTAAAAAACTAGCAGCTTGAAATTGCGTGTAATTTACGAACGATTAAAAGATCGAATAGATAATAGTTCAATTACTAGATTACTGATTAGACAGCCGCCAGTTTGATTTGCATGACCAGAAGACACGCAAATAACGTTGCCATGTTTGCTTTCAAGTCTCCTACCATTTACCTATTTAGATTAACAAAAGTCCACTTGTTATAGCTATTTATAAAGTGTTCACAAATTACGTGACATGTATTATCAAATAAAATTATGTACAACTTATACCAAATAAAAGGACGTAGTTCTGGATGAAATTTCATTTATTATAATTTAGTTTCAAATTAGCATTTGTTTATTTTCTTGTAAAATGACAAAAGTACGGATAGATCGTTGATTCGTAATAAAAGAGCTACGGTTCTGGAACGAAGGTTTTGCAAAACAACTTAGAAGGATTAGTAATTAATTTATGGTTCTGGCAAAAAAGCGGTCAAGTTTACATATTTTTCAAACCATTTTCCCCCCTCTCGTAGTAAATATTTTCTTTTCATTTAGGACATTCGTGACTTTAATAGAACTAGTTAAAGAAATTAAATTTGTTTCTCGATTGTAATATGTACGAGAGGCTGCATGTTCGAACTCTTGTACGTTTTTTACTTCCCGAGCTTAACGCAGATTGTTGCAAAACTTTATATTGGGAATCATAGTATTTAAATTTTATAAAATAACATACTCCTAGACTTGCGGTTTATGAATCACCTTGAGTTTTAACCCTAGGCATCCAGATTTTAGCAAAAAAATCACAATTATATGTATACTAACGTTTTATATGAATGTAGGAGCCACATTTCCAACAGCTGAGGCGGGTGGGCGAGGCTAAAACTTGCTAAGCTAGGACTGAACATTATTAAGATTAATCACTGGAACGAAGAAGGGGTGTGTGCGCGGGGCTACTGGTTGCTCATAAATCTAGAAAAAAGCTAAATTTAGCCCCGCCCACCTGTTTTCTCCATTTCACTAACGTATTTTATTTAGTGTAAAATGGAAATTAAAAAATAACAATATTGTATTCCCAAAATTTTCTGGGAAAATGAAGTGAGCCGTTCCTGATTTAATCTATAAAATAAATTGACTCATTCATTAATTTTTTGGGGCCACCTGTTTAAGCAAATCTAAAAAATATGAATGCTGTGATAAATCACAAGTATTGACTCATCATACTTTGCACATTTAAGATAAGATTTATTCGGCAAAATTTTAAAGTGACGTCATCCCTTTTTTAGGGGGATGAACAAATATATTTTGATCAAAAATTTACCATGCTTATGATAACTTTAAAACATCTCCAAGATTTCAAAGCATTCGGTTTTGTAGATTCAAAATTAAATTGCAAAATGTTTTTATAATTTTGAATTTTTTTCCAAAAATCTTTTACATATAAAATTCCACAACGATCAGTCCATTACATAATATTCCTAAAATACTCACAAAATTTTACAACAATCGATCCTGGAATTTCGGAAATTATATTTCTAATAAATATCTTTATTTTTCACATTAGGTAGGATGTTTAATTTAATTTAATTTTTAGTGTATTTAATTATAATTTGTAATTTAGATATAATGGGGTTCCCCGTAATAAAGTTTATTTATTTATTTACATATTTATTTATTTATTTATTTATTTATTTATTTATTTATTTATTTATTTATTTATTTATTTATTTATTTATTTATTTATTTATTTATTTATTTATTTATTTATTTATTTATTTATTTATTTATTTATTTATTTATAAATATCGACACAGGTGACAGCCACACGACAGATAGATGACAGCCAGATGGCAGGCAGACGGCAGACAGACGACAGACAGACAGCAGACACTCGACAAACAGACAGACAGACGACAGACAGACAGCAGACACTCGACAAACAGACAGACAGACGACAGACAGACAGACGTCAGACAGACAGACGACAGACGTCAGACAGACAGACGACAGACAGACAGACAGACGACAGACAGACAGACAGACGACAGACAGAGGACAGCTTACGCTCGGTAAGTAAAAATTAATTTAAAATTATTTAAACTGAAATTGCCTCGCCCCTGAAGCACAATCCAGTTTTTTAGATAATTTTCAAATTTGATTACGAAAATTTTATTTCTTATGTTATATGAAAATAAAAATGTGTTGATTTTGAAATTACAGTTAAAACAACTGTATTCCCAGATTTCAAGAAAATGAAACAAACTGTTTTTGATTTAATCAATAAAACGAATTGCTTCTGCATCTTGTATAATCAATTCTAAAAAATATGGCTGTATTGATAAAACACATAAAACACAAGTGTAGACAATACCACAATATGTATTTTGCATCTTCTAAATAAGATTTATCCACAAAAAATTGTTCACATTATGTCATCAAGTTTTTGAAGGGATTAAATAAATAAATTTTGGTTAATGTTTTTCCAGAACAATCAATTTCGTACTTAAATTGTAAAATGTTGTAAAATTTTGCTTTTTTATATAAAAAAAAGTCTAGATGTCTAGGGTAAAAGATTAAGGCCGATTAATAAGCAAACAGAAATATATTTCATAAAATTTAAACAGTACTACGATCGGATCAATTTCACAATCACTAGTTTCGAAAATCTGTCAAATAAAATGACCAACAAACGACAGAGGCCACACAGACGCAAATGGGAGACCTATTTTTTCATACTCTAGGTGTTATGAGACTTCGAGAAAATATGAAATTAGCCATTCGCCAATTCGGACCCTGTTACAACACTTTTCCAGTTTTCACTCGGGAAGTAAAAAAGGAAAAACGAAAATTAGTTTTTCAGCTGTCTACTTACGTTACCAAATTAAAACCGCATTCAAAAATTTAGAAAAAAATCAGTTAATTGATTAAACCAGTGGAAAACTATTCAAGCAGAACCTCCCTCGTCCCTGAAGAATTTATACATGCATATTTTGCGTGCATTTTTCAGTAAAGATTTATTAATTTCTTTGGAAGGATAAACATTTTAATTTTAATGTAAATATTTATAACGCGAACACCAACATGACGTACTTTGCTCTAGTAATTTTAAGGATATTTACAGTGTCGGATTGAGGACCTGGGGGCCCACCGAGAAATTTACAAAGGGGCTCCCTTATTATTACTATTATTTTGAGTTTTGCCAGCAACATGGGCGTCTTAAAAAAATTGGTGGAAGGTTATTTGACAGAAAGTTAATGTTAAAAATAAATGTGAAGCAGTGTGCTAGGCGTCTGTTTCAAATGAGTTTTTCGTTCGCAAAATTTTGTGATGACATCATCAACATTTTTGCAAGGACACGTATGTCACTTTGGATAGGCGTAGTATATTACTAATAACAACAGTGTTGTATTCCCAAATTTTTGAGAAATTGAAGTGAGCCGTTCCTGATTTAATAAATGAAACAAATTGACTCATCATATAACGTACATATAACATTAAATAATTTTATTTTAATATCCTTTGAGATGACGTCATTATGTTGGTGATGATGTTCTTAATATGCACAGAAGATATGACAACAATCGGTTCAGTAGCTTCGGAAATTATCTGTTTAATAAAAATTGACACAGACAGGCAGACAAACGACAGACAGACGGTAACGAGAGACCACTTTTTTCGTACTCTAGAGGTTATGAAACGTAAAAACACATGAAACTGGCAAGTCGCCCGATGGACTCGATTACTATACTACCTTAGCTTACGCTCGGGAAGTAAAAATATGTTGTTTTTGGAACTAAAAGTAAAAATATATTCTTATTTAATATTTATGTATGTATTTTTTTTGTGTCTGTTATATTTTTAGGAAAATTTATTGCATTTATAATTATAACATCCTGTATATTTGAAATGTAAGATGTGGGGCCCCGAAATAGAGTTGGGGATGACTAGAGAAAATTTTTGTTAGCGTAGAAAATAGTCTTAAAAATTTTTATTGTACACTCTGTGAACGTTCAAAAGACATACAATTAGGCGTTCGTCAAAATGACCCTACTACAAACAATGAAAGTATTCTCAGTAATTAATTTATTAGCATGATCAAAATTTTTTTCGAAAATATATCTCTCATTCTGTTTCTCAATTCTGTAAAAAATAAACACACAATTTTAGGTATCACAGATTACTTTTTCCGAAACGCCTCTCAAATTGACGAAAAAAGACAGACAACTTACGGTAAAACCCGGCGACTGGAAGTCACTAGTCTTCAAAAACTGCCCGTAAGTAGTTACAACTGGAGCTTTAATATTAGGAGGACACAAATGATCGGCTGACCTCGACAATTCCGGCACCATACTAGTAAACCCTATATCTGAAAGCAAAACTCGTCGGGCTTCGACCGTTTTCTCTGATAATCTCAGTCTTGATCCAGGTAAGGGGAACTTCGACGGCAAAGTAGTAAAATTCTCACCCCCGCGAGCCTAAAATAGCTTAATTAGAATGCAAATAACCTCAAAAGATCACGCACTTTATTGACTAAATTGCTTTCAGACAACCATGATGAACCAGGCAAAGCGGAAATGTCAGTCTGTGCACCCGAGTCTTTTCGTATGGCGTTAGAATGGGCTAGAATTGGTCGAGTTTTCCGTGATCCCTTAGCAAGGGCCTCCCTATCATACACTCATATAAATATCAAAATCAACGGAACTCTAATAAATATACCTGTGTATAAGCGGCCTGTAGGAAAGAGGATTAGGGCACGTGTTCCTCCTCAAACCCCCGTATTCTGGGTCTTGTATGCCACATTTCGAGATGTCCGTCTCGATAATTCTAACACGTTCTTCAAACCGGTCGAAACTCTCATCTTTTTCTAGTGACTTATTTTCGAAACTGGAATCTTGGTAGGAGTAGCAGCTTTTCAGACTCTTTTCTTGGTTGATGGAGTTGTCGGATTTTGAGTTGTACAATTGAGAGTTTTCGCGTCTGAAGTCCACATCCGTGTTGTCGTTGAAGACGTCATCGTCGAGTTCTCGATCAGAAACGTCAAGGTTCTGGTCAAGATCTGGACATTGCAGTAGGTTTCCTGTGTCGGCGTGGGAGTCACCAGGTTCTATAGAGACTAACTGTTCTTTAAAATCAGAGTCTTTGGTCTCGTCTGTGGTAAAAATTAACTCTATATCGTCGACTTCTTGATCTTGGTCTTGTTCTAGATCATTCTGTGGAACCGGTTCTTCGTCTCGTGTTTCGTTGTTGTTATTACTGTTCATCTCGGTTTCAGAAGGTAATGTGTTTATGTTAGAAAAGCTGACAGTTTTCGACGCTGATAAATTTTTGGTGGAAGTGTCGCCCAAAGTGGTCAAATTAGAAAAACTTACTGTTTTCGAAACGGATAACTTTTTGGCGGTTGGAGATTTCAACACGAGAAGGCTTTCCAAAGACGCCGACGCTTTCCCAATCGACTTAATTGAAATTTTAGCCTCAAACTTTCCTTTTTTCTTTCGGGATTTGGTGCGGGTTGTTTCTAATTTTTTCTCTTCATTGTGAACGAGTGGATTGTCGCGGGTTTCTTCTAATACTGGTTTTTGAGCTTGCTCGTCGACTAGCTTGGTTTTCAAGACGTGATTTTCGAGCGTGAGTGCCCTCAAGGTCTGTTCTACAGAATCAACCGGGTAGTGTTTGCTTTTCAGTTCTAAAATTTCGGAACGACTCTGTTCTAGAGCCGCCCTTAAAGCTACGACAGTCTGATGTAGTGCTCTTACAGTATCCAGACATGGTCCTTGTTTAGACAGTGCCCCCCCAACATCCATTTTCGGCCAAGCACATCCATTTTCACAATTATTACGTTTTCCACAAAACAGACCCGAACTGCAACATTTCCACTTACGTAACTAACAAACAAATCAATCGTCGTGGAGAAAAACGCACATTAATTACCAGAATCTGTTTTCAAACTGAAACATTACAATCAATACTCACCCTTGGATTTTGTACAACCCCGGGAATTAGCAAGCGATCACAGACACACCTCACAACCGACCAAACGTATCGGACAGAGACGGAACACGCGAGACCGAACTAGACTACAATCGAACCCCTTTATTAATGTTGGAGTTTTTCGCACAGCGCGCATTTAATTCGCAATAAACCGTAAAACTATTTATGCAGATTATGCGGGAAAACCGACTCGAAACACTGCGCTAGGGCCCAGGGGATGACACCCTCGCAGAAACCCGAAATTTGCATTTAATTCGACAGCCAGCCCATCTTCTAGAACCAGATGCCAACTGTTCACATATGCGCACTTGTATCCGATTTATTTACGTCCAGACGACGAAATGAGATCATCATATTTACGCCAATTCAGATTCCGACACAATTTATGACATTTCTTTCACGCTTTAATTAATGGCAATTCGTCACAGTTCAAGCCGAACTTTAAAAATCCCGCGGAACACGTGACAGCTGCAGCTGTCACTTTGACAACCGAGACAACCCGTTTTAGGTTAGTTTTTTAAATAAAATGCTGTCGCGTGTTTGCCGACAATTCGTCAGACACAAACATGCCCCAGACCACTGGGTAAGTTTTCAAAACTCGACACACAATTAATAATACCACCCTTTCAAGTCAGTTGTTCAAAAGAAAAATCACCCGGTTGACAAAGCTCTAGCGCATTTCGACGACTTTTACAAGCAAGTTTTTACGAATAAATGGGAATTTATGAGAGAGGGGCTCCTAGGAAAACAAAAATATGTCGCTGTTATTAATAATTACTCTGATTCTGAGGCCACAATGGCAAAACTCGAACTCCAGGGTGCCCTCAATGTGAGAACCCTTTTTAATCTTCAGAAGGAGTATATAAAGGAGAGGAAAGCTAGAAGTGAGAAGAAACGAAAACTTGCGGAAATTCATAAGATTGATAAAGAATTAGATGCAAAAGTAGATGAAACAAAGCCAGATCTTTCTTTAGAAGCTAGTTTAGAAAATGCCGAAATTGATGAAAGGCGTCTAGTAGACAGTCGCGATACTTTATCTGGAGAAATTCTTCATGAGTTTGTTCCAGCAACAAAAATTAAAGGAAAAGACGATTTTATACCAGAATCTACCCATTACAAGTTTTACAAAACTGATAAATTTGACATAACGGTCATACCAGAGTATGACATTAATTTTCCTGAACATTTAAATATTTACTGTTTTGAGGAAAGCAATAATAGCGACTTTGATAAAGCGCGTACTGGTTCAACTGGCGTTTTAAATTATTATCTGATGGATGGTGGCTCAATTTTACCAGTTCTGGCACTAGACATAAAACCTGGTAATAAAATTCTTGATTTGTGTGCAGCTCCTGGAGGGAAAACACTACTAGCAATACAAACTCTGTACCCTGATAGTATAGTCGCAAATGACGTATCTATGTCGCGCACAAATCGCCTTTATAATATCGGACGACAGTTTCTTTATGACTTTAAAGAACGGTGGTTGCAAACAGGAAAGCTCCAAATCACTAATATCGACGGAAGGTATTTTCCAAAGAACAATTTTGACAGGATTTTGGTAACAAATAACTCAGTAGTTATCACTAATAAAAAACATGTTTTCTAGGTTGATGTACCATGCACAACAGACCGTCATTCACTTCATGAAAACGACAATAACATTTTTAAGCCGTCCCGTGTCAGAGAACGACTACAATTACCTGAACTACAGTCTGAATTATTAGTTAATGCTTTAAAACTTGTAAAGAAAGGTGGTATTGTGGTCTACTCCACTTGTTCACTTAGCCCTATTCAAAATGACGGGGTGGTACACATGGCTTTGAAAAACCTCTGGGAGGAAACCGAAATTGATGTGGTCGTCGTGTAAGTACCGTCCGACTTAAAACATTAATTTGTTAATTATTGTTGCTTTATAGGGATTTGAGTCCAGCTCTGCTTCAAACTCGACATGTGTTCAAATTAGCCAGTAAAAAGATAATGAAGTATGGACATCTTGTTGTACCGTACTTACCCCAAAACTACGGACCCACATATTTTTGTAAACTTAAACGAATAAACTAAAAACTTACACCAACTTATCATTTTTAAACAAAATTTAAATTTGACAGTTTTGACACTTGCATTGGAAAACTACCAACTGCACTAAGGGAAACTAAAAAGTTACTAACACATAACCTCAAACGTTTTCTTTACTTCATAAACAAATAAAATAAGCACAATTTAAAAACTTATTTAAAACAATGTTGCAGTTGTAATAGAGTTTTTTTTTGTTATTGAATGTTCATCTCGATGGAAACCCCGACGATTACTAAAAAGCAAGCCAAAAGCACACTGTCCGGCAAAAAGAAGAAAAAGACAGAAGTAATCAAAAATGTATTGGGGAAGCCTTTTCAAACTTTCTGGTACTACTACTCAATTCAATTAAATCCACCTATAACCCAAAATTTTCAGGCCTTCGTTATCACCAGGAGACAGCAATCAATTGAGAGAAACTCTAGAAAAGTTTCTCCCTAGATTGTATCCTTTCAAGATCAATATCCCGTACAAGAAAATCCAAAGCATCCCCAAACAAGAACGCAAGACCTTTCGGCAAACATTTCATACACAAACCCAAATTGAAGTGAATGAATCGGCAAAGTATGTTCCTTGTGGTTAATAAAAGTGTCTATTGAGCTATTTTTACAGAACCTATATAGTGTTTGGCGTTAATGATGTTTCAAAACTATTAGAAAACCAAGAAGCTGCTTCCGTGCTAATAGAAGGTCAGGTGCAGCCGCGTCTCTTCGTTCAGCATATAATAGATCAAGCTGTGTTGTATCATGTTCCTGTTTTAATTGTAGACAATTTAAAACAAATATGCAAAAATAAGTGCGGGATTAGTGGGGCTGTTGTTGCTTTAAAAAAGTCCATTAGGCCAGATTCAGAGCTGGGAATAATCCAGCAAACAATTTTTAGTATTTCAGAAAATTATCCAGTACCTGAAAATCATATTAATGCTTGTAGAAGAACACTTGATATAACTACAATAACAATTCCTGACTCAGATGCAGGAGATGAATGTGAGCTTGATGATGTTACAGAAAAAAGTGAAGTGAAGCCTAATTTCCACCTAAAGAAAGAAGACAAGGGTAAACGCGTTTTCGTTCCTCAAGCGCCAGTCAAAGAAAAAGTCATGGATTTTATTAGTTTGGACTCAAATTGTGTAAATTTTCAATCTACTAATTCTAAAAAAATTGAAAGCGTGAAAGTACCGTACCACAAACTGAAAGTGAAAAGGGTTCAAGGCAACAAAAATAGGAATAAGAGGAAAATGGAAAAATTCAAGAAAAAATAATGTACACACACAATAAAATATAATAAATATACATATAATTACATAATAAGTACACAGATCTTTAATTCATTCAAATTTTTCTAACTAATTATTTGGGTCGCAAAGGTTGGTCTTCAGTAGGACTATTCCTGTTTACAGCGTGATTCCAAGGTTGTACATTCCCAGAACCAAAAATTGCGTATGTTATAATTTCAATAATATATAACACTATAGTGATGTAGAAGACAATTCTCCACGAATTAATAGTTGGCTATAAAAGTTTGAAATTATTATTTGTTTCATTTAAAAACCCTATTTAACTTACATCAACGTGAGTCAACTTTCCCACAACAATTGGAACCACAATTCCTGGAATAGTGGCAACCGTATTTGTTATAGCTATCAACGTCCCAGCATAATTTGGAGCAATATCAATATGGTTGGATAAAAATCCACAGAACATCCCTCCTATACTAGTAACAGCAATAGTCATCAACGTAACAGCAACTTCCCTCTCACATTCAATGAAACACAGAATAATAAAACAAATCATTGGTATCACACTAGCGATCAAAGTCGCGATTTTCCTCGCCGTTGTCGTTGTAATTTTATTTTTCCCTCTCAATGTATCCAAAACCTTGCTCAGAATCATACTAAATATCCACATCGTCAAGAACGGGATTGAAGTTAGAACCGCGTTCTTGCTTATTTCAAATTCTAGTACGTTTTTCATGTATTGTGGTAGCTCAATTAAAACCATATACCAGCCCCAGTTGCTGCAAGTGTGTGCCACAAGGATTGCTAAGAAGGCAGGAGATGTGAATACTGCTTTCCATGGCATGGGTGGGCGGGCCTTTAAGTATTGAAATAAGAAAAATAAATTGAAGCAAATTATTAATTACAGTTTTTATTTGATCGTCTCCACCGTATTCTGCAGCTAAGCTGGAAGCGATGAATGCGCGTTCTTCAAGCGAGATGTGCTTTTGTTTAGAAGGGGAGTCTGCGATAAACCATGCCCATAGAATTAGCCACAAAATTGAAACTCCTCCTTCGATGTAAAAAACAGCCTCCCAGCCTAACGCACCGGCTATGACTCCCGATATTAAAATGAAAATCTGTAAAAAATATAAATGGCATATGTTAAGCTATCATAATAGAGTACAACTGAAATTATTTAACTATATTAATTTTATACATACATATATATAAAGTATATATCACAATTAGTAGATTTATCGAAATCAAAAAATTGATGTCATCTTAAAAAATATTAAATAGATCTATCAACAATCCCTGACAGTTACGCGGTGTGCGGTATTTGTTGGAGAGATAAAAGTGGGACAAGTGCTTTGTAAACAGCACCAGATTTGTTAATGATGGTTTGTAACTCATTAATGCACCTGATATGTACATATCTTCTCGATAAATTATTATAAATGTAACGGTGTAAGCACTAAATATTGATCAAAATACAGCGAAACAAATAACCAGTCTAATACACAAGTTAGAATTTTCGACTGATGTTTAATTTTTGCTAGTAATATGACAAATGTATAAGGAAGTCCAGCGAGACAATTATCGCCTTATCTATTCAGCAATAATCCCTGAAACGCAGTCACTGGCTCGAATGTGACCATGACGTTTTGACTGTTATTGACTTTTAGAATATGCATTCAGATAAAAACTATAGTCCAGATTGTTTGTTATCAGTTGCAATTTTTAAATTTTGTTTTTAAAAACAATCATGGTACAATCGAAAAAGTCGTTAGCAATAACCGAGCCTCTGTCACTTTTGATTCATTGAAATTCCAGTTAATTTATTTTAATTAAACTTTCCAGTTTTCACCCCTTCACAAAATTTGACACAACATCATTAAAACAGTATAAAAATGTTTATTTTCAGATACACGATTCTTTTTTAAACTAAATTTTGCTCGGCACTGCTGTGGACGACAACAAAAAAAAACAACAAAATTATCTACAAAATTATTCATTAAAATTATTAATTAAATTAATAATCAATCTTATGAAGAAGGTTCAAATCAGTAAATAATGGACGACTCAAAACAAGTTGAAGTTTTTTGCTAATCTGAACCTTCAATAGCACATAAAAATCAATGTTGCATTCTAAATAAATAGCCCATTTGAAACGAATAATTATTACTGTTTCATTTTTAGATGAAAACAGCTGGACGTGATAACTGGAATAAAAATTTCCCATATGACATATGACACTATCCATTTAAGTACTTACTACCACAACACATGGAAAGTTCAAATAAAAGTAGTGTTACAATGTTTAATAATAACACAAACTTAATTTTCACACCAAGAAAAAAAATTGGCCGAAGGTAATTACGACGGAACTTCCCTCGCTTATGAAACAGCCGAACAAAAACGGCTTCTTCGAAAACTTATAAAGTTTAATTTCGCTAATTTTATTTTTTAATAACAAGCCATATAAGTTAGAATAAAGACAGGTAAAAGAGCATGCTATGCGTTTGTTTCAAGTGAATTTTTCCGTAACAAAAATGTGATGACGTCATTAATATTCTGTATAAGTTATATAAAAAAACTATGAATCCATTGAGAAACCACAAGAGGCATAATACTTAGTGTAATTTAAATCGGTCTTTATTAAATTACATTAAAATTTCAACAACATTTTCAGATAACGCTATGTCTGAGGTAATATCTCAGCACGGATTCGTAAATTGCACATGCAGAAATGTGTTATTTTATAAAATTTAGGTAACATTTATTTGGAAAAATTATTTATTATTATTGGGGGGGGGGGGGGTCAAGACCACGTCGAAACGTTTGCAAGATTTCAAAGCATTCGGTTTCGCAATTTCAAAATTTATTCGGCAAACTTTTAAGTTTACGTCATCAATTTTTTGGAGGGGATAAGTAAATAATAATGTATTTTGATTAAAAATTTATCATCCTTATCATAACTGTAAAACATCTGCAAGATTTCAAAGCATTCAGTTTTGCAGATTCGAAATTAAATTTCAAAATGTTTTTTTTCCAAAAATTCGGACGTTTCGGGCAAAAACTCAACATGGAGTCTTAAACTACATGTGTAGGACCATGTTATTTTATATAGTTTAAACCTATTTACTATGTACAATTTTGAAGAGACATCATCCAGAGACTTTAATACATAGACTGGCTGTGTCAGGAAAAACGTGAAGTTTTTCGACCGCCATATTGCTTATAACCGTAAGTGCGCGAAATTTGAATTTTCCGGTCACAAAATGGAATTTAAAATGTTAAATAAAAAAGAGAACACATTGTAATTATTTATTTAGCATAATAATATCTATATGTATATGTAAATTCCTTTAAAAATATTAATGTCCTTGAAACAAAATTAATTTCCTGAATTTTTGTCTTAAAGAGATAGCTTTTTCACGCTCAGTACTTAAGCGGCACTCATAACCTATTCCGAGAGTCAAATAATTTCTCAAAATTAATTTAAGCAATAAATTAAAATAAGAATTATTTACGTCCAACTAGTCCATACTAAACAAATGTTCATTATGTAGAAAAAAAATGTATGGTCCTACTTTGCAAAGTTAAGGCAAACATTTTAGTTACCAAATCATTTTTAATGGCCATATTTAGAAACAATCTCGTAAGTCCCGACACACAACCACTTTTATTTCGAGGTCTAGAAACGTTCTGTGCTAGAAACTACTGCTGCTAAACACCACAACCTCACTTAATTTGACATAAAAGTTATAGCAATGGCGTCCATACTACCATGCGCCGTGGCTTCACCAAAATGCATTAGAAATGTTACTAACAGCCAGTCTATGTATTTAAAGTCTCTGACATCATCACATGATTGGTGAGGATTAGACAAATTTTGGTTAATGTTTTACTATCTACATGATATTCCTAATATAAAAATCCGAACGACAGACAGATGGACCGACACACAGACGGAAACGGGAAACCTATTTCTTCACACTTTAGGAGTCATGAAAGGTCGAGAAAATGTAAAAATAGAGAGTCGGCCGAAGGAATCCATTACAATATGTACTTCCATCGCTTACGCGCGGGAAGTAAAAATTACAAAACTTTCTTCACCAAAACTTATATATCAACTTAATAAACTTATAATCAAATAAATTGTAGGTGAAACGAAATTCACCGGGTCATCTAGTATTAGTATAGATTTTGTATGCAAGAAATCAAATTTATTTAGTGAAATAGTGGGACAAATTTTAGCACGATATTCTTAAAATTAAAGTTCTAAAGTTTTATAACATCAGTCCAGTAGTTTTGAAGATTATCTATCTAAAATCGTCAACAAACGACAAAGAGACGACGACAACAGGATACCTATTTTTTCATACTGTAAAAGGTAAAAGGTATGAAACGTTGAAAAAATATGAAATTAGGCGTTTACAACTGGATCCTATTTTAGTTTACACTTTGGAAGTAAATATGAATTTTTTTCTCATAGAAATAAAAATACTGTTAAAGTTGATTTTAAATCTAGGTATAAATACGATCTATTTAAAGTATTATATTGCAGAACATAATTTTTTGAACACGCTTTTATAAACTTTTTGAATTTCCAATTATAAATTAATCTATATTAATTTCATTAAGTACTGCATCGTGACAAGTGAACAAGGTTTATCGCAAAAATTTACGACACAAATATCCCTAAAACCAGGTACACACCATTAAAATAGACACTTCCTTATTTGAGCGAAAATTACCTTCAATAATTATTTTTTATATATACTCTTACAACTCAAATTTCATTAACAAATAAATACGATTGCTGTCTGCCCTATAGATACCGCACTTTACTTAAAATAAATTCAGATGAATATGACACATGACAAATATCTACCCATTTTTACAGTTAATAATAATTAACCCTAAACAAAATATGTTCGATCGAACGTATTTTCATTAAAGTGTCCGTCAATAAACAATGGCTTACTGTCAATTATCTTTAATACTCACCACGGTGCCTAAAGACGTCCCTGCATACACAATACTGCTCATTACGCTGCGTTCCAGCGGCGGCGCCCAGTGGGACAGCATCACGTGGCACGCCGGGAACGTTACGCCGCCCCCAATCCCTTGCAGAACCCTCATGACCAACAACCCCCCATAATGAGCCGTAGCCAATACGGGACTCAGCAAGATGGCAATAACATTAAGAGCTACAGCGAAGAAAAGAACCCACTTCGCGCTGAAAAGCTCAGCTACTCGTCCTCCGGGTAACTGTGCTACTAGATACCCGAAGAAATATGAAGAAAGCAGCCATCCTTGAACTTCCGTGCTCCAGTCAAAAGGACCGTCTTCCATAGGTTTAACTGTAACATTTATAGCGTCTTGGTGGCCACAGCGCGATACGGACACGCTGGAGGCGGTATGTCGATCATGTTGAATTGCTGTGTTGTTGACCATTGCTACGATGACTACGTGAAGGCCCACTTTTAGGCCGTAAATTAGGCCCATTCCTAATGAGGCTAGGATGGCCATGATGTAGCGGGCCTTGCATTTTGCTGGAAATGAATGACATTAATTTGGGTATTCGAATAAATTATGAATTAAAGGAATAAAAAAAAACTGTTGAAAATACTGCCCAATTTGGGTGTGTTTTAGCAAAAAACAGAAAAATATCTTAGTCGGCAACATTAGGATGTGATAAATTTTATTTTTAATTTTTACGTGTAAAATGATTTTTGAATTTTTAATACCTACTCTGTATCTGAAGAATTTTTGTCGTATTATTTCGTCATTAACGACTTATGTAGAAGAAACTGCTTTTACTGCATCTCATTTTCGACAAAAAATGTCGACAGTGTTTTTCTTGTGATTTATAAAGGTTTGTAAGCAGAAAACAGCGATGAAAACCGCGTTCCGAAATTTTCATACATAATAATTGATACTTATTTTTAAAAATATGTATAAAATTTCATAACAATAATAAATCCGTTAATATTGGAGATTTGAAAATGTATTTAAAATTTCATAAAAGCCAAAGGCAAAAATTACATAACGAATTTCTTACGAACTTTGGTAAGTCATTACAACTGACTTAGAAATTATAGAATTAAATTTTAACTAAATCTTGTTATCAGTTCTCTTCGAAAAATGAAAATATTTACTTTCTGACTTCACATAAGCTACCTTTACATGAAAAAATTGATCGACTGAATTTTCTTCGCTTCTGAAGTGCAATACAACAAATCCAGCTTTTTCCAAAAGTTATAAGATTTGATTTTGCCTATTTTATTTTTTATGATAACCCATATAAGTCAAAAGAGTGAGTCATTCTTGATTTAATTAATAAAATAAATTTCCGTATTCAGTTTTTGAGTCACCCTGTATAAATAATTCTAAAAACTATGAGTGTATTGATAAACTACAAGAATAAAGTCATAATAATTTGCGTTTTTCAGAAGATTTACATATTAGGCAAAATTTTGAGATGACGTGATCAATTTTTTGGTAGGGGATAAAGGAATACATTTTTATTGGCGATTTACCACGATTACTATATAACGTTATCTCAAAATTTTGACCAATAAATCCTATCTGAAAAATTGCAAACTATTTATTATGACTCTGCACTTTTGGTTTATCAGTACACTCACAGTTTTTGGAATTATTTATACAGGCTGACTTAAAAAAAATAATGAACGAGGCAATTTATTTTACTGATTAAATCCAGAACGACTCACTCCATTTTCCCGAAAATTTCAGAATACAGTGTTATTATATTATCACTATTACACTGCATCTAAGATCCAAATTAATATACGTGTCCTAGCAAAAATATTGATGACGGCACCACAAAATTTTGTAATGGAAAAACTCACTTGAAACAAACGCGTAGCACGCTTCTTTACCTTTACTTGAACATTACATACATTTCTTTATTTTAACTCAAAAAGGGTCATCATAAAAAATAAAATGCGCTAAAACAATTTATAATTTTTGGAAAAATCTAGATTTTATTGCACAGGCGAGAGAAGTTGTATAGATCGATCATTTTTTTAAATTCTGTTTTAGTTTCTGATTAAGAACTTCAAGTTATACTACATCAAAAATTTATCATTAAAATTAACTATAATTAATTGTAACTGTTCTAAATCAACAATAGGTTAAACATCAAATATAACTGATTTCTTGGTATCTGAATATAATTCAGCAGATTAAACTTTAGAAAAATAATGAACGAAAATTTGAAATATTTTTAGCAAAATCTAATTAACTACGAATCGATTTTATTTAACGACAGATTTAATTTAATTGGCACTAATCACCCACAATTGCATTTAAATAATGCTAATTTTGTTTAGTTTTACTTACATTTCATTATTAATTCTACTTAATTACTAATTAAATTAATTCACCTTTAATTAATTTAATTTAATCATTTCACCTCTTACGTAAATACCAGTGTCCGACCGAAACTAGTTTTTACGACCGAAACCGAATTATTCTTTGCTACGCTCATATTTTCTTGACGTTTCATGACAAATAGAATATAAAAACAGGTTTCACGTTTCCGTCTGTCTGTCGTCTGTGTCGATTTTTATTGGATAGATAATCTCCAGAATTAATTTACCGATTGTTGTCAAATTTTATACGTTTACTTATTTATTAATTTGTCTAATCAATTTGTTCTCTCAAACTTTTGCATAAAAATTTCAGTTAAATTTTTTAAAACAACATAATCCTATACTTGTGGTTTATGAATTCATCTTGATTTTTTACCTTACCAGATTTTTGGAAAAGAAACCAAATTATATAATAACCTTTTACAACATGACTTTGAAACTACCACATCGAATGCTCTAAAATCCTCAAATTTATGACATCCCCTCAAAGTTTTACTGAATACTATATAAAATGTGCAAAATATTACAACTCTATACTTGTGGTTTGTCATATTTTTTAGAATTGCTTATAGGTATAGAGTCATCCAAAAAAGCTTTTTTGATGAAATAAAGAACATTTACCCTATTTTCCAGAAAACTGAAAATACATTACTGTTTTAGTATTACACTGCATTTATCCAAAGTGTCCTTCCTAAGAAAAATGTTACCACAATTTTTTTTAATGGAAAACTCATTTGAAACTGTCTGTAGCATGCTTCTTTTACTTTCGCTACACACATATCTTTATTTTTTTAGCGATTATGATAAAATCGCAAAATCAAATTTCAAAATCTGCAGCTAAAATTGACAGCAACGTAGTCTTAGACTTGTCAATGAAAATTACAATAAAAGGAAGTTTCGGTCCGTAGTTGCAGCCTTTGGTCGGACACTATAATTAAATATCAAACTTTTAGTTCTAGTTGATTAATCTTAAATACAATATTTGCGATTAAAAGCAACTTTAGTTATTCATGCTCCAGATGTCTTACAAATTGCGTTGAATTGCACTTAACTACAATAAATTACGAATTAAATACCACGGACGGTTGTATGATGAATGTGTTAATCATTTATTATATTTCCACAATTGTTAAAGAAATTAATTTCAGTACTTTATGTAAAAACATCTAAAGCCTCTTCCTGAAAAACAACATATGATATTAATAATTAACTGATAAACTACACCTATAATATGGAATCAGTAGCATTATGCGAAATATTTACATTACTAGTATGATAATGGGGTCAAAAGACAAATTTAGACTGTACCTACTTACTATTATTTATTGTTATATTGAAGTTACGTTATTAAAAAAATAATAATTTGATCTATGTTAGAATTAGGGTAAGTAATGGTGTTTTGTTGAAACCACTAAAAGCGATAGTGACTTTATTTTATGTGAAAATAGATCAAACTTGTATTTACCTGGATCATTTAGTAAAAATAACAATTAGTATTTAGTAGTAGCAGATATAGAGGCAAAATTAATTGTAATTAGTCCACTTTATTTTTATTAACATGTTATTGTATGTCTTCAATCTTTATTACATGAAATGTTATAACAAGCTTGTTGTTTACTCTTTTCATTTCAGTCCTATTAAGGTCTACTTAAGTTAAGGGTTTAGTTACAACTGCTGGCACGAGCGTAATTTGATAAGCTCATATAATCGACTGATAAATTATTTAATGCGGTTTATTTCAAAGTTGTAGCGCGATCAGTACCCCTAGCGCCCTCTGTCACGCCCACGCACCACCACTACCCTGCCGCAGCACCCCGGTACTCGCTCGCTCCCTTACCAGAGGGCGGTGCGCCCTTTCACTCCCACGCGACGCATTTCTAGCCGCCTTTACATAGGACCCGAGCGGCCAGATTCGGCAAGTTTTTCCATCTGCGAACTTCACAGCTCATTTGCGTATCACCTTGCATCCGAGGGGTCTTGGAGGTCCAAATCGAGTAGTAAGTCGGCTTGAGTATCAGCGGCGTATCCGAGGGGTCCCGCAGGTCCGGCCGTGGAAAAACGCTCCGGGTGTTCGCGAGTGTACGAGTTATCAGGACTGTTCGTCCGCGGAGTGACCATTTTTAAGAACTCGTGTAACCAGTCTATGTCTATGCAGTGTATATACTATGTTTTGTTGAATAAAGTTTTTACGGAATAAACCACGTGTTATAAAAAGTGGCGCCCAACGTGGGGCACGAAGAAGGCGTCTGTTATAAAAAGTGACGCCCAACGAAGCGGCCCGAAACCGACCACAATTTCGCGAAAAACGAAGATTCCGACGCGAAGAAGTCCGCGAACCAACATCGGGATGACGATTCAAATGTCCGCAGAACAATTCAACGAACTGATAAACGGCATCAGGGATGTCGCGAGGCCCCGAGAAGCCGATCTGCACCCATCTTCAGGAACGAGACACTTCAGCCATTGCCCGGCCCGGTTCAACGGCTCCCGCAACGCCTCGAGTGTAGAGGAATTTATTACAACCGCGAGCCTGTACAAGAGGTTGGAGAAAATTAGTGACGAAGACGCCCTAGAAACTCTACCGATCCTGCTACGCGAGGAAGCGCTGACGTGGTGGAACGGAGTAAGGAATTCCGTCAACACATGGCCAGCCGCAGTCCAACTAATCAGGGACGCCTTCGCCCCGAGAGCCCCGAACCACCGCCTGTTCAAGGAGATATTCAACGAACCTCAGGGGGACGAGGTCTCCACCGACGCGTACATCACGCGCCAACGCGAACGGCTGTCGCGGATGTCCCGGCAGCTGGACGAACAGTGGCAGATGGATATCCTCTACGGACTGCTGCGACGTAGACTTAGAGACCGCATCGCCCGTACGGAAGTGGACACCTTCGCAGATCTCCTCCACAAGGCCCGCGCCGTCGAAGAGAGCGAGCGAGAAGGGAAAAACTCGCACGCGAAACCAAATGGTAAGGGCCCCAAAGCAGACGAAAACCGAAGTCGCGGCCCCAGACTCCGCTGTGACGTCTGCAGAGCTTTTGGCCACGACACAACCGCTTGCCGCCGGAGACCACGAGGACCTGCCCCAGCTCCCGGACCGGCAACCCGGACGCCCGCTGAGCCAGTGCGTTGTTACGGTTGCAACGCCCCGGGGGTGTTTAGAAGAAATTGCCCCACCTGTAACACGACCGACGCCAGCCAACCCGCACGCAACATGGCATTCTGTGCGCTGAGGTCCGGCACGATCCAACCACGGTCCCGCCCGGCAATCCACATAAAAATCGCCGGAGAAGAAGGCACCGGCTACCTCGATACGGCCGCGTGCAATAGCGTGGCCAGCGCTACATTGTACCGCCACCTGATAAAAACGGGACACAAAGCAAGGACGGAAAACGTGATCGCCACCCTTGCAGACGGCACGAGCAAGCACCTGCAGGTGCCGGCCGTCACGACCAAGGTAGGCGTTCAAGGACGACACGTAGAAACCACCTTCATCGTGTTGTCCGACTCTTGCGACACCCGCACCCTGCTGGGCGCGGACTTCATAGAGGACGCGAGAATCATCCCCGACTTGGCGAGACGACGGTTCTATTTTGGCGGCGACATCACGCGGACCTACCCGTTCGTCGACGTCGACGGAGCCGAGGCGCCCGCCAGAAAAGGAGTTCCCACGACCATAAAAGAAGTTCGAATCACACAATCGGAACCCATGGAAGAGGGAGACATCGAAGAAGGCTACGGGCCCCCGCCACCAGCACCGCCGAAACGCGATACCTCCAAGGGACTGGTAACCCCCCACGGCATATGGACCACGTATCAGGCTCCGTACGCGACGGAACACATGTGGGAAGACGCGGAGACCGCGATGACGACGGGCGAAATGGACGAATACGAGATGGGCCTCTTCCCCGACGGGCCCCGGCGACTGTTCATAACATCTCTGCACCTGCAAGCCAACGAAGGCACCGGGTTCACCGAACCGACCCGCGCGAAGTTTGACGACTTGGTGGATGACTTCGCCGACGCTTTTGAGGCGCACGGCCCGCCTACCCCATACGCCGAGCATCGCATCGACACAGGCGACCACGCCCCGATCGCGGTGCCTCCTTATCAGCTGAACGCCACGAAAAAGCAATTGCTCAAGGAGGAAGTGGAGAAGATGATCCAGGCTCAAGTAATAGAGGAATGCGATAGCCCTTGGGCAGCCCCCATCGTCCTCATCCCTAAGAAAGACGGCTCCGTGCGACCGTGCGTCGACTATCGGAAGCTGAACGCCGTCACTCGCCCAGACGCCTACCCACTGCCGAGGCTAGACGATCTCCTGCACTCCGTCGGCCCCATTGGTTGCATGAGCACCCTTGACCTCCAGGCCGGATACTGGCAGATCCAAATGCGACCAGAGGACCGGGACAAGACAGCTTTTATCTGCCCCTTCGGGTTGTTTCGCTTCCGGCGACTGCCCTTCGGCTTACGGAACGCTCCAGCGTCGTTCCAGCGCCTCATGGACCGGTTCAAGTCTGGGTTACCTAACCTTACGCTGTTGGCCTACTTGGACGACCTAATCGTCATCTCCGCTGACGAAGAAAGCCACCTGGAGCACCTGAGGGAGGTCTTCGAAAGGCTCCGCACGTTCAAACTCCGGGTCAACCGAGAGAAATGCCAATTTGGATGTCACGAGGTACGATATCTAGGGCACGTCTTGTCTCCCGCCGGGATCGCGGCGGACCCCAACAAGGTACACGCAGTTACGCAGATGTCGGCGCCCCGAAACGTCAAACAACTGCAATCCTTCATCCAAACGTGTTCATGGTTCAGGCGATTCATCACCGCCTTCGCCACAGTTGCTAAACCCCTCTGCTCCCTCTTAAAGAAAGATGCCGCATGGCAATGGGACTCCACCCACCAAGAAGCGTTCGAGGAACTGAAGCAGCGATTGGCCGACGCCCCCATCCTACGACAAGCCAACCCCGAAGAACCGTTTGTCTTGCGTACGGACGCAAGCGCTTACGCCCTAGGAGCGGCTCTACTCCAGGGGGAGGGCCCGGAGGAGCGCCCGATCGAGTACGCAAGCCGCCTGCTCACGAACCACGAGCAGAATTACACCACCACGGAGCGCGAAGCCCTCGCCATTGTCTGGGCCGTGCGAAGATTCCGTGGGTATCTAGAAGAATCCTCAACCGTGGTCATCACCGACCATCAGCCCCTCCGATGGCTGATGACATTAAAGACACCGACCGGACGTCTAGCGAGGTGGGCACTGCAGCTGCAGCCGTACCACCTGACCATCGAATATACGCCCGGTAAGGCCAACGTAGTAGCAGACATGTTGTCACGACCCCACCTACCCGAGGTGGCCATCGACTCCGTAGAAGTGGACCTCCCCACACGTAAAGCCAACGAACTACGAAGCGAGCAGCGCAAGGACGAAGAAATTAGGAAGATTATGGACGACCTGGTCCACGCCCAAGCCGAGATTTCCCAGCAGTGGACCTCTCGCGGCTACCTACTCAACCAAGGGGTTCTTTACCGATACTCTCAAGATGGAGAGAGTGAGGAGGCTCAGCTAGTAGTCCCCAAACACGAACGACCCCGAGTACTGGCCGAGTACCACGACTCACCCACCGCCGGCCACTATGGCGTCGAAAGAACATACTATCGGATCAAGCGAAGATACTATTGGACGGGTATGCGACGATATATTACCGACTACCTGAAGGGATGTATCGACTGCCAACGCTACAAAGCCCCAAATCTGAAGCCCGCTGGCCTACTACAAACCCCAGCAATGGGACACCGCATGGAAGTACTGGCCGTGGACCTATTTGGCCCACTGCCCCCAACCAAAGAACACCACCGATGGGTCCTCATCGTAGAGGACTATGCAACCAGATGGGTAGAACTCTTCATTTTGGCTGAAGCTAGCGCCGAAGCCTGCGCCACCACCTTGGTAACGGAGGTGTTCCTCCGATACGGTATTCCCCGTCGTATCGTGAGCGACAATGGGACCCAATTCATAAGCGCGGTAATGCAGAAAATTACTTTTTGCTTAGGTATCACCCAGAGCTTCACCCCTGTATACCACCCCGAGGCCAACCCCGTAGAGAGAAAAAACCGCGACCTGAAAACGCAGCTCGCCATACAGATTGGCAACCAGCCCCACGAAAATTGGGACGAGAAGATACCCTCCATTCGCTTCGCCATGAACAGCGCATGGTGTAGCGGCACCGGGTACAGCCCAGCGTACCTAATGTTTGGCCGAGACCTCCGCACCGTAGATGACGTCACGCACGACCTCCGCGCAATCACCCTCCGCGAGAACTTCGTACCAGAGGCCACACCGCTGTTACTCACCTTGGACGAAACCTTGAAACGAGCTCGGGAAATACACGAGTCCGAGCAAGACCGGCGAAAACGCGACCAGGACCGTCACCGAAAAACAAGCACCGCTTATGCCCCCGGAGATTTGGTGTTAGTCAAAACACACCGATTGAGTAAGGCCTCCCAGGGGTTCACGTCAAAATTCGCCCCCAAGCAAGACGGACCATACGTGGTCTTACGAAGGCACGGCCCCACGAGCTACGAGATCGCCGCCCACCAACAGCCCGATGTAGTGCTAGGGCTCTATCACGCCTCTGACCTTGTTCCGTACCAACCTCCCACGCAGGAAGCCACCCGGCCCGTGCCACCGGTACAACCCTTGCGACGACGAGGCCGCCCCAGAAAGATCCAGCAGGACCAATAGGCGGGGACGCACCCTATGGTCCTGAGGGGGAGACTGTAGCGCGATCAGTACCCCTAGCGCCCTCTGTCACGCCCACGCACCACCACTACCCTGCCGCAGCACCCCGGTACTCGCTCGCTCCCTTACCAGAGGGCGGTGCGCCCTTTCACTCCCACGCGACGCATTTCTAGCCGCCTTTACATAGGACCCGAGCGGCCAGATTCGGCAAGTTTTTCCATCTGCGAACTTCACAGCTCATTTGCGTATCACCTTGCATCCGAGGGGTCTTGGAGGTCCAAATCGAGTAGTAAGTCGGCTTGAGTATCAGCGGCGTATCCGAGGGGTCCCGCAGGTCCGGCCGTGGAAAAACGCTCCGGGTGTTCGCGAGTGTACGAGTTATCAGGACTGTTCGTCCGCGGAGTGACCATTTTTAAGAACTCGTGTAACCAGTCTATGTCTATGCAGTGTATATACTATGTTTTGTTGAATAAAGTTTTTACGGAATAAACCACGTGTTATAAAGTTTAGTTTTATCTAAATTGTCGAAAATAAGTAATAAAAAAATTAATGAAAAAATTGATATTAATATATTAATTATTAATAAAAAGGCCTATAACTAATGGATAATGCAATTTCAAAAAGTATTAAAGCGTTAATCTCGAGTCTTGAAAGAGGCTCTTTCGTAAAAAAGTAAGTATGTAGATTGTTTTTTTATTCAACATCTACTCGTATTCGATCGACGTACCATTGAAAAAGTAAGCGATATTTTTAAAACAAAATTAACATGGTGAGATTGTGGTATTTTTTGATAAAGATTTTTTAAATAAATTGTCAATTAGGGGAAATGTGTCTGAGACGGCATGTTAGATAAGATGGCATACTATCGTTTTTACTAAGTTCGAATTTGAATTTAGCGCTTTGAGTAACGCCATCACGTGACTGTGGCGTAAGTAGAAAATGCTACGTAATTTGAGGTTAACTGGCGAGATGGTTTTCATGTTTGAGCAAACTGTTGAAACAGGTAAGTGTTAAAAACTTTTATCCGTCTCAGAAAAACTCTCGTAAGATTTATTTTGAGATAAGTTGAAGGTTCTAGTAGTAATTTCTTATTTTTATTGTAATTGCGCATAAATTCATGACCACAAACCCAACGGTTTTATTCAAGATAATTCTTTAAAGGTGCACTTTCGATTTAAACGTACTTTTATGTGAGATGGCACAGTAAATCTAAAGATGAGATGGCATGGCATGCCATCATGTCTTTATTGTACTGATTTGTTTTACACCATTGAGATTATGTTTTTATTTGTCAGAAATGGGTCCTTATCGGAGAAAATCATCTCGTCAATCATGGAGTGAACAGAACATGAAAGAAGCTATTCTCGCGGTTCGTGGTAAGAAAATGGGTTGGCTCCGAGCATCGAAAATATATTCTGTACCATCCACGACACTACGTCGACGAGCGAAAATTGCAGATGGCTGGAGAAAGGGTTACCTAGGCGGTCGTAAAAGCACGTTTGATAAAAACTTAGAAGATGAAATTGTCGCCCACGTAAAAAATCTAGAAACTAGATTATTTGGTATGTCTACAAATGATATACGAAAACTGGCTTATCAAGTGGCCGAATAATAAAAATTGTACTTTCAGAGTTAACTAATATTTTGTTTCTTTTTCAAAAAGTTGTTTTCTTTAATTATTTAATTTTTGGAAGTGTATTTAATGTTTTTTTAACGGCATTTGAATATGTTTATGAAAATGTTATTTTGTTTTTTGGTAAATAAACGTTTAGGAAATATTTTCTATTTTTTAACATTTGGTTAATGTTTTTGTTGTAAAATTTTAATGGTATGCCATCTCACCCTTAAGTATATAGATGAGATGGCTTGTGCGGTTGAGATGGCGTAGTGTTAATATTAGTTTATGCGAAAAAGGTTATCGTTTCAAATATGCTTCAAAACATAGTTTTGTGTTAACTAAGAAAATGCCCGAGGTGAAATAAATTAAATTTTTTTTTTTAATTTTTTATGAGGCGATTACAAAAAGTATGCCGTCTCAGACACATTTCCCCTATCGTGTACGTCACGGTATATGGATTTTCATCAAATACAACAAAATATCAACTCAACAGTTCAATTTTAGATGGGTTTGATTTGTTAAAAATCATTAAAATGTTTGCATCGAGTGGTTAATAGTATTTTCAACAATTCGTAAGTTGTATAACTAAAATTAAAGTTACGATTAGAAATACGCTAGTTTATGTGAACTTTATAGCTTTAACTTTTTCAGCTTTATGATCAATGTCAGTCTATCTGTTCTCAATAAACGCGTAGGTACTATTTAGATAAGATTTGCGGTTTCCTATAAATTCCCGAGCTGCAATATTTCTTTGTCTTTTGTAAAATTAACTTAATTTTAGCAAACGATGTTTGAGTGTGATTTGCAAAAAATAAAATTGCAATGCAAAGAATTCTGCGGCTATTTTCGGATTTAGGTGCCGTCTGTGGTATATTTCTTTCAAATATATGTGTCGACCACTAAATTTAGAACTGCAATAAATCCGAAAATAACTTGGATTATTGGGGGACTTACGCCCGCAAATGCCGCCTGTGGCTGGAACTTCTTGCTCCATCTCTAATCAGCCCTGGAAAATACAGTTTCGAGTGTAGTATGCTCGTACCTGTTGATTATGCGCGAAGAAATTTATTCTAATTGAATCAAACACACTAGAATGCGAATTGTCAATTACACGGGTTAATCATAACAACATTATAAATTTTTACTGCGTCGAGCCATCCCACAAATTAAAATACACGATATAACATGAAACTCATACATGCAGTTAATTTGTAGTGACAACAACAAACACGGAATATCAAACAATGGTAATAAAATAAGTAAAAATAATATTGTGAAGGTAAAACTAACAATGGTTATGACATGAAATATAAATAAAAAACACAAGCGACGCAGGAAAATGTTGGTGGTTGGTGTTAGAACATCACAACATATGTCAGAAAATTTCAAGAAAAAGTGCGAGAATAAAGAGAAATTAATAGTACTTACGGTTTTGCAATTTTATGCTGTGTGAGGCCTCAGGAAAAGAAAGCACTTTTCAGTCATGAAAGCGCCAAGTTCTGGCTAAAGCGCGTTAGTTTGATACGGAGTTTTATCACTCACTGAGAGCGCAGAGCGGAGCTTGAAACCAAGGTGACCCAAAGCCGTTCATCGACCGCACCCCCATTTCTGACAGATGCGCGCTTTAAGAATCTTGATTCAACTTTTTGGAAATATTTGGATTATGATTCAGTAGTCAATAATTCTTCTAGTAAAGGAGTACCTGGTAGTAGAAAGAGATTTCCTAGAAGTTGCACAAAATTCCAAATGTCAAGAAAAAGTTACTTCGGAATTTATTCATCTTCCGTTTATAGTTAAAGATTGTTTGCTCATTACTCTTCGCGGATAATGTTAATGATAAATAACATTTTACTTGTAGTTTGCAATATTATGAAATTTTGATGCAAGTTATGAAATCATTTTGTGTATCTTTACGTTCGGGGAAATGTTGGGTACATAAATATGTACATAAGATTTCCATTTTAGATGGAACTATCAAACTGTTTTAAAGGTTTATTTACAGAATTAATTATACAGCAGGAAATTTGTATAAAACAGTAACCGGTATTGGAAGATACAACAGAATATCCATTTATGTGGCAACATAGTTGCGAATAGACATTTTCAAAGTGTATCTTACGAAAACTGGTTTTACAAAAATAAATAAATATATTTATTTATTTTTGTAAAACCAGTTTTCGTTAGCTTAATTAATAAAATCGTTTTAGTGTAATAAAAAAAGTGGTGCCATCAAGATTTTTTAGTTTAACTGCCAATAACGAGTACAAGTATATTCTTTTAATTTGTTTATTCAAAAAAAAAGATCCTTCGTTTGAAGTTTGACTCGCAATAAAAAATTACACTGATGTTATAGCTACTAGAGTAGCTTTCAACGCGAAAGGGTACAGCTGGTGGGAGTGCGCAGAACATTGTTTTGGTTTGGCCTTACAAATATCGTGAAAGCAATGGCAGCGGCGAAGAATATTTCGATTTTGAAATATTAAATTATTATTGCGGTTAATTAAAATATCACTTTTCTATTTTATTAGCGCTGACATTATAGAAAATGAATTTAAACAATTGTTAATGCTGTATTTGATGTATGAGTTGAATAAAAAAGTAAGTAAAAGGAGTAAAAAGGTAATTTTTACTGAGCAATAATAACTGTTAAATTACGCCTACAGTCGAAGCTCTAGTTATAAACGACAATTATACTAATAATATTCATGAACTGTGATTATTACTTCGACGTTAAAGACAGAAAACGTTAAGCCTTATTATAATCCGATTTTACGGTATCGACAAATTGTGCCAGAAAATTAAAAACCATATAATTATAGTCATAGGTTGCTAATTCTCAGAGTTTTATCTTCGCTTTTATCTAAAGATTTAACTGTTGATTTAAGACTAGTCGACTATAAAATAATGTATGATACTGGTTTATAATGAGGGGTTCGTGAATTTTTTTATTCATGCTATAATGCCTCACATTATAAACTCGTTTAATAATTAAAAATACCAAATTTTGTGTGATAGATTATAATAATTTATTATTATGTAAATCTATTTTTTTATCAAACAAATAAATTTATTTTTATTAAATGGTTGTCTGTATTCTTTTGTAGAAATTGTTCTTTTTTTAATTGTTTTTGAAAGAAGTATAACTCAGCCGAGCCTCCCTTCTCAATGCATCGATGTTACGCCATTGATGGCCCGACTACAAGTTGCGCAACTTAAGCCCCGCCCCTGTACCCTTTCGTGGTGAAATTACTTCTAACATATGATGATTTCTGCCCAATTTAATCCAATAAGCCAAAAATTATTTAAAAAATAAATACATTTGGTTGATCACGTTTGCATCATATATTTCGGTGTTATAGTTACATTTTATTGTTTACTCAAAAAAAAAAAATTGTGAACAGAATTAGAAAAATGATGGATTTAGGCGAAGTATTGAAAATGCATCCAGTCAAGCATTAAACAGTTTAAATAAAACCGGTAAAGTTACTCACAATATTGCTTTTCACATTCATTGCTTTTCAATTCCTTGACAAATGTTAACAATTGAAATTTCGGTAAGGTAATACCGATTTTACATACAGAATAAAAATACTACTTATGTAAAATTGGCATCATGCTAAACTTTATCAAATTGTATTACTTTCGTTCGAAAATATGCTTAGTTTAATTTGATAAGTGAATGCCGGTAGAATGAGAATCTTTAGTGTAGTCAATAGGAAAGAATTCTATTTTCAAAAATCAATTGTATTTTATAAATGCCGGTTGCCTTAATTTTTATTTTAAAACGGCTGACCACAAATGAACATTTAGGTCTTCAAAATTTAAACATAATACTGTGGTGAAATTTAAAAATTAAATTTCATGCTGAAAAACGCCTTGAAACTGGATTAAAAAAATTAAAATAAAAAAACATTCAATAACGTCACCTACTACTTTTTGTAAGACAGCACAGATAAAATTCTAAAAAAGTCACTCACTTCTTGTTTTTGGCGCGTAACTTGTGTTTGGTTCCGAGTATTATTTTGGATTTGCATATACAGGGTGACTCAAAACAATTAATGAATGCGTAAATTTATTTTGTTGATTTACTCAGGAACTACAAAACCGAATTCTTTGAAATCCACTGCGAAAAAAAACAATAGGCATGCCGTCGTCACGTTTCCGACAGTGAGGGAAGTACTGTCTAAACTCTTTAGACCAATTTTTTTGTAATGCAACTCCTACATCAATTTACATTTTCATATGCAGAGAAATAATGCAATTAAAATGGTACATTAAAAAAAAAACATTGACGACGTCATAAACTTTTACAAATTCGACCTATTTTTTTTTGCTGCACTTTTTATGAATTTATGCATTACTTTATCATACATCTTTTGTCTAGATACTTTTGAGCGTGACTGGCTGCGCAATCACACGAGTTATTTAAGATATTTTTTATCGTAAAGAGTAAAAACCCTTTTTTGGTTTTAGAGATGAGTCAACTATTATGGAAATAATAAAGTAAAAGTGGTAAATAATTAAAGGGAGACATTTAAGAAAGATTTGAGAACTAATAATAATTAATAAAATTGTTACGTTGCTCGCTGAATAAAATAGGCATGGGTAAAACTCAACAATTTATTTCTTAATAACTCCAATTTACACGACTATGCGATTATGTACAAAATAATCTCGGCGCAGCTTCTCTTGACTCAACTGGTTGAATGAATGAATAATCGTTCCCGAAGGCGGCCTCTATTTAAACCCACACTTCGGCGATCGAGGTTTTTCACGAATTGGGTATTCGCGACTTCCGCTTCCAAGCTTTTTGAGTGCTACTTCGAGACTTTTTTGGGCCCGTCGCGACATCCGCTTCCAGGCTTTCCTTTACGTACTAGAAGACCCATAAGCGACGTTCAGGAAAAAATCTAAAAACGAAACTAGATTAGACAAAAGAGATTTAAATGAGCGAAAATTACCAAATTATCTTTCGTCTTTTACCGACCAACTCCCAAAAAAGTCCTGAATAACAACGTGATTTAAAAACTGCAAAAAATTCGATAACAACATTACATTAGTATTGATCGATTGTTTAAAGACACTTAAGATCAATATCAAAATAATTAAGTGCAGTTATGGATAATAATCTATTTATGAAACTCATGTAACAAGTTACTAATAAAGAAAAATATTTTGCAATACTATTCAAATTCTTATCACCACTTAATAATATTAAAAAGATTTATGACAATTTGTTCACATAATTCTGAGAACCCTTGTAGGTTTATCATTATTTTTGTAGTATAAAGTTTGCACACCACCACCAAACATTTATAGGTAAATAATGTAAGAAATTGACTGAAAATTTGACCCATATTTTTAAACGCTTACCAAAAAGACTCGTCTTTGTATTAAAAATGAAACAGAGGTAAACATCCTTAAAACGAGTGTGTCGAGTACTGCTGACGTCAGAATCAATGCAAAAACAAGCGTCTCCAGACGAGAAAAAGTTTGAAAGCCTGCATCAAATTGTCCATTTATCATGACGTCACACTTCCAAGTCGGGACTGTAGGTGTTTTCCGAGTTAACAAAAATCTCACGAAATTTGCCATATTTTGATGTAGATGTATCTCAAACATTATTCACCCGCACACTGTCAACTGCATCCAGAATCACCTGTCCAAAAGGTCTGTTTCCGCGTATGGTGTACCCTTTGAATGAATCTTTGAGATAGATCAAACTGAAAGTTACTAATAGGCCCATATGGAATATCAGCAATATACCCAATTTTGCTTTCACCATTTGTTAAAGGGTTGTTAGTCGAGACTGTCAAATTGAAGACGGAGTAAAAGGTTTCGGTTTCTTTTACACCATCATCAGCTAAAAGTATTAAATTTACGTATTAAAATTAGTACGTAATTGTCATTTTTACCAAAGTGCAATTGTTTAAACAAAATGAAGTGACACTTGACGCCACGTTACCCCCTCAATAGGTGTAATTAGTGTAATATCAGTTTATTAATGATTTTCTAATCTAAAATGTGTAAAACTTGACTATTCCATCAACACGCGTAATTTTGGTTTCACTGATTGTAAATTCGGAGTCCACATTTTATTTATTAATAATGGGCTTATTTTCCAACGAACAGGTGTCCATACGGAAATAAAAATCTAACAAATAAACAAAATAATCCAACAAATAAACAGAATAAGCGAGAAGGCTATATATTAACTAGCGCACCTAAATACGTCGATCCTATATCAAATATTTAGAACTGATTGTAATAATCTATAATTTCATTCCTAATTCTACGATTCGACAAACTGTCATTAAAAATATCAAATATATTACATATGCAATTACATAATTTAAGCAATTTAAAAGTGGTAAATTTTAATAAAGTGAAGAAATAGTGGCACTCTGCTCATTATCCTAGGAACAATAATTTTCAGTATGAACAAATGATACAGGAATTAGAAGCGGAAAAAGTATGTTATTTATTGTTGTTGATTATTTTATGTAATGTAAATTTTTATTGTTAACTTTTTAGGGAATTGCTAATTCGGAACATCTGAAAACATATGAAAAAATAAATTTAAGAAAGTTTATCGACAATTTTGAAGATAAACTCTTGAAAAGAAAAGCAGGTGGAAAGTCTAGGGGCAAAAACAAACAATAACAAGATGGGAAACCTTCTCGAAATTTACAAACGAAAATATTAAGTCGTTAAAAACTTGGAAATATTCAATTTTTATATAACAATATTCTGAATGATACCGTGCATCCGGTTTTAGTTATAACCGACGATGCAGTTATACCTATTAGCACAAAAAGCCTTCGGAGATGGTATAAAAAAGAATAAAAAAAAGAACAAGTCGAACACATATGGACAAGATACAAAAATTTATAATTCTTTAAAGATAAAATGTATTATGAATTTGATGATGTTTCGAATACATCAGTTAAATTTGACTTGACAGTTTTTGGATTTAAAGGTGGTCTGATCGATCAAATAATAATACTAATTAATAGTCTGTGATTCACTTAAGGTATGCTACACATTTTTATTTTTTTTTTAATTCTATATGCACTTTTTGAATATATTTTTAAAAAATAGGGTATTTGGGCTTAAAAACAAGTCATCTTCCCAATTGTTTGAGTTTTTGAAAAGACCTCAATGGGCTGTTTTTCAAACTCGACTAACTTCAACGACTAAAACTTGAAAATCGACTTATTTTTATAAAAAATTGATGTTTTTAGGAAAATCTGAGTTAGAAAACAAGGGTAAAAAGTCGAATTCAACGTTGTTTTTTGATGTTTTGGTAAAAATACCGGTTTTTGTTGGAAAAAAAAAATGCATAGAAAATAGGAAAATGACCAAGAAAACTAGGCATAATAATCTGAGTTAAAAAGTTACACATATTAGACTATGTACTGACATTACTTGCAATATAATATTAAAAATAACAAACCGCAAATACTACAGAAATTACGTCAGCTTTCTCGCTACTACTATTAACGTAAATGGATATATGTGTATGTAAAAGGTATTTAATAAAAACCACTACATAAGAATTAAGTCTTTATTCACAAATAATTACATTTTTTTTTGTACTGTAATATTTTCCTAATTGAGGTAACTTGAAAATAAATATACAATAATAATTTACTACAATTTTTTTATAAAATTTCAACTAAAAGAGAGATTTACCACTGTAAATAAATATGTTTGCCCTTACATACGAAAATACGTGCATCTAAAAATCCGAGAATCGTGCATCACACGAGCCCCTAAAATAATACTAGAGAATAAATAATAGCCTTGGAATGTCTTTTAAACTATCAGTTTCCCCAAATAGACCAAATTGTAAAACCTCAAGGTCTTTTTCTACCCTCAGTCAAATTTGAGATTGTCATAACTACCCCACCCTTTTTACTTAACCTGCAACCCCGTATCCAAATTCAAAATCTGTTTACACGTTTCATACGTGGTAAACGACACCGCAACCATCGGTATCGCCCTCAAATAATTAATGGACATCCCCCTATACAACCCCTTAAAAACCCCATTCTCATTATAAATCAGCTTCAGCGTACTGAACATTCCCTCCGCAAATTTCTGCGTCTGCGGGTTCATCAGCGCCAACTGCATCCTCCTCCTCGTCACATCAAGAGGGTAACTCACGCTTTGGGCCACAGCTCCCGACAGCCCCCCGCAGATCAGCTTCGCCGGAAGAATCAAGACCAAGCCGCCCGTGTTTTTCTCGCAAGGGTTGCATGTCAGGTTCGGCAGGTACTTCATGCAGCCGTACTTCAAGTACTCGAAGCAGTAGAAGGAGAGACCTGCGTAGGGCACCATCCCCATGAGGGTGGGGATGAAGCCACGATAAAGCGCTCGAGTGCCGCCTTCTTCCTTGAAGATGGTGACGGCGGCATGGGCGATCCCCGTGTACACGTGCTCGCCGCTGATCTGTTCGGGAAAAGAGAAACTGCGTGAGTCAGGTCAGGCGCGTGTTACGTGTCGCGCAGAGCGTACATAAGCGGTATTTCGGTTGGAGGTAGTAGGTCGGAATTGCCAGAATTCGTGGCGCGACGTGATGAACTATGGCGCAAGATTGGTGGAAAGTGGAAATCGGTTGGAATTCCGAGAAACTGAGCGTGATGTGAGAAGGCAAACACGTTGCGTTTCTCGCGATGACCTCTCGCCGGACGCGTCCCAATGTTATCGTTTATTAGTTAATATGCCATATTCAAACACAATTCTTAAAATTTTTAAGAGAAACGACAGGAATAGATAAACTGAGATCACCTTGAAGTTAACGTTATTTTGGGCATAGAACGGATATTTATGACCTCAGTCAGAAAATGACAAAATATTAACATAAGTGGATTTCGCTACTTATTACGTCATTGGCTGTAATTTTTCTGTTTGAAAGCAAAGTTTTGTGCGCAAAAGTTATTCATTTCAATGTTTTTTATAAAAAAAATTCAAGTAAATATTTGATTTATATTTCCTTTTATTATTTGCATGTCGAACCCAATAAAAAATTACAAAAAAAAAAAATCGTTTAAAGTATCTTCTTGATTTTTTTATTTTGATTTGATAGCTGCATTTTTCCAAGAAAGTATTTTGCCTTGGAAAAATATTAAAGGATTGGAAGAATTGTAATAAAAGGTGAAAATAGTTTCTTCAACAAGCCAAACCACCCTTATAAAGTCAAAATTTGTTTGTTGCAGCTTGCGATAGCCAATTTGACTTATAAAGGTGATTTGGCTTAACCCGCTTAAGTCATAAAAGTTTAAGTATAAGCTGAAAACAGTTGTGAAAACTGCGTTACGAAATTTGCATAAATAATAGAGATACTGATTTTTGAAGATACGTAATGAAAAATTTCACCAAAATACTAAAAAGATTGATGATAAATTCTTAAAAAAAAGCAGTTATACCGGGTGTTTGTAAAATGGCCGACTAACTTTCCGCCACGCTCTTAAGAATCAAATAGTGGCTCTGGGAAAAATAGTAAACAAATTCTCTCTCACATTTTGGTGGAGTTATAATGAGTTTAAAATTGGTTCTTTTGCACCGTTTAACAACTAAATAACACATTCATTATCACACTAACTAGTAATAAAATTTTAGTTAATATTTCTCTCGCCCATGACCATATTTAATTACCATTTCAGTTAGAATGTACAAAGATTTGGTTGTGTTGTCTTTGTAATAATTTGATAAAATTTCATTTGACAACAATGTTTGCCTGCTGTAAAGCGAAAGTTTCAATCAGCCAGAATCGAGTAATCAGTTAAAAATGTTTGACGCATCAAAAATTGTTCGTTTTCAAGTTAAATTCGTAAATTGGCCGTTTTTTAACAACCTTTAAATTTTAATAGGTTTGATTCAGAATTGCCCCTTTTGGTACATGATCGTTTTCCGGGTTGGAACCGTGTAAATTGAGTGTTTGGGCTCAACGTTTCGCACACTTTCGTAAGTGGCATCTTCAGGAGCAGGGTTAAGAATAAGGCAAAAGAGCACGATAACTCAGTGTGTTAACCATACCAGAGGCGAAACTCTATATCAAAAAGAAAAAAGAGCTTCGTCTCTCTCAAAAACTCAATTTCCACGGTTCCAACCGGGAAAACGATCATGTATTGATTCCGACCGTGAAAGCCTCCGAAATTATTCTCCTTTTGGTGTTCTATCTTTGGAAAATTCTGACCTGACCTGTTTTTGAGTTAATTTTGGGACCCTGTTTTTTTTTTTGAAAAATTTAAAACAATCTTAAGGTTCTAGGCATTCCTGTTTGGAATGAATTTGAAAGTGCTTTGGGGCCTCTAGTGTCTTTTCTCATAATAATTTAATTAAATTCTTAGAAGATACGTCATTTGCCAAAATCAGTCTTATCTTAAGCAAGTGCCGTTGCTATGGTAACTGCGATGACAGTTGTTGCGATTCGCGATTTGATTCGTTATCGCCACTGGTGTCGATACCATTTTCCATGGCAACGGGGACTTGCGAAATCGTAAATCTCACTTGAAATTGGCCCGTTAGAGAACATGTCATTTGCCAAAATCAATCTTAACAGCTACTAGCCCTATCCACTCGCCCTCTCTTTTCTTAGAGGGTATCTCATTTGACAAAATCAGTTTTATCATAGCAGGTACTAGCCCCGCCCACCCATCCTCTTTTTTCTAAGAGGGTATCTCATTTACCAAAAGCACTCTTATCTTAGCAGGAACTAGACCCGCCCATCCACCTTTTTTTGCAGGATATGTCATTGCTAAAATCGGTCTTATTTTAGCAGGTGTTAGCCCCGCCCACCCGCCCTCTATTTCTTAGCGGGTATGTCATTTGCCAAAATCGATCTTATTTTAGCAGATACTAGCCCCGTCCATCTACCCTCTCTTTTCTTAGAGGGTATGTCATTTGCCAAAATCAGCTGGAAAATGGCGGATTAACTCTTCAGTACGTTATGTACGGGGGTTTCGGGAGTCCCAAAAAAATAATAAAAAAATTCTTTATGATGTAGAGTACGAAAAAAATATAATTTTATCAATGTCAACAAAACTGCACGCATCTAATGAAAACTAACAAAAGAAAAATTCATAACCAACTAAACACTAGAGATGTTCAAAATTCCTGGCTTGTGGACATAAGTAAGCTCGTAATGTTTCTAAATTTTGACATCATATACCCTCTAAGAAAAGAGAGGGTGGGTGGGCGGGGCTAATAGCTGCTAAGATAAGACTGATCTTGGCAAATGAGATACCCTCTAAGAAAAGAGAGGGTGAGTGGGCGGGGCTAGTACCTTGTAAAATAAGATCGATTTTGGCAAACGACATACCGTCTGAGAAAAGAGAAGGCGGGCGGGTGGGGCTAGTACCTGCCACCAGTCACTACACATTTTATTATGACCCAAATATGTATCGAATAAATTTGATATGTAATTTCTAGACATATCCTAAAAAGTGTGATTAGTGTGTTCGCTCTGTAGCTGCAGAGATTTTAATTTAGTTACAATATATTAGTTACGTATAGAGCATTACAAATTTTCCTGTAATTGAATTTGTCCGGTTGGAAAAATAAATTTTATTATTATTATTATTATTATTTTGCGAGAATTTTGCATAAGATTTTTTTATTAGTTGACCTTAAAATACGTCGAAAAATAGAAATTTATTTTATACAAGGTGATTCAATTTGTAAATTGTTGGTTTTTTGGAGTTTTTCAAATGGGACACCTGTATTTTACGATATTTTCGAAATTTCTTCTGATACCAGATTTGTGGGGATAAATCCCAACAAACTTGATTTTGCGACAAGTTTAAAAATGTTACAAAATAATGACCGCCTCCTGCTGAAAAATATGAAAAAAAAACTGATCACATGTATATAAGCTGGAACACTCGGTATAAAAATATTTTTCAATTTGTTAGACGTTTATCAATCAAGGTAGCTACAAATTTCTGTGTGAAACTCCAGACTTTTATTTATTTATCAATATGCCGGAGTGTTATAAAAATATGACAATTTTTACACAAAAATGCAAATATTTACGTTGACAACTGTTGGCAAAAAGTCTTTGTTCTTCTTAATAAGAAAATCTGAATCCGTAAAAATATATTTGGTGCTACGTTTAAAAAAATCCAATAATGGTGTATAACTTTAGCATAAAAAAACTGTATTATTTATATTTATTAAAACACAATTAAAATGGATTTTTTGAAATTTTTCTTATATAGAATTTTAGTCAATTTTGAAACTTGGGATTGAAAAGTTGTTGCTCGTGTTTTTACTTTCGAACATAAGCTAAGGAATGGCCACTTTCATGTTTTCCCGATGTTTATGATTTCAAGAGTACGAATACAAGGTCTCTCGTTTTCATCCGTCTGTTGTATGTATGAATTTTTATTAAATAGTTAATCTTCGAAACTACTGGACCTATTATTGTCAAATTTTATACCTTACGTATGTTTACAATGGTAAATAATACTGAAATTTTATAAAATAACATACTTCTGCACTTGTGTGTCCTCAATCCGTGTTGAGTTTTTACTCTAAACATCCAGATTTTTTGGAAAAATAAAATCAAAATTGTATAACAACATTTTGCAATTTAATTTTGAAATTACAAAGTCTATCCGTTTATCCCCTCTCAAAATACGGATGAGATCATATCAAAATTTTGCTGAATCCTGTCTAAAATATGAAAAATATTATAACTATACAGTTGTGGTTTATTAATGTATTATTAGTTTTTATGTTTACTTATCCAGGGTATCTCCAAAAATTAATAAATGAGGAAATTTATTAATCAATTCAAGAACGGCTTACCCCATTTTTCTGAAAAGTTAAGTATACAATACTGTTATCATTAATATTACAATGCTCCTATTCAAATTGATATACCTAACGTTGCTAAAATGTTAAAGACGTTATTACAAAATTTTGTTGTCGAAAAACTAACTGTATTTCTTCGCATGTACTTCAAGGGCGAGGAAAGTTCTGGATATTACTTTTTCTAAAATCGACACTGAAATTTTGTTTGGCGTTTTACCACCTACACGAAACTCCTAACTTTCATATAACATATGACAACAGAACATTATTTGATAAAACTGAAATGGTTTACTAAGCAAAGTTTTAACGAGACGATATTAGTTTCGGAGATATGTCTAATAAAAATCACAGGCGACAGACGGAAACGGGAGATCAATTTTTTCGTGAAACGTCGAGAAAAGAAGAAAGTAGTCAGTCGCCTGATGGACTCTATTACAATTTTTCCTTAGTAAAAATCGGTGTTTTAAAAATGTAAAGGTCTATCTCCACTTTCGGCGAAAAAATGAGTTAAAAATTGTATTCTAATAGATCATAAAATTTATTTTGTTAAAAAATCATCCCTGTTACATAACACACGAATATTAAAATATCACTTTAAACGCACAATGCACCAACTTATTTTTGAGATGACGTCAACAATATTTTAGTGGAGGACAAATATATTATTTTTAAACGTATGAATTAATATCAATAACAACACTACTGTGTTGTAATTTAATTTGCCATTAAATTGAACTTTTACCAAATGATTTCTCAATCAATACGGCAGCTAAAGACCCAAAAATATTGCAAATTCTGATATATGTACTTGTGTAAACATGTAATTTTATGAAAATGGAAATTCCAATATTTAATATTCAAAACATAAATCAATATTTACATTAAAAATCCACGTTATTCTATTTGCCTTTAAATATTGATACAGTCGTTCAAATAAATGCATATAAATGTGTAAAAAATTATAACCAACACAATTGTTAATTATGAATTACAACACAAAAGCTTTGTGGATTGTTTAATGTACGGAAGTAAATTTTGCTATTGTGAATTTGTGAGTCGTTCTTAAATACTCGATCCTAATTAGAATGTTATGTGTCTCTACAGTTATATAAAATTGTACACGGTGTTCAAAATATATGGAACATTTATAAAAAGAACAGTTGGAACGCATTATATCAAACACGCTCGGATAAATATGGATTTTTTAACAATGGTGGTTATTGTAAACAAAAAATTCGCAGAATCAAATTTTGTAATTTATCTAATAAGAAAGTGGATTTGTTTGAGTGTGCTTCAAGATCGAGAAAGTTGTTTCTAGAACTTTTAAATCGGTTTTTGTCCATAGGAGGTACTTCTTTATTTTGAAAAATAATGGTCAAATTTCATTTGCTATCAATGGACCAAAACAAATAACACTGATCAAATTATTAAAATTTTTGAGGACTTACTTTGAACACTGAAGTGTTTATTCGATTCTTAATAATGCCATTATTAGTCATACATTTTAAATAATGTGATAACAATAGTGATAAACTAATGTCAAGGACGGCATTGTTATTCGCAAAGTTAAGAAGAAAGTGAAAGTTGTTAATTTATTCCGTATTGAATAATACCCAATGTCAATCACTAAAAGAATGTTTATTATACAGTTAACTTTAATCTTCTTTTTTTTATCGCACGATATAACTTACAGTTTTTATTGACGACTTTGTCCCATTGTTTTCTTTACTACCATGTAAAATGAAATGCAATATACAGGTCGTAAGTACATATATATGTAATATAAAATTGTATAATTGTGTGTATATAGATACAAATACATATGTGAAACGATAAATGTATCATAAATATATAACATGTTTGTATTAATTATTGCTGTATATGTGTTACTACCACATAAATAAAACACATTTCTTTTAGTAAGATTTCTATCAATAACCCAAGTAGAATGTGAATAATACGTAATTTAATTTTTGTAAATCACGTAAGATGTCTCCTTTAAAACTTATTTCTTCGTATCTATAGTGTACTATTAAAACACTATTACTAAAAAAAAGAGGATTCTTGAAAAATAAGTACTTAAAAATGCGTAGCTCTAATACAAAAAGAATAAGATTTAAGTGACAACTTAGTAAATGGTAGAGAATATTTCGAATTTTGTATCTAACAAAAATCAAAATTACACCATTTCAGAAGAACATGACAAAACCGGACAACCAGAGATCTTTAGTCCTGTAATTTTTTATTTCAGGCATATCCAATTTTCGCAGTTGACAATTAATCCCAAAATCATAATTGTTACGTAAATAAGTTTTAAATTTGTATATAACACCTAACCCAAAACCTTCTGGAACAAAGGTTGGACATTATAGGTACTTATCCAAAGTTGAATTTATTTATATTACTGACGTAATTATTATATATTATATCACCAGTAATAATTTGAAAAACAGTTATTAGCATTAAAAAAAATAGACACGTGTAGCAAATTATACTGCTGTGATTTTTTAAATTTCTGCTCTAGCTGGCCATGACGCGTACGTCAGCAGTGCAATTGAAACGGCTGACGTAAGCGTCATGGCCAACTAAAGCAGAAATTTAAAAAAAAATCACCCGATATATTTGATATAATTTGCAAAAAAAAAATTAATCTAATTAACACACTGGGAAAAAATCTGATAGACCAAATAATTTTAGTCGCCTTTCATCACGTCGCAACAACCTATTAAAAAATCCAATTACACTTAATTAGATGAAGTGAAATCAACATGAATGAAACTTTCCCTTAAAATGCAACAATTTTTAGGTGACTAACCTGGAAAGCCAAACGAGCTCTAATGGTGTCCAGCGGGTAGGTCAAGGTAACGGCTGTAAGTCCGGCTCCAGCCCCCGCAATAAACTTGTCAATGTGCGAAGTAGCCCCAAAAACACCATCCAGATATCTCTTGTACAATTCAAATGAAGTAAATTGCGTAGCTGCATATGGAAAAATGCGCACCATTTGTGCCCCATTACCCTTGTACATGGCCCATGGAGATTCAGTTTTAATTATGTGGCGCAAACCAGAAAACACCCCGTGACTCTCATGATGTCTATTATGAGCTTGCAGAAGAATTTTTATTCGATCTAAAGGAGCGACGGTCGTCTTTGATATCATACCAGCAATACCTAGTTTAATGTTAGTTAAATTTAAAAAAAAAAAATAATAATAATAATAAACTCACCCCCAGCCAATAAATTCTTGACCACGAACTCGTATTTTTTATTTTCAGTCTTCAAAGCCATTGTGTTGCTAGTCATAAAGTTGGGTCTTCAGCAATTAGGTGATGAGGACAGGTGAAATACACTTATGGGATAACTGGTGACTTTCTCTTTGTACATCCTCTTGGGCTTCACACTCTGAAAGTTTATGTAATAATGAGAATTGTACGCGTTTTATATTTATGGTGAACTTTACACATTAATTTTTAATTGCAAACGGCGATAACGTCCAATAAAAAAAATAAAACCAGTTTATTAAACGCTTCCTCAGTCTTCGACAGTTTGTAAACGACTATTTACTTTCATTTATGGTCAGAGATCCAAGTCTCTGACCTCATGGCCCTGACATTGTGACATAGTTAATTTCCACTAGGTAAAAATACGAAAATAAAGTTTTCGAATACAAATTAGTACACGTCAGAAACTTTGTGCAGATATGCAAAACAACTAAAGTATGCATAATCAGTCCTATTTTTAGTTTTAAACTTAGGAAATTCTCCACATTGGTGTTGAGGTTAGGAAAGATTAAATTTGAATTCTCCGGTTATAAACAATTTTCATATGAATAAATTAGGACATAATACAATTATATGAGTAAAAAATGTGAATTTACTCACCTAGTGATCCAACGTTTTTTCTAAAAGTGTTAAGAGTCGAACAAAACGTAACACACTTTCACAACAATCTGGCACATTTCCAGGACATGATCCGTAATCTGTTCATTGTTGCACTTTTTGGTAGGACGCGATCATACTCGAGGTAAAAAATGTGGATAACGACAATAATTATAGCAACTTGCAAAAAAAGCCTAAAATATTATAACTACATAACCTGGTTTCAAAGTAATAAAGAATAAACGATGTTAACAAATTGTTTAAGAATTTAAAATTTAGTGTGGTATCCCTGTCTCGTGTGAAATGTCACTAAAATTGAGAAATGTTTGGTTTTGGCGTGATTATCTTAACCTCGAATATGTTATAATATTTGCGTTTTTTTAAACACATACAGAATAATTTACCTACTCTGTTATGGCTTTCCAGGGGCTTCTATTTAGAGTCTCCAATTCATTAAATAACTGCCGATTTTTACTTAATACTAGGTAACAGACCGTTTAATATTCACGTTATTTTTCACATTTCAAATTTCCAGAATACCTCAACTCAATCAAGTGTCAGGAGTAAAGCAACATGTTGTGAAAGCGTTACAAGAATTAAAAGTTCCGGAAAAACCTAAACGTCCTCTAACACCCTATTTTAAATTTGTTCAGGAACGAAGGGAATCTATAATTAAACAATACCCAGACTGGAAAGTTACTCAAGTGTCTGTGCAGTGTGCTGCTGATTGGAAAGCGCTTGATAAGTCTACAAAGTCAAAGTATGAAGAGCGATACAAAACAGACATAGAGCAATATGCAAAAAAATATTCAGAATATATGAACAGTTTAACACCAGAGCAAAAGGAGGCTTTAGAAAATTATAAACATGAAGTGAAACAGGCGAAAGTTAGGCGAGAGCGAAAGAAAAAAATCCGGGAGACAGGCAAGCCGAAACGACCAGTTGGAGCATACATGTTGTATGTTATGGAACAGGCAAAACTACCCTCGAATGCAAATAAGTCCTATGTAACTTTACTGGGACAATTAAAAGATACCTGGGCTGAAATGCCTGAAGGCGAGAAAGCAAAATACCTTCAAGAAACAGCTAAAGCCAAACAACAGTACGAGGAGGATTTAAAAAATTGGGAGCTAAAAATGATGGAGGAAGGCAACTTGGATGTCGTTCGAAATTCTACTCTCACAGGAAAATCCCCTAAGCCACGAAAAAGTAAATAGGGACGCGCGTGTCTTCCTCCGTTACCTTCCGCCTGGTCGGGTGAAGGCACCAAATGTGGTGAAGAATCTCAAACAGACAGCTCATTAGTGGAGGCGGATAGGCAAAATAACGGTAAAGAAAAAATGCGAGACGCTGAAGGAATTTTAACTAAACTGAAAAATTTGTTCTAGCATTAATTTTTTACTCTTATTTTGATGGGATTTTTGTTATTTTATGTGTGTAAAACTGAATAAAACCATAGTTTGTATTGCAAATTTTATATACATATGAACCCTCAAATAAGAAATGCAAATTAACTTAAGGCACTTCACCAGTTAACTTATAAATCACCCCACCATCCTCAACAGATACTTAACTAACTCACAACACACAAATACAAAAAAATAAACCATAACATCTTGTAAAACATTCGTCAATATTTCCACATATTTAATCACAGGGAGAATGTATTTGTTGTTTAAATTGGCAGCTAATAGTATGAGAAAATTCTTATTTTTGTTTCTATGATTATTCGAAGACAAGAGCTCAATCACCTCATATACAAGCAGTGGAAGGAATATCTTATTACTATGTGATGGAGTTGCATCAAGCTCCAGTTTGTCAATCAACAACAATAACACATTTACGAAAACAGCCAAGGCGCTTATAACGATTTTTCTGTATTGCTTCTGAGGGGGCCTAACTTCTACCACTGGATTCTGTTGCGTTTGTACTTCGTTTATAAACGTTTCGTTAGACTCGTTAATTTCAAAATGTGAATTGGATGGATTTTCTGTCGCATTTTCTGTATGATTATCATATGCACATGCATCTGAAAAACAAAATTCATCATTTCTGCCATAACCTCAATATTTACCGCGACACTCACTCGTCGATTTTTCTTCTACTCCTGAGATTCGGTTTAACCTGTTTTGGGAATTTTCCAAAATTTTCCGTCTTCGGGCTTCACGACGTTTAGCAACATCATCCATAATTTAAAAAAAATTGACACTTCATAAACCAAGGTTACGCACTTGACACTTGACGCTTTGACGGCAAAAATAATATGCCATGTTGCCGATTATAACAAGATCATTTTTTAAATGTTCATAAAAAAAATAAGTATATATATATATACACACCGTATTCGGTATCATAATATTCAATGCTTCGTATGATAGTCTATCAGGGTCTTGACATGTATTTAAACCGCGAATCAGAGTTAAAAGAAAACGAGATGCGGCATCATCGCTTTCTCCGAATGGGAAATATATGTATAGTAGCAATACACTAATAAAAATTGTAGATAAATAATGTTGCTTCAGGTGTAAAATTATACAACCAAAATGAATAACACAGTAAGTGGCTTGATGTTTTATCCAGTTTTCAGTTAATGCTAAAATTTCCTGTTTAAACAGGTCGGTACTAAACGCAATGCACGAACAAAAAAGACACTTCCCCGGACCCGGTCAAATTTAACCACCCTGTTAATTTATGTTGTCAGTTCTGGCTTCTTCTTCTGTAATTCACATAGTGGTAGTGTTCTTTTAATACCTTTACTGTTGTAGTGAGCAGCATTACCAACAACAATATTAATTTGAGTTGGACCGATGCAATCTGTAAGTACAATATCTGCACATGATGTGATCTTGTGTCTTTTATTTTAGTTACGTTAATAAGTGTACTTATACCCTTACTGTGTCTGATCGAACTGGGTTTTCGAATCTTATATGCTGCAGAAGAGAAACAACATTTGATCACACGTTATGAAAACAATTACAGAACTCTCTTAAAAGATGTCTTTTATTTCTCTTTCAGCATTACTTTAGTAGCGGTAATGGCGTTCTTTACACATATTATTATGTACATAAGGTTTGAACAATCTTCATTTATTCTTTGGTATAATATGGGACCTTTTTCATTGATGTTGTCAATAATAAGTGCCTTTTTACTGCAACGGAATCTTGACTTGGTAGGTACTATCTCTAGAAAAAACGTCCCTCTGAAACGTTGTATTGGCAGAAATGTGGCCCTCTGTATGATTCCTTGTGGATAGGAAACTCAAATGGATTAGATTATGGTTCAGGTATGGCCCATTCGTTCTTCCATGGGTATTTAAGACTAATAATTCCAAAGACTGGTACTAGTGAAAAAAATTTAGAAGAATTAATGAAGGATTATGAAGATGAACACCATGTAAAACTAGAGTTTTACAAACTGTTCATTTTAATACCAAAGTCGTTGTATTGTCCAACTAGTCTGAAAAATGATGATATTTCACCTAGTATTGAGGAGAGTTCAGTAAGTAGATTAATTGATTTTATACAGACGCCCAAAAAATATTAGACTTGAAGTATTAATATTAAAAAAGCAGGTGTGTTTAGTATACATTTAGCAAGGTCATGATTTTTTACAGATCCTGCACTCTGTGTTGGTACCCTGATCTATTTTATCTAAATCTGTATTTAATTTGTACACTTATAAGATAAAAATTATTTGTTGAATTGTTGTAAATTTCTTAATTTTGCCGATGTAATTGTGGTTTAGTGAGCAAACGGATCAGAAAAATTTGTCCAAATTTTTTACAAATAAACTACGGAGGAGTAACTTTACTAAAATAAATACAAATTTTTAATATCAATGTTTTCGCGCCGTCTCGTAACATTTAGAAACGATAATTTTGTCTTTCTTCAGTGCTCCTTCTTCGTTCGTTAACTTCCGCCATTGCGCAATTATTTGCTAACGTTGAAAAGGATCTTACTTTAAAGATGTTTTTTTGATTACAGATGATCTATATATTTTACTTAAAAAAACAAGTACTAATACTAATATAGTCGGTGCAAAAAGTTTTAGCAACTAAATATTAATATTGTTACGATGATCGGTGATTAAAAATCGGCGTTGGTAAAACTCAACAATTTATTTCGTAGCAACTCGAATTTACACGACTAATTATACAGCGATTATGTACAAAATAATTCTGGCGCAACTTGAGTGGCTTCTCTCACTGGACTCGACACGAGTGCATAATAATCGTTCCCGAAGGTGGCCTCTATTTAAACCCTTACTTCCTTCTAGATGTTCGGCAATCGGTATCTTTCTGAAATACCCATCGCGAGTTCCGCTTCCAGACTTCTATAGCGAACGCCGCCCGGCCGCCGTCACCGACGATGAGTCATCATCGCCGTACATGCTAGAACCCATAGGCTTCGTACCGGGGCGGCGTATGGGTTTCTTTCGTAACAGTATTAAAGAAGAAGGTGTTAAGAAATTTTGCATTAATTGAAACGTACATCAATCTAACGCGTTTTTTCTAAAAATAAAATGTAAAATTAAATAACGAACACTTTTACAGAGGTGATTTTAAGTCCAGGATAGACACTTTAAACAATTCCTTAAGACAAAATGTTATAAACTAGGAGACAAAACTTAGCGACAAAGAAACGTCACTAGCCTCAAAATTTTCAGGAAATTCGTATATTATATTATAATAAACTACACATAGACGTGGTTTTAACCACAATTCAATTTGATAAAAGTTTAGGTAACACCATAACCACTTATAGGTCAAATCGATGTTCAAATCTACATTAATCTGTCACTAGTGTCATTCGGTTTGACATTTAAATAGACACAAAATTTTGACACATCAAGTGTAGTCTACTATAGTTAAGTTTTGTTTGCCATTTTTCAGTGTTTTCAGACTTTAGAACCCATTTTTAAAATAGTAGGTTACTCTTAATGATTGAAGCAAGTTTTTGGGATGGCAATTCTGAGTTATTGTTGTCAATTTTAACACGAGTGCAACTAAAAACCAATGAGGAGAAGGCAGCTATTGAATTGGTATCCAAAATTTTTATTTTGAAATCAGGTATGCCACCATAAAAATGTAAATATGTAACAAAAAATTAAACATTTGTAATTACTCGGTATCTTTAAACTTTAAATCTTTATTCTACATGATGTTTGAATACTACAATGCGAATTGGCAATATTGTTTGACAACGGCAGCACGGGCAGGCCAATGAAAGATATATACATGGGACAGTTAAACCAGAGACCATAGAGAAGCGTCATAGTTTAAATTAAATGACGGTTGAGAACTCCTCGACTTATGTTGGCAACAGTGTTTGTTTATAACTAGCAATAAAATTAACTATAATAGAAAAAATGTCATAATATTTTTAACGACGCGTTTTACTTTCGACAAATTGACCAGAATATTACAAGCTGCTTACTGTTTCCTTCACTTTAATTGAGGTCACACGAATTACAGTTCGTCGTCTGAGAATTTGTTTGATCTACAGACCAGAGCGCACTCAAGCCAAAGTCGATTCTAAGCGTTCGGAAACGATTTGATTTATAAGCCATGATTCGTGATCTGATACATATCCTAACCCGTTTCGACCATAATTTCTTGCAGTTTGAACTTTTGAATTTTCAGTTTTTCGAAATTTAGTTTGGGGACTTTTCAGTTTACTTCTATTTATTACTCAATTTTTGATTTTACAATTTTTCAATTTCTCGGTTTTCAGTTTTCCTCTTCAATTTTACGATTTTTAAATATTTCGATTTTTCAATTTTTGACTTTTATAAACTCTTTATTTGTCGATTTTTCAATTAATTGATTTTTCAGGTTTTTTGGTTTTTCAATTTTTCTATTTTTTCAGGTTCCGATTTTTCAACTTCACTTTTTTTTTGATTTTTCGATTTCTCAATTTTTTAATTTTTCAGTTTTTAGACATTTCAGTTTTTGGATTTTTCAGTTTACTTATTGTTCAATTTTTCGATCTTACGATTTTGCAGGTTTCTGACTTTTCAATTTTTCGAATTTTTTAAGGTTTCGATATTTCGACTTGACTTTTTTCATTTTTCGATTTCTCAATTTTTCGATTCATTAGATTCTCCGTTTTTGCATATTTCAGTTTTGGGATTTTTCAGTTTTTCTTTCATTTTTCAGTTTTTCGATATTTCAGTTTTGGGATTTTTCAATATTCCTGTTCTTAGACTTTCCCATTTTTGGCTTCTGGATTTTTTGATGTGTCGACTTTTTACTTTTTCGATTTTTAAATTTTAGATTTCTCAATTCTTTGGTATTTTAATTTCTCGAGTTTTCATTTCAGCTCTTCCATTTTCCAATTTTTCAAATGTTTTGATTTCTTAATCTTTCGATTGTTCGACTTTCCGGTTTTAGATTTTCTGTTTTTCAATTGTAGTTTTTTCAAATTTTCGATTTTTCAATTTTTCAAATTTGACATTTATAAACTGTCAATTTTTCGATTTTTCAATTAATCGATGTTTTAATTTTCCCATTTCTTGACTTTCGAGGGTTTCGATATTCCTGTTCTTCAATTCTTTAATTTTTCGATTTTTCATTTTTTAGTTTTTTTAAGGTTTCGATTTTTTGACTTCACTTTTTGGATTTTTCGATTGCTCAATTTTTCGACTTTTTAGGTTTCTCCTTAGTTTTCGGATTTTTCAGGTTTTACATTTTTCAGTTTTTCCTTCATTTTTCAGTTTTTCGATATCTCAGTTTTGGGATTTTTCAATATTTCGATTCTTCGACTTTTCGATTTTTGACTCCTGGATTTTTCGACGTGTCGATTATTTTACTTTTTCGATTTTTAAGTTTTAGATTTTTTAATTTTTAAAATTTTAGATCTTTCGGTTTCTCGATTTTTTAGTTCAGTTCTTCGATGTTTGAATTTTTCAAGTTTTCGAATTTTGCAAATGTTTCGATTTCTTAATCTTTTGATTTTTCGACTTCCCGGTTTTAGATTTTCTGTTTTTCAATTGTTGTTTTGTCAACTTTTCGATTTTTTAATTTTTCAAATTTGACTTTCATAAACTCTCAATTTTTCGATTTTTCAAGTAATCGATGTTTTGATTTTCCCATTTCTTGACCTTCGAGTATTTCGATTTTCCTGTTCTTCAGTTCTTTAGTTTTTTTATTTTTAAGGTTTTTGATTTTTCAATTTTTCGGTTTTTTAAGGTTTCTATTTTTCGACTTGACTTTTTGATTTTTCGATTTTTCAGTTTTTAGATATTTCAGTTTTAGGATTTTTCAATATTTCAATTCTTCGGCTTTTCTATTTTTGACTTCTGGGTTTTTCGATGTGTCTACTTTTTTACTTTTTCGATTTTTCAATTTTTGGATTTTTAAATATTAGATTTTTCGATCTTCTGATATTTTAATTTTTCAATATTTCTTCCGACTTCCTGGTTTTAGATGTTCTGTTTTTCAATTTTTCGATTTGTTAATTTTTCATTCCCGATTTATCGAGATTTGATTGTTCAGGTTTTCGATTTATCAGTTTTTCAATGTTTTATTTTGACCTATTTCGGTTTCTCAGTTTTTCCAGTTTTCCATTTTTTCGTTTTTTGATTTTTCCGCTTTTCCAATTTTTCAACTTTTAACTTTTTGTTTCTCGATTTCTCTATTTTTCGATTTTTCGACTTCATCATTTTTCGATTTCTCGTTCTTTTGATCTTTCAATCTCTCAATTTTTCAATTTTTCAAATTTTTAAGTTTTTTGATTTCTCGATTTATCGAGATTTGGATCTTTCGATATTTTGATTGCCAATTTCTCAATTGTTCGACTTTTCGATTCCACGATTTCTTGATTTTTACTTCCCGAGCGTAAGCAAAGGAAGTATTGTAATCGAGTCCGTCGGCCGACTCTCTACTTTTACGTTTTCTCGATCTTTCATGACCCCTAGAAGACGAAGAAATAGGTCTCCCATTTCCGTCTGTCTGTCCGTCTGTCCGTCTGTCCGTCTGTCCGTCTGTTGTCACGGATTTTTATTAGACAGATAATCTCCGAAAGTACTCGACCGATTGTTGTGAAATTTTGTACTTATATTAAGAATGTCGTGTAGATGGTAAAACGCTAACCAAAATTTGTCGAATCATCCCCACCACTAAAGCGATGACGTCACTTCAAAATTGTACATAGTAAATGGGTTTTCAATTGTATAAAATAACATAGTCCTACACATGTAGTTTACAACTCTGAATCGACTTTTCACCCGAAACGTCCAGATTTTTGGAAAAAAAATCAAAATTATAAAACAACATTTTGAAATTTAATTTTTAATCTGCTAACCAGAATGCTTTGAAATGTTGCAGATGTTTTAAGGCTATAAAGAGCATCATAAATCTTTAGTCAAAAAATATTTGCTTATCCCCTCCAAAAACTTGATGACGTCAGCTCAAAAGTTTGTGGAATAAATCATATCTAAAATGTACAAAATATGATGAGTCTGTACTTGTGAACTATCACTCCATTAATATTTTTTGGATTTGCATATACAGGGTGACTCAAAAAAATTAATGAATGCGTAAATATATTTTATTGATTTAATCAGGAACTACAAAACCGAATGCTCTGAAATCTTGCAGATGTTTTAAGGTCATAAAGAGCATAATAAATGTTTAGTCAAAATATATTTGCTTATCCCCTCCAAAAACTTGATGACGTCAGCTCGAAAGTTTGCCGAATAAATCATATCTAAAATGTACAAAATATGATGAGCCTGTACTTGTCATTTATCACTCCATTCATATTTTTTGGATTTGCATATACAGAGTGACTCAAAAAAATTAATGAATGCGTAAATTTATTTTATTGATTTAATCAGGAACTACAAAACCGAATGCTTTGAAATCTTGCAGATGTTTTAAGGTTATAAAGAGCATAATAAATTTTTAGTCAAAATATATTTGGTTATCTTCTACGAAAAACTGATGACGTCAGCTCAAAAGTTTTCCGAATAAATCGCATCTAAAATGTACAAAATATGATGAGTCTGTACTTGTGATTTATCATTCCATTCATATTTTTGGATTTGCATATGCAGGGTGACTGAAAAAAATTAATGAAGGCGTGAATTTATTTTATCGATTTAATCAGGAATTACAAAACCGAATGCTTTGAAATCTTGGGAATATTTTAAAGTTATTATAAGCATGGTAAACTTTTTTTCAAAATGTATTTGTTCATCCCTCCTAAAAAAATTGATGACGTCACCCTTAAATTTTGCTGAATAAATCCTATCTAAAATGCAAAAAATATGATGAGTTTGTACTTGTGATTTATCATTCCATTCATATTTTTTAGATTTTCTTAAGAGGTGGTTCAAAAAAATTAATGAAGTCAATTTATTTTATTGATTAAATTAAAGGCAACACTTATTATTAGTATTACACCCCAACCAACCCAATTTGGTAGACACAAAATTTGTTAAAGGAAAAACTCGGTTGAAACATAAGGGTAGCACGCTTATTTACATCGACTTTAACGTTACAGATCTGCATTTGTTTTATGCGGTCACTTGGTTCCGCGAATGCGAAATAGACATGTTTATAACCAACCAATTGTGAATTTCACCGTCAAGAATTAAAATAAAACCCAATGTTTTATATAATAAGCGGAAGTCGAAGCAATAAAACCGACGGTCGTTTTGTTTACAGTTTCTGTGTTTGGCTCTCACGTATGCTGTTACGCCTGTCATCTTAAATTAACAATGTTTATACATACACGATTTTTAGTTGCCTCTGATACGTAGGTATACGTGAGTAAATTGTTTCGTTATTTTATTGATTGTTACAAATCAATATTCAAACGACCCAATTCATTTTCCCGAAAATTTGAGAATATAATAATTTTATTCTTAGTATTACACTACATCTATCCCAACTGATATACGTGTCCTTGCAAAAATGTTGATGACGTCATCGCAATTTTTTTTTCAATTCCCACTACAAAAATGTAATGAGAAAAAAAAAACACAATAGGCATGCAGTCGTCAAGTTTCCGACAACGAGGGAAGTACTGTCTAAACTCTTTAGACCAATTTTTTAATTTTTCCATTTCTCGGTTTTTGATTTTTCAGTTATCCGATTTTTTCAATTTGGGAGTTTCGATTTCTCGATTTTTCGTTATTCAGTTTTTAAATTTTACATTTTTTTGATTTTCTGATGTTTCATTTTTCGATTTTCAGTTCTTCGATATTTCGATTATGTATTGAATTTCTCGATTTTTCGAATTTTCGATTATTTTAATTTTTCATTTTTTTTCGCTGTTAATATCATACAGTGTATCGAAAACAATCAGAAAAATTATCACTAAAAACATTTAAAAATTCATTCAAAATAGAACACAGTGTTTCCAAAACATTTTCCCGAAAAAAATCCATTGGGTTATTACGATTTCCACAATATTCTTAGTTTAAGACGTTTTGCTAGTATAAAACACAAATAAAGAATTAATTCTTATTTAAACAAAATATGTAAAATCATCTAAAGATGTACCAAAAATATTCACTTAGTCGTTATAAAAACTGACCAAACAACTATTTCCCGCAGAGATTATAGTCCAAACCAACCAAATCGCTTCTGAACGCTTAGAGTCGACATTGGCCTGAGCGCGCTCTGGTCTGTACATCAAACAAGTCCTCAGGCGACGAGTTGTTGTGAAACAAGTTTTTTTATTGGCATCGACTATTTAAATTTGGCGCTTGTCTTTGGCGGTTGAGGACTCCAATGTCAATAAGGGTGGTTTTGCAAAATCAGCCTGTATGTGGCATTTATATTAATGTATGGTTAAACTTCAAACTCCCTACTTCAGCTGTCGCTATGCCTCAGTCGTTAAATAAGTAATGAAATTGCACATTTTATGTATTAATTATTATAATTATTTTTACAATTTCTGTCTACGAAGGTAAATACCAAAGGATAATATTATTTCTGTCATCCATTTAAAGAACATACATTATAAGTATTAATAAAAGGTACAAATAGAACATATCAAATCGTTTTACAAATCGTCAAATGTAAACGGAAAATAAGTCTTATTTTTATCTGCATGCTTAAAAATAGAAAAAGCTGGATTAAGTTTAAACATTTTTATTTTAATATCGTTTACTTAAGAAAAAAACGTATACTACTCTATGACGTATCTATTTGAAAAAATTAATAATAATAATTTTTATACTAACAACTATAAAATGACAAAGTCATTCATTTAACATAGTATTGTGTCTGAATGTGGTTGTTCATTGTGACCGCTGCATTTTTATTGAATGTTTCTCATATTTGATAAATATATATTTCACTTTGTTTCAGTCTTTGCGTCCCAAAGAGATGACAGTGGCTGGAGTACAAAACAGAGTTTATAAAAACTCAGTCTACAAAATCCGATTAGACAAGGATAAAAAGGTTTATGTTAGTGCAGAATATGCAACTCCACTGAAAACATTCAAAGATGTTGTTTCGTACAACGGAGAGCATTCAAGTCAGCCAAATTATTATTTGTTTTCTATATTGTAACTTTATTTTCTTTTTCAGAACATTACAAGAAACATAAAAATGACATTGTGCTGCAGTTTTACTTGACTTTACAGAAGGTGTTGAAAGAACACGAAAACTGTACAAACTTTTGTGAACTGATTTTTTATGACGGTGAACTCCAAATATTTTTCTAATGTATTACAGTATTTACGTCGGTTTTATTGCAGACAAAGACGAGAATGGAAAGTATAAGGATGTCGGACAAATCCTTTTGCAGCGAATTAAAAAACTGCGCAAACTGAACAGCAATCCGTAGTAGGTCCTGTCAAATGAAAATTGCAGTAAATTCAGGCTGTGCCATGTTTCATAGTTTAGTCTGAGTAACACGAATTACGTTACAATTGTCCGATTTTGTGTTAAAGAGGTTACGTAGTGACATGAATTTTTTGTGATTTTTATCTCTTTATTAATTTTGTTGTATTTTAAGATTTTTATATATTCTATGCTTTCAATTTTGGAAATTATTTGTGCTTTATTTGTTATATTTTTACATTACAATTTTAGGAACAATAATTTTACTATTTTATTTACAAAAGTAAGATGCTCGTGTCAGTGCAACCATGATAATGTGAATTCATATTTTCGTAATATTGTGTAATAGCAATGATTACTTTTTATAAAGTAAATTTTCAAAATAAATGTATTTTTTCATTACTTCAATCGTGTTTTTCAGTTACGAATCTGCCAAACTTTGTAAAGCCATTTTTGAAAACTAAAAATTGCATACGTGCACGGTAGACTGCGCATGAGTCAAAGGTCACGTGACCGACGTTCGATTTTTAAAGCGCGCGTTTGCCCTTCAAGTGACATTCTGTGATTGCAGCCGGTCGTGTGAACGCTGTAGGTCGTCAAAAAAACTGTAAGTACTTAAAACAATTAACTTGCTTTCCTCCCACCTAAATGCTAATTTCATAGTCATCATGAGCTCAAATAATGCAAACTTGAATTTGGAAATTCTACGCGAAATTCTGGCTTCGTTTGTCGAAACGGTGCAACCATTCTGGGAGCAGTTTTTGTGGAATATTTGCTAATTTTTTAATCACACGATGGAGTGTCACGTAATGCAGAAAACCGCACCTTTGGAAATGATAACGCGCTGCATAAATTCAAAATTTGTACATTTGAACTGCATTGAATGCATTTTTGTAACTTGATGTCTTGTAGCGGATGCCGGCAATGGTGACCTTATTGACCTTCAGATAAAATTACCTTTTACATCTTTTAGTTTCAAGCAATTATGTTTAATGAAAATTAAAAGACAAGTTTGAGAATTGTGTAATTATTTGATTTGATTATTTTCAGCAAAAATGGTGAAAATTGGAATTAACGGTTTCGGACGTATCGGTCGTTTGGTTCTTCGTGCTTCTTTGGAACGTGGGGCCAATGTGGTTGCTATTAATGATCCATTTATTGGATTAGATTACATGGTTTATTTGTTCAAATATGACTCCACCCATGGACGTTACAAAGGTGAGGTGAAAGCAGAAGGTGGATTCTTGGTTGTGGATGGAAATAAGATCAGCGTTTTCAGCGAACGCGACCCTAAGGTAAAATTTTAGACCATTAAATTAAAAATTAATTTCATGTACTTACTTGTATCTGCTTTCTTAGCGCTAGTCAACTGAAACGTAAGGGTGTCATACACGCACAAACATTACTACATTGAAGTTAGCTTTAAATCTAGATTTGGATTTTTTTTTAATATTTATAACCTGGAAGTAGTTTTTTTTTTCATTACAAATGTGAAACTTTTATTACATACCTTATCATCTCAGTTCAAGTTGGCAAAACATGAATTCCAATCCAAATCTGAAGCTAACTTCAGCAACATCAAACGTCCCGTATGTAATATGTACTAATTTAGGGTTTGTGTTATACCATGGCTGAATTTTTATCTCGAAAATAAAATTTACTAACATATTATTCCAAAGAAATTTTAAATAAACGTATAACTTAGCTTCAATAAGATTAGATCTTTTAATTTGTGGCCCATTTCACATGGAGTAATTCGTTTTAGTCTTTTGAACATTTTTTTTTGGCACACCTTCAAAGTAATTAAATTAATTATATTGCAATTTTTTTATTGGTCAAATTAAGAACGAGTCACCCCATTTTCTCGAAAATGTGAAGAATATGCACGTGTTTATATAATAATGATAAAATAAGAATTACAATATTCAGAATATTTTGTTCGATTGTGGTTTAATTAATCACTTTACTCCTGTTTTGAAAAGACAAACTCATTCTAATCAAACTAATTTCTACGTGACATTCTTTCGATATATAAACATAAATAAACACTTGAACGTCAGATTGCTAGTACCTAGTGCTGAAAGACAAGGGGTCTTATTTATGCCTCTGGTTTTTACTTTACAGCCGTGGTCACAAAACGAAAGTCGTAAAATCAAAGAGCTTGATTTGTTGGATATTACTTATAGCTTTCGACCAATTTTTTATTGATCACATTAAGAACCTTACTCAAAAATTAATGAATCAGTCCATTTATTTTGTTGAATAAATAATTGGACTGAATTGCAAAACTGAATGCTTTGAAATCTTGCAGACGTTTTAAAGTTGTTGTAAGCATTGTAAATTGTTAATCAAAATCTATCTGTTTATTGCAAAAAATTGATGGCGTCGTCTCAAAATTTTCAAAAATAGGCAGAATATCGAATTTATACTTGTGGTTTGTCAATATATTCATAATTTTTAGAATTACTTATAGATACATGGTGACTCAAATAAATTAATCAATTAGGAAGTATATTTTACTAATTAAATCAAGAACGGTTAATCCCATTTTCCCCGAAATCTAAGAATACAGTACTGCTGTTGTTGTTATTAAGACCCACCACTGACCCGGAAATGACCGGCATTCAGGCAAGACTTCTATCATTACGGGTACTAAGACCAAGTAATGATATGCATTGTTATTATTAATTACTACTATTATCATTATTATTATTATTAGTCTATATGTGTCCTTGCTAAAATGTTGATGACATCATCACAAAATGTTAGTTATAGAAAACCCACTTGAAGCATACTTCTTTACCTTTGCTACTTTAACAAATCTTTATTGTAAGTAAGTAAGAACTCTGGTGTATTTTTAAAGTTCTTCTGATTTTGTATTTTCAGTATCATTACTCACTAGGTAGTAGCTCGGTAATTTACAAGTATTAAAAAATTGTTTTGAAGTAGAAGCGATAGGAAGGGTCAAGTGGCTCCCAAGTTCAAAGGTTCTTGTATTTTATCACTTTGTGAAAAGATCTGCGATTTTTATTGGCGTTAAAAATAATATTAATGAAGTGATACATGTTTTGCTTCCTAGGATTTGTATTATGAAACGGAAAGAGATTAGATTTGATTAAAGTACAAAATAATTGCACCATTTTGAAGCAGTTGTTGATTCACTATTAGTAGAAGTAAAATGTGTGGTAACACTTATTTTTTAGTAACTTATTTTTTTATTTATTCTAAACTTTTATATAATTAAATAAATTGAAAAAATACGTAACGTCGAGAGCGTAACCTAAGGAAGTATTGTAATTAGGGTCCATTTGGCAAATGGGTGCCAACAATTTGGTGACGTCATCTCAAAATTTTGCTTAGAGTATGGTCTATAAATTTTATAAAATTACATAATCCTGTACTTGTGGTTTATAAATTTGCCTTGATTTTTTCATTTCAACATTTTTGGTAGTTAAGTTGGTATTCAAATACATGGCAAGCGCGTTAGGTTTGCAGCTGAAAGGTCCGGAGTTCGTTATCTGATATATTCAGTTTTTTCCCTACACTGTGACAGGTTTACCAGGGATTATTTTAATTCATATATTCAGTTTTATAATTTTCCGAGGAAGCTGAATTTGTTGGACTATACTTCAGGTGGCATAAATAACCTTGGACCTTTTTATTAAGAAATTTTCAACTTTTCTTTAATTACAGAATACTAAGAATTTTTTTTCTAATTAAAAAAATTAGGCAAGTTATCAAACAAGCAGGAACAATCGTAAATTGTGACCATCGGCCGTTCTCGCTTCCTGTTCTGAGTTTATGGTTTCTTGGAAAAATATATGTTGTAGGAGTGTTAATTAAAAAGTTGAATTTTATTTGTGCGTCAGAGTCGAACCCGATTTACACCACACTTGTCAGTTGCCTTCGCATGGATGGGTGTAAAATTGTCTTTACGAAATGTCATATCCGTGATCTTCAAACAAATGTCAAATGGGTTGTACATACACCATGTGTGTGATTTTAGCCACAATTGTCACAGTGACCACCAAAAAATAAAAAAAATTACTCTTTTCATTAACCTAAGGATCGGTTTTAACTTACGTTAACATTACTCGTCGTAGTGGTGAAATATTTTCAAGTTAGAATTCCAAAAGAAAATAATGTGGAAACAGTAATTTTTAACGGTTTTGACAATTAAAAAATTATACCGGGTCATTCTTTTAATTCTGAATATTTGATTAATAAATAATAAATGTATTGTATCAGCTGCCTCTACAGATAACACAATGTTTGCAATGTATTGCCCATTAGAATTTGTAGTTTCATCTACTGCTATCTAAATTTTGGAAATTTTTGACCGTCAAACATTTTTTTTCTGTAGAACTTTACTTATTTGACATTCTTGAATCATTTAACATGTTTGACATTTTTAAATAAAAAGTTTAACATTTGTTTCTGAGGTTTTAACACTTTGGAGGTAAATTACTCTGAAAAACCAACCCCTACAAGACGAGCGTAACGACCGTATTCAGTCTGACCAATGAAAAATTGTTTAAATTATACCTGAACGTGGTCGCTGTGCTGGTATGAAATTTTGTCCCTGAAATATTCAAGAAAGAATCTTATTAGAGAAGTTATTTGTGCTCAGTTGTAATAATAAATTTCTATATTTTAAAAAACACACCCTAGAAATGCGAGCGCAGCGAGCACGTTCCAGTGGCTAGGGTCTCTCTAACTTTAATATGTACTCACAATCATTTTCAAGATTTACTTTTTTTTAGACACTAAAAAATTCTCTCGTTCGCATTCTAAACGTTCTGTTTTTAGGGTTTAGTCTTGTAAATGTTCTAGAGAGGGTTTTTGCGAAGCTGCTTGAGTTCAATTGTATGAGAGCGTAGCGAGCACGTTTATTAGATTGATGGAATTTTTCCGAATTTAGTATCCACAAACATTTTCAAGATTGACTTTTTTAATTAGACACTAAAAATGAGACACAGACGAATAATTTTGAATGACATCTAAATGTGCTCGCTTTGAAATATTCGATGTGTTTTACTTTTTAATTTTTTTGTCAACTTTGAAAATGTTGGCATATTATTTTTGACAATTTTGAAATATTTGAGATGTGTTTTACACATTTTCACGTATATTAGACATATCATTCTTGGTGATTTTTTTTTTTTAATGTTAGATACTTGTAGTAACCTTAAACTTTGACATTCTTACACGTTCTCGATATAAAGATAGAAAAGATAATGAAGAAAAAAAAATGTAAAAAAAAAGATCAAAAATATTATACCTATAAACTTAAAGCAGTTATGTAATATTTTTGACAGTTTGATCCTTTTTTACATTTTTTTTTTCTTCATATTCTTGATAACTATGACCTGTTTGATGTTTTGAACATTTGTGACATTTAAAATTTTTTTTGTAAATTATATTTTTGGCAGTCTGGCTGTCTTTAGAACAGTTGATATCGTTCACATTTCTACTATTTTTGCCACAGTCTAATCTTAAAGTACTAGCCACGCCCACCCACCCTTTATTTTCTTAGAGAGTATTTCATTTGCCAAAATCAGTCTTATCTTAGCGGTACTGGGCCCGCCCACCCCCCTTTATTTTCTTAGAGGGTATTTCTTTTGCCAAAATTAGTCTTATCTTAACAAGTACTAGGCCCGCCCACCCTCCCTCTGTTTTCTTAGAAGGTATGTCATTCGCCAAAATCAGCCTTATCTTAGCAAGTAGCATCAATGCAAAATCGAATCCTCGTTAGCAGAGGAGTCGTTAACAATTCACTGTTTTATTTGATATTTCGAATTGTATGGTTCTTGTAAATGACACCTTATTGAGAATTACTTATACAGAGCTTGCAAGCAATTTATTTGATTCATAAAATCAAGAATGGCTTCCCCGATTTTACAAAAATTTGGAAATATAGTACTGTTATTATTAGTATTACACACGTGTATCCAAATTGATGTACGTTTCCTTGCGAGAGCATGCTTCTTTACCATTAGTTTACTACACACACTTATAGGGATTATCGTAACAAAATAAAAATTCGCAATATCAAATTTTATAAATTTTCAAAAAAAAAATGGAGAAGTACTTATGAGGCGAGGGAAGTTCTGTCTAATCCTAGACCAGACCAACTTTTTTTATTATTGGTAAAGAGGAAAAAGTTCTATAACACTTCTTTTTAATAATGATTGAAAATTTTAGCGGGATTATACTTATATATACGGTAGAGGATTATACCGACAAAACGAAATGAAGAGAATTTATTTTCATTTACACATTGCCAAATAGTAATAGTGTTATTTATGTTTACGAAGTTTACTAACTCGAATATTTTTAATTAATGTTTTGTTATATCTGTTCATAAAATCAAAATTGGTCTAGGGTAGTAGACAGTTCTTCGAAAAATGATTTCGCGAATTTTATTTTTTTATGATTATAAATTATATAAATCGAAGCGGATTCATACACAAGTTTAGGATTTTTATTTTATAACATTAAATTGCATTTACTATGCAAAATTTTTAGGTGAACTTTCTAAATAACAATATAATACTATTTAATAAAACGGTGGCAATATATTTTGAAAGCCCTGAAGGATATTGTAATGTATATTTTTTTAAGTAAGCTGCCAAATGAAAAAAAAATTTATAAAGTCATTATACGCCCAGGATTAAAGATAGCGTATGTTAAATGGAAGCTATTATTCTATTCTCTCTCTCTCTCTCTCTCTCAGATACACAAATAAACTTACCGCGTAACAAAACCCTATTTTTAGCGGTGTGTGTTATATGATCCCGGACCTCATTTATGATAACGATAAATTTGTGTTGTAATTACAGATGGTAATTATTCACACGTTAGTTAAATAAATTATAAACAGAGAAAAAGAGTCAATAAGTCTTGTGAAATTGTATTGAGTAAATTAGATAAAAAAATTTAATTTAATCAAGTGCGAATTTCTCATATTATTTTAATTTATGAGCGTTTGAAAATATTTATTAAGTTAAGTTAACTAACAACTAGAGACTTTACGTACATACAGTTACACAAGAAAAAACTCATATTTTAATAATACAAACAAAAAGTCAAGGTTCGACTCGTAACTATTATCTGTACACAGTTTACCCACCCTATTTTTCATAATTTATAATACAGTCATAGTTTGTAACATCTCGGGATTTTGATAACTTGAAATGTAGGTATTTGTAGTTTGTACGAGTGTTTTAATCATAACAAGCGTTTAATTTAACATAAGAAGTGGGATAGGTTTTCACTATAATCTAAGCACTCAACTGGACAAATCATATAACCTGTGACAGATAGATTCTTTTATAATTTAACGTTCTGATTTCCTTTTTGGTTTCAGAGCATTCCATGGGGCAAGAGTGGCGCCGACTACGTCGTCGAATCCACTGGTGTGTTCACCACAATCGAGAAAGCCTCAGCTCACTTGGAAGGTGGTGCCAAAAAAGTAATCATCTCCGCGCCTTCGGCCGACGCCCCCATGTACGTTTGCGGCGTGAACTTGGATGCCTACGATCCAGCAGCCAAAGTCATCTCCAACGCCTCTTGTACCACCAACTGCTTGGCCCCACTGGCCAAGGTCATCAATGACAACTTCGAGATCCTTGAAGGGCTGATGACGACAGTCCATGCCACCACCGCCACTCAGAAGACCGTGGACGGTCCCTCCGGCAAACTGTGGCGCGACGGTCGTGGCGCCGCCCAGAACATCATTCCAGCTTCTACCGGAGCTGCCAAGGCTGTCGGAAAGGTCATTCCGTCTCTGAACGGTAAATTGACGGGAATGGCCTTCAGAGTTCCTGTGCCAAATGTATCTGTCGTCGATTTGACTGTGCGCTTGGGTAAACCCGCCAGTTACGACGACATCAAGGCCAAGGTTAAGGCGGCAGCTGAAGGGCCTTTGAAGGGCATTTTGGCTTATACTGAGGAGCAAGTTGTCTCGACTGATTTTATTGGAGACACGCATTCGTCTATTTTCGATGCCTCTGCTGGTATTCAGTTGAGCCCCACTTTTGTCAAGCTGATTTCCTGGTACGATAACGAGTATGGATATTCCAGCAGAGTTATAGATTTGATTAAGTACATCTCAACTAAAGATGCTTAAGCAGGAGTGTCCTAATTTATAGGTACATTAGTGGGGTTAGGATTCATTGTTATGCAAACGTGAAGGTTATCGATATGTTATGATGTAACGATGTAAGCGGTAATATTGTAAAGGAATGTAAAATTCTAAACGTTCTCACTAATGTTATATCGGTTTTTTCTTTGTTTTGAATAGTTTGTCATTGTCAAAATAATTAGCATACTGAATTTAAGATTGAACTAAATTTGGTATTTTGTGAAGATTTGTATTTATAAATCGGTAATCATGTCACAACATCATAAGCATAATAATATGAAGACTAGTCTATAGCGTCCAAGGCCCCCAAACATTTCACATTTGATTATTTATGTACTGTGTATTTTTATCTATTCAGATCATTTATGTAATAAATGTGCAGAATTCGCGACAATAAATTATTATTTAAACCTTATCAATACTTTTGACAGTTTTAGTGCATAATCAGAAAGGTGTTTCAAGAATATCTCCCACAGCTTCTCCTAAGAGACACTGCTTTTGTTTCAGCAAGCTTAAGATGAATTAGAAAAACGCGAACAAAACAATCAATTCAAAGCTGTGCAATATATTGCAACGTTTTGTCCAAAAATGGATTGTTTTGATAAAATTCTGTGGAATAAAGAAAAAATCAAATTGGGATATGGAAAACAAAATAACCGTTTCATACGGCTCACATTTGAAACTTTTTTTTTTCGAGTTTTAAAATTAAAAGTTGGCGAAAATTTATCACCAAATGCCGTTTAACATAGGATGTATGTTCCGACAGTGACCGTCCGAACGTGGAAGCAATAATTTAATTTTACGTTTACAATTAATTTTAATTTAATAGTTAATTTATTAAGTAATTTCGAAGATTAATCAAAATGCGGACAGAAGGAAACAAGACGTCTATTGTTCCGCATTGTAGGTAAAATTCAGAAAATATAGAAGTTGCCATTCGTCGGATCAACCCTATAACAATACGTCTTTGGTTTACGCCCAGAAAAATCAAGACGGATTCATAAACCACAAGTGCAGGAGTATCTTATTTTGTAAAAATGTCTTATCGTGTAGTTTTTGATAATTACGTATTATTTATTTATTTTATTGGTTGCATTTACTCCAGAAGAACTCTTTTCATTTGCCCAGTTTGCAGTTTTGTAGCTTATTGCTAACGAATGATTTGTACAGGCAGATAAAATTTTGCTTATAATCAGAAACCGTGTTTCCAGTGGAGTAGAAATTAACACTGTCGCCGTATTTACATATACAACCAACAATACATTAAGTAATAATTGGTTTCTAGCCGATTAATCTTCTGTGGCGACTATTCCTAATGCCCTTCAAATTTAGGTCTGTAAACTGTAGCTTTCGAAGTGGCATAAATTATTTCATAATACCCTTAATATATACATCATGAATAAAAAGTTATTTCCTCAAGTGCCTAAGGTATTTTGTCATTTCTTTTGAAGCCTTTTTTCTGCTTTTTTACTTCCCGAGCATAAGCTAAGGGAGTATGTAATTGATTCCATCGGACGACTGGCTCCTTTCATGTTTTTTGACTCCTAGAGTACGGAACAATAGGTTTCTAGTTTCTCTCCCTTTCTCTCCCTAGATGTCTCTCTGTCTGCCTGTTGTATTTATGTTAGGAATTTCATGTATATGGTAAAACACCAACCAAAAAAGTGTGTAACAATCTCCACCAACAATGTGATGAGGTAATTTCCAAAATTTACAATTGTAAATACAGGGTTATTCACAAGGCCGGCTCAACACGGTAAGCGAAAGATGCATCGCATCGGGGCGCCCGCAACCAGGGGCGCCGGGCGGCGGGTGCCGCCTATACTTTTATATTAACGCTATAAAAATAAATTAATAGGAGGAGTATTAGATTTGCATTTAATCACTACGTACAAAATATTATAGCAGGAACCGACTGAGGCGCATATCAAAAACTTTTCAGAAAAACCAATTTTAACATTCCACTATGGGGAGTGGTTCACCAAAAAGGAAGTCAATTCCTGGCACTTTCTGGCTATAATAATTGAAAGAGTGTCCCTTTTGGGTTGGGTGATGGGACCTTTAGATCAATACCGACAAAAAATACCAGATTTATGATTGCATTATCTGGGTAACAATCTGACGAGACAGCGATATGACCAAAACCAGATGTTTTTCAGAACATTTGTTACGTTTGTTTTTACCATAAAATTCCATGTAGGCACACACTTAAAAAATCTATTTTCTAAGTGTAGTCGGCTGATTGTGATGGTTGTTCAACAGTTTTGTTATAATTTTCACTGTTCCTGTTATCATAGCCGAATTTGGTCCTGTGTATCACTCCGTGGCTCTCTGTCATCATTAATTTTAAATTTAAATTTCGTTTAACATTGAGGTAAATCTAAATTAAAAATAACTTTGAAATCAAATCAATTTTACAATATTAAAAATTGAAAAATGTTTGTAATGTACTTATTTTTATACTTATATTTATTCATCATAATTTTATGCATGTTTGTTAATAAAAAATATCTTTCTACAAAAATATGTGATTACAAAATTTTATTTGTTTTCTTTTTAATAATTTTTTTTAGAGGGCGTTGAACACTAAGTTGCATCGGGGCACCTGGTCCTTTAGAGCCGGCCCTGGTTATTCAGCTAAGATGACCCATTTGTGTTTTTAAAATAGGCAACCCATAATACCGATTACACTTGAGCCTGGATTACAAAAAATGTTTCAAAATTGAATTGTATCAAAGTTTGCTTATAAGTGTATAGAAATGTCAGTGTCAGAAAAATGCCTATGCATTCTTACGATAATAACGAGAAAACTGACCAACCTTGGTGGTTGGTTTGTGGGTCGAAGTGCATGCTCCAGATCCAGATGGTTAGGATGAAATTTATTTATTTTGTCCCATAACTCCCATATGAGAATTCTCATTAACTTGTGCAAGAGGTTATACTTCATTTTCCAAGCTATTCGCAGTCTGGTTCCGTTTCCTCTTGTAAGTAGGCCACGTTCTTACGCAACGAATTGTGCTGTCCGCCTAGTCTTTTTGTATCATTCTCCATAATCTGTCCATAACTATTCTTAGACGAGAAAACCGACATGATTCTTCATGTCGGTTTTCTCGTTATTGAATGCATAGGCGTTTTTTTGACACTGACGTTAACTGATGACGTTTCTATACATTTAGGAAACTTTGATACAATTTCATTTTGAGACATTTTTTGTAATCCACGTTCAGGTGGAATCGGTATTTTCGGTTGCCTATTTTAAAAACATAAGTGGGTCATCTTAGCTGAATAACCCTGTATTATTTAAAGTTCATACAGTAACGTACTCCTGCACTTGTTGTTTATGAAACCGTGTTGAGTTGAAACTGAAATATTAAATTCAATAAATCCAAATAATTCAATCAATGTCACATCATGAATCGAATGCTCCATTACATAAATCAAGACATTTGTTAAATGCGGTCAACATCATGATAACGTCACTCAGCACACACTTCGCTGTGAGATGACTACTCGAGAATAAATATTCAAAATTCAGGTTGTAAAACACATATATATTATCACAAAAGCAGCATTATCCCTGTACAAATTTGAACACGTCCTAAAAACCCAGCAGATGGTCAGTTGCGTCGCAATACGTGAGATAAACGAATTGTTAATTAAAATCATAGTGATTTTTTACTTACACATGGGAGTATTGGTTTACTGTGGATTTGATTTTTGGCTAAATTTTACAAATAAAATGAAACATATAGGTTTCAAACACACGTCAGCTCGATACTGGAGACCTGCGTCCTTTCACCACCACTGACTGAAAGAATCGAACTGTCGAGTGGGGAAGCTATGAAAGCAAGCAAGTCGTCTACATTACTGAAATGTTTTTCCTGGTGTTAAATTTAATTGGAGTCGGAACACTACAACAATATTTTGTAAATTAACTTTGAAACTGCAAAACCGAATCTGCATCAATTAAAACTTAATTTATCCCCAAAAAATTGATGACAACTCAAAATTTTGCCGAATAAATCCTACCTAAAATATGCAAAATATTTATGACTCTGCACTTGTGGTTTATCAATCCATTCATATATTATCGAATTACTTATATGACTTTCGACCAATTTTTTTATTGTTGTTATGAAATTATTTTATTGATGTTGGCTGGTCAGTAAGGGAAATATCTAACGAATCATTGTGTAATTTCACATTTGTTTAACATTTTGTAGCTCGTAAAGTATAAAAATGCAGTTGTCAGTCTATGATCTAATGAAATTTTTGTTAAAGACAATATCCAAAATTACTAACGGGGTATAGAATTTGTTTTCACGCATTGGAGTACTGAAATTCATATGAAATATGATAAGTGAAATTATTCAGTAGTTATTAAAAGCCAAAATTTTTTGAGTTCGCCTAAACTTCTCTGAATTTGCCAAAATTCTAAGAACACTAATTTTATTGTGGAATTACTCCTATTTCTATTCCTTGTCGTCTGCTATCTATTGGCCATTGTTCTATAGTTTTTGCCAAAATTAAAAATCACTACTTGTTGATTTCAGTTGCTAACAAAAGAAACCTCCAGTGATGATTTTCATATTATACCGTTGAAGCATCAACGAACGTCAAACTTGTCATCACGAAACATGCAAGCACAAATAAATGAAGTCAATTATATACATTAACGTTTATCGAATTTCAGTTTTTTTAGTTAACCTATTTTTGTTGTCCCCTCATCTCAAACTTCAGATTTAATACTACGGTGTTGTCAGTTATATTTTCAGGGTAGAATGCCAGTGTTGGTGGTGTTTTAAGTGCCAAATACAAGGACAGATAACCTTTGGAATTCTCGAACCGACGGCTTTCAAATTTTGGATGTATTATTAATGATATCATCTTAAAATCTGTTATGTAAATCTCACTTAGAAAATGTAGTATACTGATAATCTGTGCTTCAGCTTTGTCATAATGATAATTAATAGTTACATTAAATTGGTTCCAAATTTAGGCTACGTGACATATTTGGTGGAGGCGCCGGGTACAATTAAATTACTTTTCCGTAGTTAGTTTACTTTGTCATTATCGGCTTATCGGCATTTTTTCACACGCTAAAGCTGAGATATATCCAATTCCCATGCTTTGGTTAACTGACGTAGATATCCATGGTTTCCTACTTAGTAAATGACCTAAAATTCATTACAGAAGTGATAAATTGTAATTTATCTGAAATACATCACTACGCAAACAACTTCCCCTATAAAAATATAGATCAAAATTTATACTACTATTTGCAAAAACAATATTATTGTCGAAATGAGTTAAATAATTTAGTGACAATAAACCTTCGACTATATTCAAATTTTTGTCGTGACAGTAAACTAGTACCCGAAATTATTGATTACCATAGTACCCAAATTTTTTAAA